CCAAAAACTTCAGATTATTGTGAAATTTTGCAAAATTAATACTACAGTAACTCCCTTTAGATTGTCTGTGTAAAAATATCTTACTATATTCTTTTTAAAAAGTTTAAAATAATTTTCGATATAATGTTAATTAAAAAATTATATGAATAATTAAACCTGGTCTTAAGTCGTAAGTCCTATTGTAAAACGGACCCCTGGTCAGTAGTTATAAGAAAATTCCATTACGAATCAGAAACATGTTGACCAACAATTTACAAGGGAACTTATATGGGACAGCTGGTTCAGATGAAAGACTTAAACAATAAAATGCTTTCTTTGTTTGTTATTACTGAAATTAACGGAAGCAGCTGTTGCAGAAAAAATACATAACCCTGTGACCGTTAATTCCAGTAATAACAAACAAAGAAAGACATTTTATTGCTTATATTTATATCTGTTTAAATAATCATTTAAAGTAGGATTAAAAAGATTAATTATTGTATTAATGATACGTTTCATTTATGGAACAGCCACTGATCATGAAATCTGTACAGGCGACATGCCTACTGTAGTTCATGCAGTGATTAACGCAGTGGGTTTTCTTAAGAAATAAAGGAGAAAATATTCAGTGGATGTAAATATTTCAGAATAAATGTAAAAATAGAAAGGATTGCTTAAATTTAAAGTGGTGCCTATCGGACTGTTCAACTCCGGATCAACACTTGAAAGATTGAAGGAAACAAATTCTTTGCTGGGTTAAATTGGGACTGTGTTTGATTTACTTGGACCATATCGTCGTCGATAGCTAAATATTTGAGGGCATGGTAGAGAATCTGTGCAGGATTAAATTGCTGAGCAAGAAAGTGTTTGTTTTTAAAGTCTTGGACACATAATATCCGAGAAAGGGATAGAAGCATCCTCAGGTAGTGTTACTTCATTCAAGTTCAAACTTGAAAGGTAACAAGATGTGTTTGTGAAATATTTATGCCCCCGTATGGCAGCTTATGGGGAGGGTTGAATTCTCTCAAATGCATGTCAAACTCCTAAGGTCAAGGTCAAAAATGTCTGTACTCAAAGGAAGGTCTTGTTACAAGGAATACACCGTGTAAAATATGAAAGCCCTAATTAAACTGTTCAAAAGTTATGGCCAAGGTTAGAGTTTTTTAAAAGTGGGTCAAACTCTTAGGTCAAGGTCAAAAAGTCGAAAAATATCTACACCGACTGAATAAACAAACAGGTGAAGTATGAAAGCCCTAGCTTCAACTGTTCAAAAGTTATGGCCAAGGTTAAAGTGTGATATATTTTTGTAAAAGTAGGTCAAACTCCAAGGTCAAGAGGTCAAATTTGATGATACGCAAAGAAAGGTCTTTTCACAATGAATACACCTGTGAATTATGAAAGCCACAGCCCCACCCACTCAATAGTTATGGGCTATGTTAAAGTTGACAACAGACAGGACAAAAACAATATACCCCCGGAATCTTTCGATCCTGGGGTATAAAAACTGACAGACATGCAGACAGGACAAAAACAATGTACCCCCGGGATCTTTTGATCTTGGGGCATAAAAAATCTACGGTTAATCAAAGAAATATGTAAGCATCCTTAGTTATAGCCACAGTGACCAGGTGAACGATGTGGCCAATAGGCTCTTGTTTTTTTTTTATAACAAACTCACACAAGAAAAATTGATGCAAAGTATCAAATCGGCCGCAAACACAAAATTTAACATTTCAAAAAGTACTTTCCCAAATTTAAAGCATCCATTATGGATTATGTTGAAGATTACGCCAGACGATGCGCCAGATATGAAAAAAAAAGAATTGATTATATGTATCAGGTCCATGTTAAAATCGCGTATTAAAAGATTGTGGGGGAAATCTGAAAACCATCTATCCTTCTGTATTCAATAATCCAGCAGTGAAAAAAGAATCGGATAGATTACATGATCAGTACGTACTGGTCCCTGCGGACAAAGCAGGTAACATCGTCTTCGTTTGTAAGGCTCATTATGTAAATTGTATTTTAGAAGAACTTGGATTTCATTCTACAAGTGGTAATCCAACTTATACTCATAGTTCCCTTTCTAAGGAAGAAATTCCTCAAAATCATATGTCAGTTTTGAATATTTTTAATATCCCAAGAACCAAAATGATTTTGATCTACCATATATAAACTGGATTCCGAAACTTCATAAGAATCCTTACAAAGTTACATTGGGGGTTCCAGTAGATGTTCTACCAAACCTCTTTCTTTGCTCCTCACTAAGATATTCACAGTAGTGATGAAAAAACTTTAAGAGTACTGTGCAACAGTATATTCAAGAAGTGGTGTGAATCAGATGTGGATACTCAAAAATTCCAAAGAACTTTTGGAGACTTTGAAATCTAAAGATTTTACCAAAATCAACAGCTTAAAAATTTACGACTTTTCAACTTTATACACAACCATTCCCCACGATCAAAGTCCAGGTTTTAAGATACCATTGAAAGCTACCCAGCAGGCACACAACATTGAATAAACTTTGAATCAACGTTGTTTTTTATGTTGATTCAACATTGATTTTATGTTAGATTTTGAAAATTTGTATCAACGTTGAAGTCTTAACATTGAATCAACATTGATAATCAGTTGATTATATGTTGAAAAACAGTTGATTCAACATTTATTCAATTATTTATTTTGGAGAGGGGGGTGTCATATAGTAATACTTTTTCAATAAAAATGGAACTCGTGAATTCACTTACTTGGTCATTGGTCCTCTGCAAAATTTATTTTGTTCAAACGGCTGATTGCGCACAAAAGTACTCTGAAGTTCACATTAAAAAGATGCATGAGTTTCTGATTGACAGTATCTATCCAACAATCTGTTGGAATTCCCATGGGTATCGTTATTAGCATACCTATTTTTGTATTCATATGAAGCAGAATTTGTGCAAAATCTTATGCGTGAGAAGAAGAAAACAGTTGCTGTGGCCTTGAACTCAACATTTAGATACCGGTATATCGACGACGTATTGTCAATTAACAATGGTAATTTCCATTCCTTTGTCGATACGATATGTCCTGGTGGGCTTGAGATAAAAGATACCACAGAGTCTGACACATCTGTTTCATACTTAGATATTGATAACTTTCTAAAACGAGGTAAGTTATTGACAAACAAGTTGATGAAACAATAATATCAGCAGTCTCGTTAAAGTCATCATTTCGTAAGTTCTTTGGTCGATACAATGACCTTGTCAGCAAATGCAATTTATCATTGAGTCAAATGCAGACTGACGTTTTTCATACTAATTGTTAAACCATTATTGTGCACTGAGCTGGCGGCATGTTTTTCCGTTTGTTTCCCGATTGTGACAGGGGGCGCACGGTTGGTGTGACCGGTCGGCAGGGGATGCTTATTCCTCCATTGCACCTGATCCCACTTCTGATCAGTGATGTTTTAGAGGTCCATGTTTGCTCTGCCCCTATTTTGTATTGTTTTATTGACTTTGATATTGAATAATGTTCGTTATCTGTGTAAATTGTGATCATATATTTTTTTTCAGACTGTCTTCAAAGCAAAATAAACTAATGATTTTTAAAACGTAAATAGAAATAGTGCATTTGCAAATGGATTCATTGTTTAATATTACAAAGCCAATAATAAATGATAAGAAAATTTGTTGTCATCAAAATGAAGTAGACCTCTCAGGAAGAACCACGTGCTGCTATCTGGATCTTTGTCACGTGATAATGCCCATGGTTTTGGCAGAGTAGGTTATGCTGCAAGTCGTGGTGCAAAATGTCGACAAAATATCCTTGTGTCATTCGCAGCTGTGTCATATTCAAAACAATTTTTACTAGTTGCACATTTTTTGTTCACCATGCACTATCCGGAAAATCATGACAATTTCCTTTCATATCTTACACACTCCCAAGCTTGGGAGTACCTATTGTAAACTTTTTTATTTACCTATTAATTATCAAGTGCCTGATGTGAGGTGATAATGAATTTGAAACATAATAACAATAATTAATACTTAGCTTATTTAAAGCAAGTTTTTAAAATATTTTTACTCATGATTTTGTACATGTTATCATTTGAGGATTATTTTACTGAACTAATAAGCAAATAACGTCTCATTTCTCCATGTTCACTTTCTAACACAACCACAAATAGATCGGTCGCTACTGTGGCCGATAATAAAGTGTAGATCCAAATTTGTTCAAATCATGACCTCGGGTAGGATATAGCTTCAACAGACAACCATTTTAAATGGGAACTATGCAAGGAAGCATCTTCAAATGGTGTAGATTCAAACTTTGTTCAAATTATGACCTATAGCACTTTTGCAAAACACAGCCATAATATACGATCCTTCCATGTAGGAGAGAGCTACATGCGGACTCCAGACCGTAGCTTGAGACGATGGACCCCCATTAGGAAAACTGGGAAACTGCCCAGCCTTTTCATCTGAATCATTAAAGGATTATTTGTTAAATGTACATTAGGTGTTCTCTCAAAAAAAAGCTGTTCTCCTATATAATAGTCTGATTGTCTTTCATGGCCCCATCATTTACACAGGGTCGTGATTTGAACAAAAATGAACTGCACTTTTAGAGAATGCTCTCAAATTCATAAGATTCCTTCTTCAGAAGAAAAATTTTGAAGGGTTTTCCCCTTATAATCCCCATTAAACGTTATGAACGATAACTCCTTAGAAACGCTGATCTTTGATAATGTTGTGGTTGCTTTGTTTTCTTGACTTAACATACAGGAAGCAAACTAAGTAAACCGATGTAGAAATACAAGAAACCGTAATGTGGTATTGAATACAGGACCTAGGTGCACCAGGAAATTCACATCATTGGATATATAGAATGATGTAGCAAGATAAATTGTTTTGTATAGTCTGTTGTGTTTTGAACATAGAGTAACCGCTTCCAGCAGCAGACGAAAAAGAATATTTTTACAACCAGTCTTGTGCAGTCGCTCTTTGGTTCCCCTCATACAAAAAAAAAAAAAACAAGATTAATGAGTTTTTGAAGTTTATTTTCAAGCGTAGTCAAAAAAATGGAAGACTTGATTTTTAACCAGATTTTATGTTACCAAAATTATTGAGTTAAGAAATAATCCAACGTCATTTATACCGATTTTATCTGACTGATGAGAGAAATAAATAAAAAAGACATTAAAAATACATTGAGTTTTAAGAAATTTGTGATCATTACTATACATATCAAATAAACAAAACAATTTGGCAAAATATGTGAAAATCTTATCAGTACCAAGATTGTATTTCAAAAAAAGTTCATTGACATTTTGTCATTTCGAGCGAGGAATAGAGTATATTATAAAGTTTTATATATGGTTCATAATAAAAAATATAAGCTATGATATTCAGTAAAAAAAAAGAAACAAATGAGTATTTAGCTTGGCACAAAGAATAATCATAATCAGATTTTGCTCAAAGGACAAATAAAAATTGCAGATTTACAACATAAAGAAAACGTGACAAGATACCCGGATTAGTTTACATCATACATACATGTACAGAGACAGAGAATTTTAGTGAACAGCTAGTGGCATTCATTCCAAAATACATGTAATTCACAATTAATGAACAAACATAATGAGCTAAAACAGCATAAAGCTAGAATTATTTATTTGAAAGACTCTGGTGATTCCACTCAGATTTGGTCTCCATCTTCTTTACGTTCCACCCTGTTCAATACTGAAAAAAAAATTATGTACACAAAACTACAAGTAGTCTAAACCTTTATGGCTTTTATTTGATCTCTTAAGGAAACCCGTGTCTCAGGATTTCGAAGGAAATTCAATATTTTGGAATTTTGGCATTGATTGTTTGGACGTTATCAAACCGTTAGTGTCTCAGTTCATCAATAAATTAAAAACAAACGTAATTTGGATCATACATTGCGCATTTGAGCAAACAGTTTTAAGATTTTGTTTATGTTAGTCCATATATTGTTGAAGATGTCCTACCTTTCTCGTGGATCTTGATCCTCCCTGTCTTTTTATCAGAGCCCAGCTTGTTGTGGGCCACACAAATGTAGTAACCCTCGTGGTGCTTGCTGGCCTGCTCCACCTGAAGCCACCCCGTCACCTGGTACTTCTCGGGACCACCTCGGGATACGGTGGAGACAGACATGTCGTCTCCTGCAAGTTTGAAGAAACAAGTGTTAAAACGTTTATAGAACCCTTTTTTTCTAATCAGTGCATGTAACGCACTAGAAGAGCAGTAACCACACAGAGGTATAATATGTTAATGCCTTTCGAAAAGCCAAAATTCAGAAAATTGAATTAATAACGCGTTACCTTGTATACAAATAGGCAGCATCAATTATGGAATTATTGATACAAAAACAGTAACTACCCGGTATGCTTAGCATTTCTATGGAGTTTAACCATACCAGTTTGGAGTTTGGCCAATTACAATGAGGAAGGGGGATTGCTAAGTTTGAAATCCTAACTTGAACCCCCTTTCTCTGAGTTCCTTTTTATATTGTCGAGTTACCTGGCAGGTTGCTGATCTCCGTGTCCGTCCTCTGGAACAGCCAGCCGATGTGAGGGATGGGGTATCCCGCGGCCTCACAGATCAGAACCACATTGTCTCCAGTAACGTTAGTAACGCTGTCTGGACCAGTCAGGATACGGGGAGCTGAAACAGTTATACGTATTGTCTATTGTAATTCAACAACTTGGTTACTAATGAAGTGTATACATTGTCATGTAATTCTTGTTATAAAGTGTTTCCATACATTTTTTTTTTACATAACTTTAAAAGGTTTAAGTCTGATTAAACAAGGATCTATGCATATAATACGTAGTATTTGTAAAAATATACCTGATTTGCATGGTCCCGAGCTCTGTACTTTCAGATCACGTCCTTTCTTGGACTGGGCCTCTCTAAGCTTACAGATACTGGTGTATGTGACGTCATCGGTACCACACAGGTTATCCTGGTAGTCACAGACACACACTCCCAAATCGTTGTTGCTCTCCGACTGAACACAGGTAAGGTAGTCACCACATTTCGGGTACGTGTTCCCCTGTCCTGGCAAATCACAGACTTCCCCTTCTGCCTGGGCGCACACCTGGCAACATTTACACCTGTCGCGTGTGATTCCGGCCTTACAGACCATGTCTTCCTGGCTGGGACAGGCACTGCGATCGCAGACCCCGCAGTCGGCAGGGATATCAACCTGTCCCATCGAAAGACAAAGAAACCCCAAGAAACACGAAAGGTACACTACCCCGTTCATCCTGAATAGATAGATTTCGTCCCCCGATCTTTAATTTCAACGGACGAAACACTAAGGAGAAGCTCCTAAATGTTTCTTTAAAAATATCCGACGGAAACTGTTGATGAACAAAATGGCGGATTTTTGGAAGTGGGGAGTCTTCGACTGCACAGTGTTTATGCCAAAGATAAAATATCGGGGGCTCCTCGGGGATAATGTATTTTTTCTGTGCAGCTTTTGTCTGTTTTATCTCGGTGATTATCGCACAGCCATAAAGCTACTGTGAATCACTGCGCCTTATCTTAATTCCTCCAGACCGAGGCGATGTAAGTAAACGATAAGTAATTCAGCTGTACCCTCGACGTGCCTCATTGCAATCTGGTGAGAACAGCAAGATGTTTTACTCATAACTACGGCATCGGTGGAATTTCCCATTCTGACATGAGGGGAGCACAATACACCATTCAATGTTTTAAGGACCATACCACTTATTTACAGGAAACTAAGTAGATGACCAAGTGCATATCAAAACCTAAGTTATGAAGAATATTACAATTAAGCAGCAAAATAAAAAAAAAAATAAATAAAAATTTTAAGAAAAAAAAAAAATCAAAAAAAGTATCCATAACTATTTTTCAGGTTTATGACATGCACCCCGCCCCATTTTTTTTTTTTTTTTTTTTGTCATTAAATGGTACACATCTTTTTGATTCTTTATAAGAACATGTACGTGTACTAACAAATCGGTTTTATGAACATAAAATGTATTTGCATTTGTAGAAGGTGGTTGAATTCTAGTAAAATTGTGGCCCGTGTCGGAAAATGTAAACTGTCCCTATCCACAGACATTGAATGAAAAAAACATAAATAATCTTTCAAAAATTTTCGATAAATGCCTTGTTATATCTACCATTTCAATAAGTTCCTCGCAGAAAATTGTTGAACTGGGTCCAAAAACTTGACAGTTTAAACAATTCTTTATCTTTTCAATTGAACCGACTTTCTCGACGATTGATTTACACATTATCTTACAAAACCTTTGTAATTGTTGTCGATCGTTTTCGCAATCAATTTAAAAATGTGTAGATAGGAGAACATAGCTGGTTAAAACCATGGCCAAATATGAAGTAAGTTTTAAACGTTCTCAAGGATCTGTATAGTTAATAATTATTTAGAAATCAAGTCTTCAGGGTTCTAAGATTTATTGTTCTATTTATGAAGTGATTTGTAATGTGCTGAAGTACGCCGCTGTTTGATATTTCTGTGAATTCCAATACATGTATAGTAAAACAACACTAATATTAATGAATTTTTAGATGCGTTTTCTCGCACTTTGATACGTTGAGCTATATGCAGATTCAAATTTGTCTACCTGTCCATCTTTTCTTTTTCATTTCCCAAATAAAATTTTGTGTTACGTGTGATAATTTAGTTTGATAACGTAAAAACAATATGTACTTGTGAAACACTGATGCCCCCATATGGCAACATAGCGAAGATTAAACTTTTCTTAAATGCAAATTAAATATGTTGGTACCAAAAGTAAGGTCTTCTCACAAGAAATACAGTTGTGAAACATGAAAGCCCAAGCACCACCTGTTCAAAGGTTATGGCCAAGGATAAGTTTTTGAAAAGTAGGTAAAATTCTAGGGTCAAGGTCAAAGGGTCAAAGTTGGTTTCTTAAGAAATGTCTTGTCACATGGATTAAATATGTGAAATATGAAAGCCCCATCCCTAACTGTTCAAAAGTTGTGGCCAAGGTTAAAGTTTTTAAAACGTAGGTCAAACTCCAAGGTCAAAGGGTCAAAGTTCTTGGTATCCAATGAAGGTCTTGTCACAAGGATTAAATATTAAGTATGATAGCCCTAGCTCTAACCCTTCAAAGATTATAGTCAAGGTTTGTTTTTAAAAATAAGACAAACTCTAATGTCAAGGTCAAAGGGTCAAAATTGTTGGTGTCAATGAATCGAAAGGTCTTCTCACAAGAATTACATTTTGAAGTATGAAAGCCGTAATCCTTACCGTTCAAAAGTTACGGCCAAGCTTAAAGTTTTTCATAAGTACAGAAATCTCCAAGGTCAAGATCAAAAGGTCAAAGTTGTTGGTATCCAATGGTCTTGCCACAAATAATACATATGTGAAGTATGAAAGCCGTAGTATCTACTTCTCAAAAGTTATGGCCAAAGTCAAAGTTTGGATTTTTTGTGTAAAAGTGTCAAACTCCAAGGTCAAAAGGTCAAATTTGGTGGTACCCAAAAAAAGTTCTTGTCACAAGAAATACACAAGTGAAATATGAAAGTCATAGCTCCACCTAATCAAAAGTTATGGGCAAGGTTAAAGTTTTTTTGGACAAACAGACAGACAGCTAGACAGAACAGACGGACGGACACGACAAAAACTATATACCCCCGAATCTTCGATTACGTGGCATAAAAATCTGAAAATTGAATATTACACATGTATGTTAAAAACATCAAGGTGTACACCGTATGTAACGTGAGAGAAGGAAATACTAGTAGTTCATATTTCAAATTGTCAATCATTATTAAGAAAGTTGGAAAATTTTGAATTTGAACCTTTTAATATACGTTTTCATTCTCTCTCAAAAATGTGCTCTGAAACCATTGGTTTCCGTGGCTCAATCGGTGTTCTGTTTCTTCATAAGAACTTATTTATCTAAACTTATTCAAAGGTTTTTTTGACAAAGTGGTGAGGGGTGGTTACTATTTCTAGTCAAAATTCTGGAGCGTAATCGTTATCATCATAAAATCTGTTTTTCAGTCTTTTGGTGACTCCATGTAAGGCAGCTTTTTAAATTCTCTGTTTGATCAGCTTGCAGGTGGTTTGATTGTAACAGAACGTGTTTCCCCCAATCTCCGGATCTACAATGTCGCCAAACACCATGTCGGGAGTCTGTTGTGGTCCACAGACAGCGATTTTCATGGAGGCAAGAGAAAGGACAAGTCCGCCATGTTTGTGTATGATGTTATAACAGAAGCTGATCTGGTAGCGCCATGTCAGAAACCTTGGTAGATATTCCAATAAATGAAATAAAAATGATATAGGATTTCACAATTTTGCCTTGATAGACAATTTGAAATCCTTTAGTCCTTTCTCGAATACCTTTAATTAAAAGTAAAAAATGGTTCTAAATTCTAATATCCATGTTATAAACCAAAGAAACTAAATTTTTCTTTTACAAATTCAGATAAATTGTTATTATTGATGAACGAGCCAATCCATAGATCTCTGTATGTTTTAGGTTTTGTGGATATTTCCCGGCGCATTCCTCGGAGTGGGGAGACCGGAAGTCACAGGTCATCCATGCGTGTCGGAGTTTCCACCCCGTATCCATTCCAATGCGAGGCGATATTGTGGCGTTCCCTAACAATAATGGTCAGACACACTGTGGCATTGTCTCCACAGGTGGTTGTTATATAGGAACTTCAGACAAAAGAATCGTGGAAACTAAAATACCGTCCTTTACAAAGAGGGTGTTCTGGCGGTATGTCGGCAACGTACCCAGTACCAACAGATCAATGAGATGATGGTTATGATATGGTATCCAGTGTAAATGTGTGTGGACTTCTTTCTCTTCATCTGGTCCAACCGAGTGTTTGCTATAACAGAGGAAAACTTTTTACATTTTTTGTGGTATTAGTAAATTGTGAAAACATAAATAGCTGAAATCATCTGTAGAAAAACTAAATCAGCTACTCGTGTTTGTGAGAAATTGCATGTATCATTCTATTTGAGAAGCTACGTATAATATTAAATATATATTCATAACATCCTTATTTTGCATGGAATGTCAAGATACTACAGAAGCACCACTGCATTTATAATTGTGTAACACTGTAAATCTGTTGTTTAATAAGCTCATTGTGTTGAAATATAATATTTAAAAAAAAAATAAAACACGCTACACTGTATGACGTCTTTAAAGTCCCAATTTGATGACTGGATAGCTATATATTGTAGAAAAAAGTTCTGTTGTAATAATCTGCATGGGCTATCATACTTCTGTCATAAAATGGTTCTGACTCTCTCTCTCTCTCTCTCTCCATGCAGATATATAAAAAGATTTCTTTAGTCTACATGTTCACAAACAGCGAATTAAACTTTTCGTAAGTGTAGAAGCTATGAACTCCTTCCTAAAAATTCAATTACATGTACACTTATTTTCTATAATCTGGGAATGCTTGTTAATGTAATGAGTGGGGTTCGATCTTAGACAGGAAATACTAGTACATGTACTTCTTTTAGACAAGTCCTCTGTGAATCGTTTCTAGCTAAGAAAGCTTGGGTGAATTGATGGAGGGGTACACATATATGTAGCTACAGATGGATACGACGGCAAGATCTCAATCGAAAGAAGAACTAAATTTTTCAAAGAAAAAAAAGGGTAATTAAGTCCTTGTTCAGAAATGTACATCTTCGTGGTAAATTACTAGTAATGCATGTGGGTAGACCGAGTATATATGTGCCTCTTTGAATATAATGATGTATATCCAAAAAGTCCCTGTACATCAATACCTGGTCCTCGTCTCTGTTACAATTTGACTTCAAAATCAGCTGCAAAGCCCCCCCCCCCCAACCAAAAAAAAAAAAAAAATAAAACGAAGAAATGAGACACAACATATGTCCTTTAATTCTGATATACAGTTCCGGGCAGTGCAAAGCTTTGTCAATTTCTTTTCTGACAAAGGTCGCTGATCGGAAATGCACAATACCGGTATCCAATATCAAGTCCCAAGATGCCCAAGAGTAAGTATTGTAGAAATAAATTGGATCATACGTAATTTGTATCATTTTTTCCTTTATAGATTTTTTAAAAGACGATGTAGACTGCATGATGGATCTACATATGCTCAATTCAATATGTTTCATAAGAATATTAAAATATATATTCGTCTATTAATTAAATCATTTATTTTATCATTTGTGCATTCGTAAAAATTGACTTTTTTTTGGTCGGAACATACACTAGTTGCAGGCACGTAGCAACAGGGGGACATTACATTTACTATAGGAAATGTTAACTGAAAGGTTGGTCCCCACTACTGTATATATTACAGGAAATAGATATCAGGAAAATGTAATATTGAATGCTAAGAAATTGGTACTGAAAGAAGTTGACACTGAAAAAAAAAGTTGGTCACTAACCACCCCCCCTCCCCTTGAAATATGATTTCAACTTTGGGCAACTTCCTTCTTTTTTTTTTTTTCCTTGTCAACTTTTTCAAGTAGGTAATTTTTTTTCTCTGGTTGCCCCCCCCCCCCCCTTTCAAAAACGATGCTACGTGGCTGAGTTGTAACTTATATTAAAATATCAAGCACTGAAAATATTTTGATTTAATTGAAATCTGTGTCTTTCTTAAAGTTTTAAAATAAAACTCGTGTCTTTATTTCTTTCTGGGCCCATCTGAAAGATCGATTACTTTATCAGTATCTATAAGATTAGTTAACACTGATTCCTTCCTTATCTGCTAAATCTTATCATCAATATTGAGATTAAAAATAATGATTGTTTTAATTTTCACTTTCCAATCGCTGGCATAATAATGCTCACATTACCTCCACAAAGATGTCTTTTTTTAACCAGACAAAGTGTCGAAGTGCCTCAATGATGTCATATAATCCGGATTAGCGATAAGGATGGTTCGAGTATTATAATCTTCTAATTGAGTTACGTCCCTTAGGTCATAAAATGTTATGGCGGAGAAAGGCGACTTCCGTGACGAGATGAAAATAAACCATAGAAAGTGACAGAGAGTATGACTGAGAGAAAATTTAGGCAGGTCCTCCATCGGCAGGGCGAGGCTGCAAAGATCCGACAGTCGGTGGCCTTGCAGATGAGAGAGAACATCATTTTGGTAAAGTTGTTTTATTTTGCAGACGATATCTTGAATGGTTCTTAGCATATCCCCCTTTTTATAATTAGTTAATTGTACGAGAAGACGCACAAAATTTTGAATGTTTTGTGGGGAATATCATTGATATTGGATAACTTAAGACTTTATTATTTATATTTGTTTTAAAAAACAACTCGGTAATAAATCATTATGTTCATAATAATCCATAACAGTCGTGTAATAATGATGTATACAAACTCTGTGTTCTGGGATAGTGAACCGTGACTACAGATAGACTTGATACAAGTAGATTGAACCAGTTAACGTCTTCATTAATTTAATCAATAAAATGACGATCTTCATTTATTTGAGAATGATTTTTTTAAGTTACAGTGAACGTGGAGTAAATGTAACAAATGTAGTGTGGCTCTACTGAAATTCATTATGATTGATTCACTCGAAAACGAATTGTGAGAGTGTCATTAATTATTAAGAGTGCACTTGACCATTTCAGTCAAAGATGGTTTAACATTTCTGTGGATGAAAACTGTGTATGCCACATGGTTTATATTTTTATTATTCAGTTAGAAGGCCCATGGATTAGTAAAAACATATGTGCATCTGTTTTATCAAACAGCATTTTCTAAATATCTGCCATGTTAATGCTAGGTTAATGTATTTAGAATATGAATCATTATGAAAACAGAGAGGGCTTTCCTCTAAAATGAGATATTAAAGCACTCCTAAAATGGTTTATGTTAAAGATTCAAAATGGATTTGAGATGTATATTATGATTGATTTATATGTATGGAAATTGTTTTGGATGAACACTTCATCAATACAGACAATTATATAATTTTTAGAAGTAACTTGTTTTTTAAACAACTCTCATTATAATTTTTCATTTAATACATTAAAAAGGAAAACTCTGCTTAACATTGATTACATGTTCAGTGAATGGTGTATCACACTGTATGTAGATGGTGATTGAATTATCTCCCTTTGTACATGTTCGGATGATTGACAGACAGTTGTCTATATTAATGTAACATGTCTGTAGGGGTTATGTTCGTTCCCAGGGATCTAGTTTTGGTGGTCTGTTTTATAGCATTTTAATGGCTAGCTTCACACTCTTTGTATGTTCCAACACTAATGGGTACATATCAGACAGGCCCATCTCCAACCAACAGCGGTCAATAGGTGTAGTAAGTGTACACTACACACCTCATGTGAAGAAAAGAAATGTAAGGTCTGATCTACCATGTTCAGAGATGCACCACTCAGTTCTCAATGCTTATACCCTTGTCTGTTACAAATGAGTGAAAGTTTAATTTTCACAGGGTTATAAAATGTCAGAAAAAACCATGATAACATTTCCTTTAGCACTGTATCTTTTACTGAAACTAAATAAAAGATCAAGGAAATTACAAGAGTTATCTATTGGTTTTATCAGTTTAGGAAATTATTTTTGTCAATCCAGGGAACATCAACTTTAATCCTGATAGGCTTATATTTTAACTTGTTACAAGCTTTTTATCAGGGATATTTGTTATTGAACAAACCACGGGGTATAGATAATGCTACTCTCTATATGTGTCTCAATTTTTTGATATTAGGACATGTTTGCCATTAAAGTATATGTATACACATTAAAATGGATTTTATATAAAGGGCAATGTTGAAAAGAAATACTGTTATGCTTCAGCTTCTTTTTTTAAGTGAAGCTTTTGTATTTGTTAAGCAAAATAATGTGTCAAGATGAAGCACTTAAGTGAAAACCTTGTATTCTATTCAAATAATGCTTTGTTGAAGTTTAAATAAGGTGGATTCTTGTGTTGTGAGGAAGGTGTTGGGTTTCTTGACAGTGGTATTTACAAAGAGGAAGTTGTTGAAGAAAACATAAACCAGAACTCCAAACACACACAATTCCATTGCTGTACTCTAAGACAAAACAAGATATAATCAACAGAACATATGTTATTCGGAGAAAAGTCAGTGTAATAATACCAGTACCTCTGAGCTCTATTTTTTTTTTAAAAACAATTTTTACATAAATAAAAATTCTTGAAGTTGTCCACTTTCATATGTCTTCTATATTTAGATTTAATGTCATTCTATTCCACAATAACAATCTGACAGCAGTAACATCTTTACTTGAATCATATGAATTGAGGAGAACAACTGCATGTAAAACAATTAGTGGACTCCGAGATAAGATGTTCAAGCTAGTCTTGCTTTGCTTGAGATAACCCTTCTAACACTCTGGAAATTTAATTTGGCAGACTTACCTACATACAGTATACTCAGTATAATTTATAATATTGATCCTCATGCAGGAATGTATCAATTGGCATAATTATCTTATGTATATAATTTTTTATTTCCTTGTTCTTGCATTTCAAAAAATTTACAAATGTTTACTTTTAAAAAAGTCATTGTGAAAATGTTCGTGTAATTTGATAAAGCCCTGAGGTATACATTTCATTATCCTGTATAAAACACACCTTCGCATCAACGTAGGGTTTGGTTTCTTAAATTTATATTACCAGTTAGAAAGATATGTTTCACATTTCTTTTGAAGAGAGAAATTGTGGAATGTCATATAGATTAGTATTGCTGGGATTGTCACTTTTATACGCGGTGGTGGCGTGCAGAAGGGCCGACTGACATTTACGGCTCAGATTATGGCCTGGTCTTGCAAAGTCCTACTCTAGCCAAGAGACTTCAGCTTTTGTAGTTAATTAATCAACAGTCCATTGGACTTATTGTGTGATTTCATAATGCGTTTTCTGCTGGAATGTAAAAGAACTGTGATGGAATTGCTCAGTGGTTGTTCTTTTTGTGATGCTTGATTGTTTTGTGATGGAGAGCTGGAATGTGTAACTGAAATGGAACCTTGGTTTGAGTAGCTAGACATGAATAAGAAAAAGAAATTTATTTTACCTCTGCCACAGGTATTGTCAGCTGTTCAATCATGTAACATGCAAATGTTAAGGAACTTAAAGGATAAATGCATTCACTTTTATGCAGTAATTTATTTCATGCAACATATATTAGAAAATAAAGGTGAAAAATATTTTTAACAAAATATACATGAAAATTAGCATTCAATTATTTTAAAGAATGAATACAATATATTCAGATGAAGATCATTACTTTAACTTGATATGTCAATATTTATGCTAAATGCAGTATGTTTGCACCATTTTAACACCAATTTTGCAGAGATCAATATCCATAGAGGTCAACAACAATTATGACTTTTCCAGTCCTGAGAAAGGCATTGTTATGGTAGAGTATTATTTCTAGACTTGCAATATGACCTCAAACAAGTCATGACCACAAATCCTAGTATATATGTGTATATTAAATTTACATTAAGTTGGAGTGGAGAGAATTTTTTATGGACATTTTGCTATCAGGCCAGTGTGATCAAGACATCACCCAAGTGGTGACTTTCTATGTTGATGCATTTTGATTATATGCCTTATGGTAACACCACTATCTTGACCACAGAGGAACATGTCTCTATAAAGCTATTACCTTCAGGTTTTGGTTCATTTACTTTGTTACTTGCTTTGTTTTACTAAGTAAGAAGTCAACTTTACACATAGAATTTTTTTTTTGGTGTATTTTTAATGTTCTTGAAACCTTTTATAGATGTCCATTAGCATAATTTCCCAAAGCCAGTTTAAGAGTTTTCTTAAAAGGGTTTTAAGATGGAAAATATCTTTATGTCGTTACATTCTCTGCATGCATATTATAGGCTGAAATCCTGATCACGATTTCCGTACATATAGCAAAAGGGAACTAATACTTGCAGAATTAAACTTTTTGATAAACACCCCTGTCAACGCGCGATCGGCAACGCGGATGCGATCGGCAACGCGGATCAAAACATTGAAGAAGAAAGTATTGTAGGGGGTAAATTTAAATAGTTTTGTATGTGCTGGAGTGTAACCAGCTGAAAATAAAATTAAAAGACATTTAATTTAGATAATTATCTACAGTTTAGGATTTACCGAGAGTAAATTTGGTTCACAGTTTCTGTGCAAATGCTACTGATCAAATCGACAATGTTCAAAATATCAAATTTTCATGCTTTGAAATAGTTTATTGTTGTTATTACCTAAGAACATTTGCTGCTTTTGTTATGTAACGGTTCTTGGAAGTATGAACTAAAAGATTTTTAAATTAAAACTACATACAATATCTTTAAACAAATTTTAACTGGAAAATTTGACAACCACGAGGCGATCGTCAACGACATGTATCTTTTTATGAAGCGATCGTACAACATAGAAATAGCGATCGTACAACACACGAAATAAGAATAGCACAATTCAGAGAATCTTGTTGTCAAAAAGTTTATTTTGATATACAATAGATATTTTACATTCAAATTAGGCAATCAATCAGTCATTGTTATACCACTTTAAATCTTAAATTTTTCCTACATTTATATAGAAAATTGAAATTAACTGCGTAGATTAAAGAGATACAACTGAAAAAGAGTTTGATGGCTAACAAATATGTAAAGTAGATTTTTTACCTCAATTTTCACAACAGTGTCACCCCCCCCCACCCCCACCCCCCAAAAAACCCTAAATATCTTAGATGGTTTATCATGCAAAGTGTAAGTAAAGGAACATTTTCTAAACTCAAGATTCAATTTCGGAAATGTGTTGTGTGGGATGGCGGGAGGGGGTGTTATGATTCAAGTTCTTGAACAAACAAATTTATCCAAAAATTACCAGCTGCCTTACCCGGATTTGACTACATACTGCAAAAGGGGGACAACCAGTCTATTGGTTTAGCCCCCCCCCCCACTTCAAATTAGCCCCCCCCCCTTCAATTTGCTTCCGACGTCTATGAAAGTAAAGTTTTCACCCCACCCCCGATTCTACATTGTACATGTGCGTGCATGATATTAAAATTGGCAATTAATTTAAAAAAAAATAATACTAATAATGATAACAGTTTTCAGTAAATTAGAAAATACACTGTAATACATATAATGCTGTTATATTAACGTGTGCGTGTACAAAACATTTTTACTAAAAATATTCGGTAAAGTTGCTAGGTATGCGAATTCCTTTGATCGTTATTTTTATAGTATTAATACATATCTTTTTTTTTATTTTCTGAAAAAAATTCAGTTTTTGATATGTATGCCAACTCCTGTAATTGAACTGCCATATCATAGACAATAAAACCTTTTTTTCTATATTGCTAAAATTCGGTCCTATAACACTCTATAGGTGTCTGTTTTAAACAATAATCAAATAATATCAAGAATTTAAGGTTCCATGAAGTTTTAAATTTTGTTCTCTAAAAATACGGACATTATTCAACTAATATACAAGATAAATTCGCTCTTTCCCTCTCGAAAATCAAATGCTCGGTATCTCGTTCTATTTCGACAGACTTTCCACCCATACCACATAGCTATCTATTACTTTATTTCATTAAAAGTATTTTATAAATTTCAAGTTGCACGATCGCATGTTTATCATATTTTCTTTGTTGTACGATCGCATATAGAGTCGTTGCCGATCGCCAAAACGTTTGGCATGTGTTCACTTCAAACCGTTATTTCAACGCTTTTTATTTGATGAAGAACTTCAAATCGGATTTAAAATTTATTATTTACCTATTTACAATTCAAATGTGCCTTTTGGACTGTCGGGTATACGTAATAAGGTAAGAAATACCACTTAAACGAGCTTCATGTGTCACGTTAGGGCAGTCATGTTCAAGGAAAACTTAACTTTAACATAATATATGGCGATTTTTAATGCTTAGAGGACTTTTATGGTGTTAAACATGTCTAGTGGCATTTAAAAAGTCAGAAATGTTGAAGGAAAATTGCGAGGAAATAGGACAAAATAATGTTTTATTTAACCTCATCTTCCTCATGTAGTTGAATTTAACTATCCGCGTTGCCGATCGCGCGTTGACAGGGGTGATAAAGAAGACATGATTGTTAGAGCTCAACCTTTAGGACAACTTTTATGATTTAGAGTGCTGAAAATACAAAAAAGTGACCAAGGATATGTGTAGATAAAACTCATCAGAAACTTAATTTCCAAATCACCACATGATCACCAGATACAAGCAAGATAACTAGAGGGTATATAAAATAAAAAAATAAAATAACTTTCTTACACTATTTCCGAGCATTTTGAGACAGTCTTTCATTGTGAAATGCAAGCAATGATTAGCCAGGCTACTAAGAGATTATGTGAGAATATTAAATGTATTTAGCTTAAACAGAAAACATTTTATTTTTATGACTATATTGCTTAATGTATTGCATCATGATTAGTATGTTACATTTACTTGTACATCATACATGTAATTATATCCCTGTCTGCCTCTTCTCTCTTAATTCATCATTTTACATCATGCTTGTCAAGGGAGGATGAAAAAGTAAAAGTAATGCTTATGCATTCTCTAAAGCTTGCTTTTGCCCCTCTAACCCACCTCTATTCATGCTCCAATTAAATACTTGTCTTATAAAAAGACTCTTAATGGTGAAGAAAAGTTTTTAACTTTAGATCATAATGTATTAAGCTTAAAATTTATTTCTTTTTCATATAATCTAGTCACATTAATTGTATCAAATTCTAAAAAAGTTATTGTTGATGCAGGCAATGCATTTTCTTATTAATAAATAATTATTCACTGATCTTTGAAATCACATTGCTGAAATGAGATGGTGAATATACTTAGAATGGTACAACTTTAAGAACAGTGAATACCTTCCAAATATTTTTTCGATTTCGACCACATTGACTGAATGCTATATCTCACATTTTTGTCAGAAACATGTCTTTGTGGGGCACAATGATAGTCTAAGAGGGAAAATTAATGATCTCTTATGTGTTCACTCAGTCCCATAACAAAAACAAAGAACTTTACAAAAATTAATTGAATCAAATCATGGTGACAAACACTTTTTGTGATGCAAAAGTCAAGCATTAGAAAGGACATTTTGGTTAAATATTTGTTTCCTAAAATGAACTGCACTGTACTTTTTTATACAGTTTTATGATATCAATATAAGGCTATAATATTTGTTTCCTAAAATGAAATGCACTGTACTTTTGAAAACAGTTTTATGATGTCAATATAAGGCTATAATATACATAGTTTGAGAGTATTTTACGACAAGACAAGCTCTTTTAAGTTTACCACATAGTGGGGGAAACCAATCTGCTCTGCTTTTAGCATAGTTAGGAGTCATTTATTGCTCGAATTTAATCCAGCAATTGCTTATATAAGTGTTCATTTGAACTGGTTAATGTGTGTGGAATTTCATTATTAGCAACAAATCACTGGGAACTTTATTGGAAACTGCATCAGAATATGTTACAACTGTATTGTCATGTTCTCTGATAATATTGTATTTTCTCAAAAAATGAAGTCTGGGTTTTATTGGTTTGTAGTGCATGTTATGAAATGTTCGATGACTTTCTTGATGGTTGGAAGTGATTTTAAAATCGTCCACAAAGGCACGAGTCTTTATACTGTGGACTGTAATTAACCTGTGATATATTGGCCATCACTGAATCAACTATCCTGAAGCATGCATCGATAATGACTAAATCACATTAAACATGTACCTTATCTGACAAAGAATTCACCAGGAATCTGTGTCTATTAGAAAGTAATATATAGCAGGTTTTGGTCAGGCATTTTAATGCTAAAACTGTGTTTCCTCATGATTCTTGCTTGCTGTCTGGAATTCTGTTATGAAAGTTTGATGCCAGTTGGAAATTTCATATATACTTTTGTTTTCTGATAAAAGCGTAAACAATTCTTTCATCCTGTGCAAAAAAAAGGTAACTGGATTTTTACATGCAGTTGATAGAGGAATACAAAGCAGTGTAGTGGTTATAGGAATGTTTATAATGTGATAAAGTTATATTGGATGGAGGATGTAGATTTTAGGAGACAGAGTTACTTGATATCTGTGTATTGACTGCACCATGGCAGTGATGTACCTAGCTTCACTGGTGAACACTCAGCTCATAGAATGGAGACAGGTATTATAGAAATGATAGCGATTAGGTAATATTTTATGATTATGTTGTAATCATGTTCAGTTGTTTTAAATGTCTGTTTGATTTATCATTGTTTTCATTATCCCCCTGTTTGTTTCTGTCATTTCTTTGTTATACTGGGTCTTTTTTCATGACACACCTATAAAACTCACTCCATCATAACACTTCATAAAAAATTGTTCATGTAGTTAGGGTTATAGGTACCAGCATGCATCAGGCATAGCACATAACGGCCCAAAAATTCTCAGCAAAGATTAGAATTTTTTCCCTTGGACTTCCTAAAAACAGATTGTACCATCATGCATCAAGCATAACATATAATGGCCAAAAAATTCTCACAAAGATCAGATATTTTTTCCCTTGGTTTATCTATAAAACAGGAGAAATAAAGCAATTTTTATATATTTTTTGCAGGACCATGGTCATTATTGTCTTTGTTTATAAGAATAATCTGCATTTTATGTCGAACAATACCTCATGTTGTTTGGGTTTCGTTCTTTAGTCCTCTTTATAAATATTGTAAAAGATCCCCCTCTTAATGCTTGATTCTCTAATCCTAGAATGGCAGTTTTTAAAAAAAAAAGAACACCTCTCCCCACCCCTGGATAGAGTATTGTTTAAAGATATGTGTGTCATTAGAGACAAATTTAAACAATATACAGTAAAACCTTGTTATCCTGGACTTGTTGGGAGTGAGAACTTCCTGATTTCAGAGGGTAAAAATATAAGTGAAGGAAAAGGGGCATTGGGATTCCATATTCATGGTATTCAATAGATACTGAAGTTGAGCTGTAGTATGGGTACATGTTCATATTTTAAGCAGTTTTGTTTATAAACTAACACATGATCATCATGATCATATTCATTGATGAATTTCTGAAGATCAAAAGCAAACATATTGATAGTTTTTCATTTGACCTTTTTTAAAACAAATAAATGCCCTTTTTTTCTTTGCTTTATTTTCTTTTGAATCTTGAATTTTTTAATTTTGTCTAATTATTCATTGATAATGTAGCAAAATATGTCATTTGATGAGTAAAACACTTGATCATGGGTGGATATCTTTCACTTGTACGTTTTCTACAAGTTAGAATTTTTTAATTTTGTTTAAAAGTATAACCTTCACTTGATTTTTAAATGTAAAAGTGGTTTACATTTAACAATCATCTGAAAAAGCAATGATTTTAATACGTATATTACCGTTTTACATAAAAACATGCATGTACTTATGAGAAAAAAGATTGTACAAAACACTTGATCATGATGTTGTGATTTTATCCCTATAAATTAATATTTTTCAATGATCTATCAGCATTAAATATTCTTTTTGAAAAATAGACAGCAGTTAAAGAATTATAAGCTACAAGTTTTAGCTTACGTGTACTTGGCAATGTACACGTAATCTGCGTAAGAAGATACGTGTAGAAATTTGTCATTAGCTAAAGTGATGACGTAATGCACATAATTCTGGTGCTACACGTACACGTACGCGTACACGTTGGTTTGCTAAACCTCTCTAATGATCTAAGTCTTAAACTTGTGGATTTGAACAAGTACAGGGGAGTCAATATCAAAGGTTTACATTTCAAATAAACAAATTCATTATTAGTATAATACAAGTTTTATAATGAAGCTGCTGAATGTTAATGTCTTTTATACTACTTGAAAACAGGGGTCTGGTATGGCTATGGTATATATTTATGATCATCTTTCAGTTGTTGAAATGTATCTTTGCTACACACACATGGTACTTTAAATCATTCTGGATACATACCAATGGATACCACATCTCAAGTGTAGGAGGCAACTAGATTATAATCTCTACCATTGAAGATGTTTATAGTGTAATAAAAAGTAATCTACATTCATGTATTAAGGTCAGGAGGGAATTTCAGGGTATCTTAGAACCCTTGAAATGGGTTAATGTACAATTTTATTCCATTATTTACACGTAAATTGAACTTTGATTTATGGACCAAAAATAAAAGGTCAAAATATAACTGTCAATGTTTGTTTCTTCAACCAATAGATGTTGGTTTAATGAAAACAGAATTTGATTTTGTACTAATATGTAAGTAACATGTACATATGTAGACTTTGAATACATTTAAAGTCTATCAGAAGGTTTTTCTGAAGCATTGGATTCTAAATAAAATCTTTTTATTAAAAAAAAAACAAGACTTCACAAGTACTGGTTACATTGCATAAACAATTGGCTGTATATTAATGTGTAAGCAAATTGATGCATGCAAGAAGTCTAAAGAACCTAGCAGTGTTAGTGTGCAGAAAGTCGGAGTGTCAGTATAAATCTCTGAGGGGATTGTAGATCTTGTCAGAGACAGACAGTCAGTGTATTGACAGGGTTGTTTGGGGTTTTATTGGTTATGCATCAGATTATGAAATATATCAGTATACCACAATGTCTTCAATGCTTATAGGATTAGTGCAAGTGGTACATGTATAGATTGTGGTCTGAGCAGGGCCATTTAGTCTAAGAAAACATTTTTTTTACGACTGTAGTCAAAGCTTTGATTTTACTTATTCTTATTTTCATGATTGGAATAACACTGATTTCAATCCACTTTGATTTTGTGTTTTACTTTCCCTTTCCTACATGATGCAGAGGTTAAAGTGTTTGCTCTAGAATTGTAGAGTAAGGAGTTGATCCTTTTGTCTTGAGTTGGAATCCAAATGACCGAGACCAGTCCTTTGTTGAAGTAGATGCTGGCACTAAAAATATCCCTCATTTGTCAAAGATCTAAGTGCCAAGTACAGTTGTTTATATTTTCTAACCTTCATCAGCAACTGCATCTAAGTAACTGGTGAAAATCCTTGAAGGGATGTTAAACATATTTGTCCTTTTACCATTATTAAGTTATTTTCAGTTGTGTATTTACATCAGAATTAATTATTTTGTACTTAAGTGAAAACAGCAGACTCATAACAGCAGTGAAAAAAAACTGCAAATAGAAATTTTAAAAGGAAATAAAGAAGTGATCTTGGTCATGCTTGCTGCAGGCCTTCGAGTCATTACTACTCATCACTATGTATATTTTGGTATGGCCAAACAGAGAAGAGCTTGTTGAGATTTAATGAAGAGGTGCACAATTACATTTGTTATGACTGATGGTTTAGATTATAGCTCTTTCTTGATTGATGTAGACTTTACATGCACACTTCATATGCTGCTTTACATAATATTTAGGAAGTAGAGGTGTTGATATTAAGTGTCCCATCATCAAGAAAATGTTTGTGTATGGTTCAATCAAAATATTTAATAGACTATTTCTTATGAGAAGATTCTTGAATGCAGAGTATCTATGTTAATTTTACTTATAACTAACTAAAATACATCCATATGCTACAATGTGTGATACTTAGAGATACAAACACATGATCACACTTAAAAATATGTACATGCAAGTATTTTGAAATAGTAATCAAAAAGTCAAAATAATTTACCTGAAATACAATTTTCCTGCTCTCAAAATTCAGTGACATACTGTACATGGTGACAAATATGAAGAACAATATATTGACTCTAAGCTTATGAGAACAAAGCCTCACTTAAACCCTGCCCTACTATTTTGACCCACTTCCTGTATCTATTTCCTTGTTGATGGAGGGAAAACTTTTTTGTTTGCTCACTGTCTATCTTGTAAAAAAAAAAAACTAAAAATTTTAAGGAAGGAAGTAAAAATAAAACAGCTATTTTAAAAGTTTGAGCAGTTAAAATTGGTAATGGTTTAATGACTGTTTGGAGATGTATGTTATAACGGTAATGTTTTGTTTTATTATATCACTTTATCTACTTCCTTTGAACACATGTTCTCAGCAGTCAGTGACATGCAATCATTGTCACATATTTCCGCTGATTGTTTATTTATCGGCAGTTCACAGTAGATTTTTGTTTACAGTCTATCTGTGGAGTCATGAGTTCCATTTTCTAGTTTAGGAACAAAATGTCACATTTTCAGTTTTTGAGACATAATGTATGTATTGTAGAGTTCCAGAACAAACATTGAACTGTGTTTAATTGGTACTATAAGGATTATAATTTTGTTTTGTAGGCCAGACCCAAACAAGTAGACCCGGTTGACTATGAGACTTATATCGGTAAGAACAAGAGTATCCTCCACAATGATCCCCAGAGGGAGATGCTCACGTTCCCGTACGATGACATCATCATTCCGGTAAGATTTCACACTCAGCAGTCAAGGTTGTTGTTGAGAAAGGGTCAGGAAAGGGGGGAGTTGAAAGTTGGAACTAAAACAAAGAATCAGGAATAATTTTGTTTGCTTGTTGACTTTTTTTTACTTTTAACGTGGTAGAAATAAACTTGATGTTTCATTGGTAAGTATATTTACAATATAAGTAGGCAGGAGGACACATATTCAACTTATTGTTACAGTAACGATTGTTGTCAGAATATATATTGACTTGAGGAAATGAAATTTATATTAGGGTATCACTTTGATATCATTTTAGCCCCCAAATCCACCTAAGAGGATGCGTACACTGTATTCCACTGTTCCTGATTCAGCATTGGATGAGGCCAAAGATTTGTTGCTGCGGCAGTGTATAAAATCCTATACAGACAGTTGTCATATTGTCAGGTTCAAGTACGGTGCCTATGCTGGACGATATGAGAAACTACCCAAGTGAGTATGAAATCTCAGGATATTTGAATTACAGGTAAACATTGTGTAGCTTACATCCAGGGTCAGACAAATTTAATAATTTTACTAGACACATAATTTGTGATATTGTATCCATTTATGATAGTTTTGGTTGTCAAAAGAAAACATTTTTGTCATAAATGTGGATTTCATGTTTACTGCTTCATTAAAAATCTTAGCACCTGTTTTTCATGATTAATGTAGATTCATTGTTTACTGCAACATTAAAAATCCTAATACCTGTCATATGACCTGATAAATGTAAAGTCCATGCTGAATATGATGTTGATAACTATTTTATTTCATTATATTGTGTTGACTGTGGTGTAGCTATGTTTTATTTCAGTATTATTTTGACTGATGTTGGTAACTCTTGTTTTATGTGATGCTAGTAATTGTGTTAATTTCAGTTTTATGTTGACAGAGATATTGATAGTTTTACTTTATTTCAGTATCAAGAATACAGACCCTCTACCTCAGCACACATTTGAGATTGATGCTGAACCAGAAGAAAGGGGTGACGAGGTCAGAATATATCAGTTATAAGTTCATACACAAAAAAATGTCCTGATGACTGAATGTTCTCACAGATATGGATGTTGTCAGAACCGGTGTAAAAATAAAACTTACGTAGACATTAATGGTTATGCATGAGTGTGTCATCTGTCATAAATTATATCAACAAGGTCAATGTTTGGCTTTATAGGACTTGTGTGTACTATTTTTGTATTGATCATCTTCATGTGTAAGTTGGTTTATATAGGAGTACATTGTATGTGTGTATATAAGATTGTTATATTTAGAAGGGAAAGAGATTTTATGAAGCTTGAATGTCTATTTAAAAGAAACAATTATAACTGCACTTGTAATTATTTCTTCTGCATCCCAAAGATAAACAAAATATAGATTACAATTATTTGTCTGAAAATATATATTAAAAAGTAGAGATACATGTATATCAGCAATACTCTTCACAACCTTCACTTTACATCACAATGTTAGATGGTCCTTTTTGTATCACGTAGGACACAAAGAGTTTGACGGCCAGGATTCAGAAAACAGGCTGGTTGTATAAAGGTCCAGATGGGGGCAAAGAGAACATCATTAGTTTTACAAGGGTAATCTATACAGCTGACAGCTTTATATTCTTTAATAATATTAATATGTAAAGTTTTTCTGTGTATGTTTTATGGATTTTAGTCACATTCTAGGGTTTTAATTTACATTTAAGTATTAAATAAGTTTAGTAGCTTTTTATTGTATGCAAGTTTGAAAAACTGTTGTTGAAGGAATATTATGGAAAGTATCACATGATGCACAAAAAAAAATGTGAGGTCAATGACTTTGATTTGATTTATCTTGTAGCAATTCAAGAAGAGATATTTTATACTAAAGCAAGAGTCAGACTTCACATTCAGTTTACAGTTCTACAAAGATGAGCGGAAAACAGATGCCAAAGGAGCCATATTTCTGGACCTGGCAACTGAAGCTAGGCCAGTAAGGAGACAATTTGTTTTCTCTTATACCCATCACAATAGCAGTTTTACTGAATTAATGAGAGAGTTCCATACATGTCTGCAATTTACTTTGTTTAACTCTGCAAACAAATTCTCTTACAATGGTTATTTTTTTGGAAAGTTTGTCTGAATTACACCCTAAACCTGATGAAAGATATGAAAAAAAAACTACCCACCTACTTTTTGCAACATACTTTTGTTTATCCTAATGTCTTCAGGTAGGCTAATTGCTCAAAGAGCAAATGTTAGCTATTGTCAGCCTCATGTTCAAACCCAGCAAATGACTGAACTCAAGTTAAATTAACATTATTAATACTTTATCTCAATAATGATGTTGAGGTGATTTATATGTTAATTCAAACAAATGAGCACAAAACAAAGATTTAAAAAAACAATCAGTAGTTACAATTTTGAAAGTTTTAAATATTTTTTGAAAATATCACATTTATATGTACTGGGTGTATAAATTTACCCCGCTTATGTCTTAAATTTTTATCGCCGGTATCAGCTGTTTTCTATATATATATGATTTAAAAAACACCTGAAATCTTGAACATGGTAATATCGAATACCCTGCTTGTGTTGAAGTACATGTATATTCAAAGTCCCAAGCCCCTTTTCACCTGGCTTATCTCAAAAGTGCAGTGAATTTTTGGGTCTACTGAACACACCTGGCGTCGTGACTTCACGCATTCTTGCCAGTGGCTATTAATTGACACATTCAAACGGGGGGGGGGGGGGGTTGCCATCTTAATTAATCTCAGTTTGGTATCTGTGTCAGGGTAATTGGTATCACAGCTTGGGTGTTTAGTGTAGTCTATGACCGATAAAACAAACAATTTCGCTGCAATTCAGAAAATAAAGACAGACAGTATTACTGATATTGCATTTAATAATATGCTCTGTATAATTGAAATAGTAAATTCATAAAAATAATAATTTTCACGATTAACTTAAATTAAACAGTTAAGTTGCAGTGCATAATGCACAGTGCAGTGATTGATTACATTCATGCTTATCTGCATATAAATAGATAACCTTGACTGCCATTGACATTGTTAGTTTCGTAAACTATATGTTCCTTAGCAGTACATGTACTTCGTAATGTAATACATGTAAGCTATTAATATTCAAGTACACATTTTAAATACTGATTATTTTTTTAGTGCTCTAAATAACACTAAATTTCATCAAATAATGTTTTTAAAAATTTTGTCTTCTTCTTTGTTCTTCAACTATAATGCTAATGATACATCCCGTTGGACCACGTAAGCATAGCCTGGAAAATGTAAAATCGCTGTATATGCAATAAGGCATGTACATTAAATTGTTTTACAATTATACACAATAAAGAAAACAACAACATTGTTTTTCTTAATATTTATTGTGAATATGCTTGAGTCTTTACCATAAAGACTACATGCCTGGTAATACAGGATAGTGGTATGCATAAAGGTATATACAAAAAAACGGGAAATTATTGATTCGACTTTGGAAGTTAACTTCTGATATCTCAAACCCCCGGATATCTCGAAGTCATATCCAGGTCCCTTCAACTTCGAGATATTGATATTTCACTGTTACGATTTTGAAAATATAAATAATTTTTGAAAATATCACACATATATGTACTGGATATGTAACATTTACTCATGCATTCATTTTTAAATTTGTAGTCACCATATACTAAAAATTAGATGAAAATACTTAAGTACATGTACTGACTTCAAAAAAAAGGTATATAAACCCATGCGGTCCATGTTAAGAGAAAAAGTACTACATTTATATATATATATGTTATCATTTCACCTGTTTTCTTCAGAACTCTAAGAGAGGGACACAAGTGGTCCTCACCAATGACCGCCCCCCGTATGTGTTCGCTGCTGAATCAGAAACAGAGATGAATGATTGGATCAGAGTATTGAACAAAGCAATAAACGCTGCAGAAACGGCATCCAATGTCTCTATGGAAAGGATTAAAGGTATTCCAGACTGAATTTATATATATAAAAGCTTTGTTTATATCAGTTATATATGTATGTTTGTATTGTAATATTCATGACTTCATTGAAATCACTTCAGGGTTTGCATGATTATTTATCAGCAAAAGGTTGTTGATTGACATAAGGTAAAGGAAAATGCAGGAAGAAAATGTTTTTGTTTTTTTTCGTGGTTACAGGAATAAACATGTTTACAAATTACAACAAATAAAAGTAGATATATTTTGTGGGAAAACTTATTGCTAATAACTGTATAGTCAAATGAGTTAGAAGTTTTGGTCTGATTTCAATAATTACTTGATATTCAAATAAGGTAGAAACACCATCACTTTTCTATTAATAAGTTCAAAATGTTCACAATATACTTTTTTTCTGGTGGGTGTTGGAACCTGCTCCCTTTTTAGTGTTTTTGTGTGTGTGTGTTTTTTTAATTTTTTTAAAATTTTGTTTTGGATAAAATTAAATCTTCTTAACCCGATTGTTTAATGTTTTTAGGGCCCCGCAAGGATTTGCGGGTGCCCTATAGTAATCACTCTGTCCGTCCGTCTGTCCGTCTGTCTGTCTTCTGTCACAACTTCCGTCCACAAATTTTCTGTTTTTTTCTAATAACTTTTTTTATGGTTGCCCAATCAAGTTCAAATTTGGTATGGTAGTTCAGTAGGCAGAAATACATATTTTGATGCTAAGTTTGGTTCTCTATGTCCCATGGTTTGGAGCTGGGGTGGTGGGGTAGATTCCTTAACTATGCATAAGAATGAACGGGCAACTTTTTTTATGGTTGCCCAATCAAGTACAAATTTGGTACGGTAGTTCAGTAGGCAGAAATACATATTTTGATGCTAAGTTTGGTTCTCTATGTCCCATGGTTTGGAGCTGGGGTGGTGGGGTAGATTCCTTAACTTTATATAAGAATGCATTGGCAAAGAGAGATAACTGCTGAAGATGTTCCCATATTGTAAACTGAATGCTGCTAGGAGTCCCTTGGGATTAATGTAGCTTTCCTCCTGAAGAAAATCCAGAGCATTATCTTTATCTGTCACATTGAGATTAATTACCACCTCTGTCTGCAAATGAAGTTTGTTTTGAAGTTAAATCAATTTGGAATGCTATGAACACTCTGAAATGTGGATTTAAATATAAATTTTTATTATTTATTTTTGTTTGATAGTTATGATTTCATTGAATTCTAAAAAAAAGAAATAGATGAAAGAAGATTTTTTGATTTACTTTTTTTCACTTTTTTCACTTTTTTTAGCTCACCTCAACGAAGTTGGGGGAGCTTATGTAATACCCTCGGCGTCGGCGTCGGTGTCGGCGTCGGCGTCCACGTCGGCGTCGGCGTCCCAGGTTAAGGTTAAGTTTTTTGGAGCAGTTTTCTTTTTAAGTACTTCTATGTCCTATATTGATTAGACATGCATGGAAGATGGTTCTAGTGTGTTTCATTGTACCAGTCAAAGTTTCAGATGCTGCAATTTCAGCAAAGGAATGACCAGGTTAATGTTTTTGGAGCAGGTTAACATTTTTGGTGCAGTTTTTGGTGTAAGTTTCATTTCCAAGTAACTATAATCCCTATGTTGACCAAACTTGCATGGATGATACATCTAAGGATGGATACTACCGGGCTGAATCTGACCTACATTTTCTGGTTGAGCGAACAGGTTAAAGTTTTTAGTGCAGGTTTCATTTCCAAGTAACTATATATAAGCCCGATGTTGACCAAACTTGCATGGATGATACATCTAAGGATGCATACTACCGGGCTTGCTTCGGATGCTGAATCTGACCTACATTTTCCGGTTGAGTGAACAGGTTTAAGTTTTTGGTGCAGGTCTCATTTCCAAGTAACTATAAGCCCTATGTTGACCAAACTTGCATGGATGATACATCTAAGGATGCATACTACCAGGCTCGCTTCGGATGCTGAATCTGACCTACATTTTCCGGTTGAGTGAACAGGTTTATGTTTTTGGTGCAGGTCTCATTTCCAAGTAACTATAAGCCCGATGTTGACCAAACTTGCATGGATGATACATCTAAGGATGCATACTACCGGGCTTGCTTCGGATGCTGAATCTGACCTACATTTTCCGGTTGAGTGAACAGGTTAAAGTTTTTGGTGTGGGTTTCATTTCCAAGTAACTATAAGCCCTATGTTGACCAAACTTGCATGGATGATACATCTAAGGATGCATACTACCGGGCTTGCTTCGGATGCTGAATCTGACCTACATTTTCCGGTTGAGTGAACAGGTTAAAGTTTTTGGTGCAGGTTTCATTTCCAAGTAACTATGAGACCTATGTTGACCAAACTTGCATGGATGATACATCTAAGAATGCACACTACCGGGCTTGCTTCGGATGCTGAATCTGACCTACATTTTGTATATATAACAGGTTAAAGTTTTCATCAAGAGATGAAAATTATATATTTGCTTCAGATGCTGGATTTTGATTACATTTTCATGAAGAAGAACTAGTTTAAATTGTTTATGTAGGTCTATTTCAAAGTATCAGATCAAAATTGCTTAAATATTTTCATTTTTGGAATGTACACTTTTTGTTGGTTAATTGTGTGACTTTGCCTTACTTAAAGATAACAAACGTTGAGGTAAATTACTGTAATCTCTGATTACCTATGTTTTTAAAATATATTAATTCAAGAATATTATTAATTTTTAATGTAGTTGTATAAAACCCCCATTCTATCATTAATACTGAAAAAATTCTTATTGTAAATTTAGAAGAAAATGATGAGAGAGGTGTACAATTAATCCCTTGGGATTAATTATGTTTGCCTGCTGCAGAAAATTTAGTAGGCTTTTCTTTATCTGTCACTTTAAGATTAATGAAAACCTTTGTCTGCAACTGCTGTTTGTTTGAAGTTAAGGTCAAGCCTTCATGATATTTGCATTCATTGAAGGCTGGCATTTTATATAACACAAGCTTCATAATTGTTTAAATATACATTCAATGTTAAGTTGTTCTTTACTGCCTAATGTAAATACAAGGATATTATTTTCAGGTTTTTGAATATTCAGGAATTATCTTGAAATTTTAAGAATACAGTTGCTGTTGCTTATTCTTCGTACATTTATTAATCATTCTGTAAGCTGCACCCTTTTAATTCTACCCCATGGCGGGGCCCTTGCTGACTGGTCAGTTTTCTAGTTTAAGATTCCAGTAATATACCATGGAGCACCAAATAGTAACATGTCTTTCATTAGTGTCCAAGTGTTTCTTGTGTTAATTTTATAATTCGCTTCATTTAGATGATTAATCTAACTTTGAATGTATTTTATTTCTTTAGAGGAAGTTCAAAATTTGTGACAAGTCTGGAGAAAAAGCAGAAATTAGCATGCATCCAGAGTTAGTGAAGGTAAAGGATCATTTTCTCCACCCACTTATTTCTTTGTGAATATTTCTTCAGTTTTAAGAGATTGTTGTAGAATACTGCAAAAGTTAGATGATAAATAGACATTTTTAAAATTAAATTTTAATAAATCTTTTTCAGTATAACAGAGAAAGTGATATGATGTTAACAAAAGCTCGAGAAGAAAACAGGCACAACCTTTTCAGAGTTTATCCTGGCATTGTGAGTTGATAAGGCAACAAGTCTTGGTTTACTGTCTATTTGAGGATAATGGTTTTATATAAATGATGAATTCTTGAAGAGAATTTAATTCTTTAAAGACTTTAAAGTCTTTGTCTACAAAATGCCCATTCCAATTTAAAATGCAAATGTGTATTCTTTACACATGTTCATCTTTCATTTACTCTCAATCTGTATTTGTTATAATGGTTTCACATTGGTTTTACATGCTAGATCTCTATCTTTTACAGAGGTTCCACTTTGATGAGGACGATGAGGAGGAAGATGATAATCAGGAGGACATTGAGGTGTTCCCGGCCACAGTGTGTGACCACTACCTGATGAGACTGGTGGACTTCAAGCTTAAAACACAGGTCAATCTGGCTGAGGAGGGCTTCGGACAGAAGTTCGCAAATGTAAGGAAAATTAATAACTAAGCAAATACAGTTTATCTAGAACTGGATGAGACCAAGAAAAAACTTATCGGATGGTAAAATACTTAAAGAAATTGTGCTTGGGACTTCCAAATCACTTCAAACATATCCATGGTATTTGGGATATTGGTGTTCAAGATACCAAAGTGTAACTGTGTATGATAACAATTTGGCATGATTGCATTTTGGGATTCTGTGCAATGACAAGTCTTACAAATTATGCATATGCAGATTCATTAACTGATTTTGTCCTAAGGTTAAGTCAATATTGTTCTTGGTAACCTGAATTCAGTACATACTTTGAATTACAGCCCGAGCCCTTCTTTCTGAGTTTTGCTTTGTATGATGCCAAAGAAGGAAAGAAGATTTCGGAGGATTTCTACATAGACCCCAATGAGAAGGAAATCAGACAGATGGTCCCTGATGAGGTCTTGTTAGCTTCAGACAAACTCCACTCTATAGAGGGCAGAAACACCTCCCCAAATCTCCACGACTTGTCAGAGGAGTGGCTGCTTAAAAAGGACAGACATGTAAGACCTGTTAAGTAGTTACATGGACTCAGATTTAATGTAAATCATGATATGTGGTCAGCTTTTCATTATTTTAATTGAAAAGAGGTTGTGTGTGAATTTTGGAATGTGAGTGCTTGATGTTTAGTACTGTAGAACTTTATTTTTGCATAATTTAATATGTGAAACCATCTGTTGCAAAAATTTTATTCTCGTGTATGTTTTATTATCAAAGGATATATAGAGCAAAAACCAGGATTCAGGAAAATTTTGTCTAGCTTATAAATACAGCATGTAAAGAACAAGGTTCACTTTTGCCTTATTTGGCCCATGAATTTCTGAAAAATTGAAACTGCATAGTTTTAGTTAATAATGCATTGAATAACACTTAGATCTTTGGTGACTACATATCTATAAAAAATGACGTAATTTCCCAGCTAGTCAATGCATTATGACGTCAGAAAATGCGTCAATTTCCTCTATTCTGAAAAAGTCTACAAAAAAGTTATTTTTCGATATTTAGTATGGAGCACAACCTCTAGCTGATCTAAAATATGCAATTCCTAAATGATAGAACTGTTTCTGAAGATTAAAAAAGTTTTATTTTTTAGATCAGAGAGTGTGCTGATATTATTTTTCTTCACTAAAAGTACTCAATTTTACCCGTTTACCTTAAAATTCAAGAACATTGCAATTTCATAAGGCCAGTTCTCCAAGACCTTGACTTTTAGGAGAAAATTTTTAATAGGAAATGAAAGCACTAAGTGTCTATTTTATTTTAATGCTTGAAATGGAAAATCAAGTGTTAATCAATCAATTGGTATATCGACAGGGCCATTTTATGCATAATGTGAACCGAGCTCTTTAAGGTTTCACAAAAATTTGGTGATCAGAGTGTATTTTATGCATTTACAGGGTGTGTTCTCGGTGACTTCCTGCCACGCTGAGGTGTACTTGTTTGTGAGGATAGAGAAGGTCCTCCAGGGCTCCCTGTCCCAGGCTTGTGACCAGTACCTCAAAGCCCCCTCTGGTAACAAAGTCTACAAACAGATGAGGCAGTTCTGCTCACAGATCGGACATCACAGAATGCCATTTGGATGGGCTGCAAGGTGATTTAATAGAGATTATCTTGTATTTACATGTATGTACATGTATATACATAATAAATGTATGTTCAGTGTTCCAAGATGGACAGAAAACAGGAAAAATATTATTTTATTAAAATTTTAGTTTTGCTGTTCTATATTTAATATCAAACTAAAATGTAAGCATTCATTGTATTCAGCTTTATCTTGCCGTTTGTATTTAACAGCTGTATTGCAGAAAATGTTTCTATGTCTTATTTAAGTTATGAAAATAAAGTTCTTAAACTTTAAATCTAGTGCATGTTTACTTGATAGAGTTCTTAAAAGGAGAAGAATTTTTACATGTATTATTATATGTAATATTTTTAGACAATTATAGGCATTGAAAAACAAATGGAAGAACTTAAAAATTACAGACAGGGTGCTTAAAAATTTTCAATTCACAGGAAGTCATCAAAGTTCTACAGGACTTGAAAAAGTAAGTGAAGGTGCATGATAATTCTTTTATTTTTGGGAAAGTAGTTAAAAAATAGCACAAGGGAAGAAAGGCATAATTTAAGAAGGAATGCTAGTGTTCTTAATATTTGTTTCAATTGATAGACCTTAATTCTTGACCTCTTGTGCTTCACTTGTAAAAATAAGTTTTAAAAAATTCCAATTTTTTCTTGAATGAATGAAGGATTAAAATTAATATTATTACTGGATTTTTTCACTATAATAAAAAAAGGAATCACTTAAGAGATCCCAGGGTAAAAATTACAATTCACAAAATTAGCCTTTACAAAGTATGCATTTATATTATCACCTTTATGTAACAGAAGATGATCAGTATATTCATGCATTATTATTGCTTTTTTTTTTTTTTTTTTTTACATAATTTTTAATTATATGAAAAACAATTTATATATTTTTTTCTCTGAAAATCAATTAGTAAACAAGGAGTACATTCTTTAAAGCAGGTTTTGTTCTCGAAGAAAAGTAAATTTCATTGATTTTTATTCTATTATTAGAATATTATAAATGGGGTATGTTGTAGATGTAAACTTTATTATCAGTTTTTACAATTACATTGTATAGTCTTTGTGTGGTACTTTGGTGTTATGTAATTCAGTACAATTTTATATATTAAGTTATCTTAACAGTAAATGTGAAAATATAATCTCTTCATTAGAACATATTAGAAACCTCTCAGAATATCTGATTTTATTCACTTTCTGATGCACAATGTTTGTGACATGACTAATACCCTATATAAACCAATTTATTGATATACAGCTGTATGGTACACATTAATTTCTTAAATTTGACTTTGTTTTTGCACATTAGTTGTTTTTATGAGTTGAACAGGTGGACTAACCTTTGAATTACTTAGTACCAATGAGAAAATTGTGTTCCTATTTTGGATATGATAGTGTAAAAGTTAAATCTTTCCGATCATATCTCTTACCTGGCCATGTTGTGTCTACTAAATATGCAGGCCAGGACAACAGCTAAGAGCTCTGCATTTCTTTATTTGTTATAATTGGTTAAATTATTGTTATTTACAGTTATAACAGAATATTTGTTAGTGTATTAATATTAAATTCCTATTTTCAGATTGACTTTCTCTAGTGCCATTAAATTGCATTCCCCATCCCCCCGGATTTTTTTTGGAACAGTTTGTCCTAGATAGGGCATCATTTGTGATACATTTTATCTTATTAAATTTTGCATCTTTATGTTTACCCATGAACCTTAATTTGATCACCAAAAATCATTACAAAGGTCAAGCCTTTTTAATTTGGTAACTCAGAATATCTTTAAATTTATGTAATGTGATATGTACATCATCAATGAATTGTTCACTTATGTGTTTTTCAGGCAAAATATATACATGTTGTGTGGAGATATTAGAGATTCAGATGATGAAAATGCAATTACCATTTCTGACAGATGAGTAAAAGTAACTGTCCGAAAATGCATGTTTACTTTTGTTCATATATCTTAAAAATTTAAGTATGTAATTTTGATCTGATTTGCTATCTGTTGTGCATCTATCTATTCAATCTCCTTAATTTCATTAAAAGAAAATGTCTCAAAACTCAGTCAAATTTTCATTGAATTCTTTTTCTTAGCGTATATATGCTCGCCCAGAAGTAGGTGTATTCACTACTGTTGCTAGTGCCACTGTTCTCCATCATAACACTTCACCAGACTTCCTAGAGGAGGTAGGTAGTTCTCAAAAACTCAACTCATTTAGATTTGCACTGTTGGAATAAATTATTGTTCATACCCTTATAACATGTATTTGTTATGTAAATATTAAACAAATATTTTGGTTTTGATTGTCTCTAGTGCCAATTAAACCAGTTCCCCATACCCCACGCATCAAGCTATGAGGTGAACAGTTTGTCCTAGATAGGGCATCATTTTTTTGTGATACATTTGACTCTTATGTAAATCATCTTTATGTTTATCCCATGAACCTTATTTTATTTCATTTTTTTGTCTTGATATGAACACAACATAAAATTATAAAACTATTCAAAAAGGTAAGCCTTTTTATTTAATTTTTTTGTAACATTAGAAATATTTTAAATTTATGTAATGTGATATGTAAGCATCATGAATTGTTCACTTATGTGTTTTTCAGGCAAGAAATATTTCATGTTGTGTGGAAATCAGAGATTCAGATGATGAAAATGCAATTCCATTGAAGGTATGAAGATGAGTAAAAGTAACTCACCAAAAATGCCTTAATATTTAATTTTGTTCATACTATTCTGGAAAAATTTAAGTTGATGTAATTTTGTGAATCTGATTTGCTATCTGTTGTGCATCTATCTAGTTCAATCTCCTTAATTTCATTAAAAGAAAATGTCTTTCAAAACTCATAGTCAAATGTTCATTGAATTCTTTTTCTTAGCGTATATATGCTCGCCCAAAATATCGAAGTAGGTGTGTTCACTACTATTGCTTTGCCACTGTTCTCCATCATAACACTTCACCAGACTTCCTTAGAGGAGTGTAGATATGCATATTCTCAAAAACTCAACTCATTCAATATAGATTTGCACTGTTGGAATAAAAAAAAATACATTCTCAAACTAGTTACATGTATCTCAATTAAAATTGAAACAAATATTGTTGGTTTTGATTGTTTGAATGAATTAGTTTGTCAGTTAATTATACCCGCAGCAACAAGTTGCCTATTTAGGACACAATGTTTAGATATGGAATAATATCCGAAAATTCTGTAGTCGGTGTCAGTCTGGAAATTCGTCGTCACTTTTCCTTATATTTTTGGCCATTTTTTTGGTCAGCGCAATTCCTCATAAACCGCTGTACAGAATTTCGTCAAACTTTGCAGTTATTTAGGACACAATGTGTAGATATGCATATTACCAGGAAATTCCGATTCCTTTATTTTTCCGGGAATTTCCGCACTTTTCAATTTAGATTTTTGGCTAAACCTTGAATAAGAGATGAACAGTTTGTCAGCGCAACTCCTCATAAACTGCTGCACAGAATTTCGTCAAACTTTGCAGTTATTTAGGACACAATGTGTAGATATGCATATTATCAGGAAATTGGGATTCCTTTATTTTTTCTACAAATTTCCACATTTTTCAACTTACATATTTGGCCATACCTTGAATATAGAGATGAACAGTTTGTCAGCGCAACTCCTCTTAAACCGCTGCAAACAATTTCGTTAAACGTAGCACATATTTAGGACACAATGTGTAGATATGCATATTACCAGAAAATTCTGATTCCTTAATTTTTCTGGAAATTTCGGCACTTTTCAACTTATATTTTTGGCCATTTCTTGAATATAGAGATGAACATTTTGTCAGTGCAACTCCTCTTAAACTGCTGCACAGAATACTGTCAAACTTTGCAGATATTTAGGACACAATGTGTAGATGTGTATATTATCAGGAAATTGGGATTCCTTTTATATTTTTGCCAGCAATTTCAGCACTTTAATTTTTGGGGGAGCGTGGAGTATGTGAGCTTGCTAACCTTTTCTTTCATTTACAATGGAAAATGATGACAGTTTTGAATGTAAATTTTATATGGTTTGTAGGTGAAGATCGCTCTTCCCATACAGTTGCATGATAAACATCATATATTATTCCGCTTCTATCATGTTAGTTGTGAAGGCTCAAAGTCTAATCGTAGTTCAGCATCTTCCATTAAAAAACGAGACAATATAGAGACACCTGTAGGATTCGCTTGGCTTCCTCTTCTGTCCCAGGGCAGGTTAGTGATAAAAAATCTCACATTGTATTCGTTTTGGAAAGGATGTTAGAGCTTATTACTGAATTATATCTATTCACTTGTACAGCAAACATTCTAATCACAATTCAGAAAAATGTTATTTCACAGCTTGTTCTTAGAACTATGACTTTATACATGTAAATGATAAATCTTTTATACAAGTAGATGCAATTAGATAGCAGTATATACTGTATGAAGTTTTATGAATTTCAGAGTATCAGTAGGGGAACAGAGTATACAAGTTTTGCCTGTACTTCATTACCTAAAGACTACCTCAGTGCTAGATCTCCAGACAGATCAGTAGGTCTTCTCAAGAAATCTCTTTAACCTAACATTGGCTTAATGAAAACTATTGACTGCTTAGTATCTTGAATAACTAAAAAGTAAATTACATCTCATGACATTTTTAGGTCTGATAGAGATAAAATTTCAAAATTAATTTGTTGATTTCTTGTTTTCTAGATTTGTAGGTGCACCAGAAATCAAATGGGTGGATAATGGCAAACCAATCTTTAAAGTCAAGGTCTATCTACAATCCACTGTGTACACAAAGGTTAGTAGAAATTAAAAGCTGTTTGTATTAAAACTCAGTTTTAGTGAAGTTTTAGGGACCAATAAGGTTACTTTTCTTTAAATGTGTATATAATAACATTGATTTGCGATATACTCACATTTGCGTGTTCATACTAAAATGTATTTTATTTGCTCTTCTGAGCCAAAGGCTCAAAGAGCTAATGCTATGGCCATTTGTGTGGTGTGCGTAAACTTTTTAGAAAATGGGCCATAACTCAAGAACCCCTTGACCAATCAGTACCAAATTTGTCACAGGGTATCCTTGGCCCAAGGGCTACCATTTATACTAAAATAAGGGTTGGGACCCTTAAACAAGGGGAGATAATCAGGAAAACAAAACCAAAAGTACTGGTTGCTAAAAAATCTTCTCCATAACCACCAGGCAGATTTTCACCAAACTTACATACAAGGATCAGGATATATCGAAGATTTAAATTTGCACGGGGAATTACCCTGGGGCAAAGGGCATGGTCTCAAGGTCACTTCAAAGTTGACCTAAATTTACAATTAATAAAAATGTGTATATTTTGCTTACTATAAGGACTAGGATCATCAAATTGTGTAAGTTGATGCATCTTACGACTTCACATCATGTTAGCTCAAAAGTAGGTCACAGTGACCTACTTTTTAGATTTTGCGGGGATTTGTTTCCAAATTGATTCGAAGGCATATTTTGGACACTTTAAGGCCTATGATCATCAAACTTTGTCAGTTGATGCATCTTGGGTCCTCAAACAATGTCAACTTAAAAGTAGGTCACCGTGACCTACTTTTTGAACTTTATGACTTATCCTTTTAAAAACATTAAATCCCATTATTTCAGACACTGGGAGGTTTAGAATCATCAAATCTTGTACTTTGATGCATCTTGGGACCTTAAAACATATTTATGAAAAAGTAGGTCACTGTGACCTACTTTTTGAATTTTGCCAACAATTGTTTTCAAATTATTTAAAACGCATATTTTGATTACCTTCAGACCTATGATCATCAAAGTTGGTCAGTAGATGCATCTTGGGTCTTTGAAAAATGTCGACCAAAATGTAGGTCACGATGACCTACTATCAACATTTTATGACTATATTTAAGTATCTTAGGCACTTATTAGCTTAGAATCATCAAACTTTGTGAGTTGATGCATCTTGGGTTTTCGGAGAGTGACGACCAAAAAGTAGGTCATGGTGACCTACTTTTGACATTTCATGGCTTTATTTTAGCATCTCTGGTACTTATTGGCTTAGAATCATCAAACTTTGTGAGTTGATGCATCTTTGGTTTTTGGAGAGTGACGACCAAAAAATAGGTCATGGTGACCTACTTTTGACATTTTGTGGCTATAATTAAGAATCTCTGGTACTTATTGACCTAAAATCATCAAACTTTGTCAGTTGATGCATCTTGGGTTTTCGGAAAATTGTCGACCAAAAAAAGAAGGTCACAGTGACCTACTTTTGACATTTTGTGGCTATATTTAAGTATCTCAGGCACTTATTGGCTAAGAATCATCAAACTTTGTCAGTTTAGGCATCTTGGGTTTTCGGAGAGTGACGACCAAAAAGTTGGTCATGGTGACCTACTTTTGACATTTTGTGGCTATAATTAAGTATCTCTGGTACTTATTGACCTAAAAAATCATCGAACTTTGTCAGTTGATGCATCTTGGATTTTTGGAGATTGTAGACCAAAAAGTAGGTCACAGTGACCTACTTTTGAAATTTTATGGCTATATTTAAGTGTCTCAGGCGCTTGTTGCCTAAGAATCATCAAACGTTGTCAGTTGAGGCATCTTGGGTTTTCAGAGAATGTCGACCAAAATGTAGGTCACGGTGACCTACTTTTGAATATTACAGGTACGTATTAGCTTAGAATCATCAAACTTTGTCAGTTTAGGCACCTTGGGTTTTCGGAGAACGTCGACCAAAAAGTAGGTCACAGTGACCTACTTTTGACATTTTATGGCTATATTTAATGATATCTGGTACTTATTGGCTCGGAATCATCAAAACTTTGTCAGTTGAGGCATCTTACGGTTTCATTGAATTTCCAACAAGAAGTAGGTCACGGTGACCTACTTTTGAATATCTCAGGTACTTAATGGCTTAGAATCATAAAATTTTGTCAGTTTAGGAATCTTGGGTTTTTGGAAAGCGTCGACCAAAAAGTAGGTCACCGTGACCTACTTTTGACATTTGATATTTAATTATCTCTGGTACTAATTGGCTTAGAATCGTCAATCTTTGTCAGATGATGCATCTTGGGTTTTCAGAGAATGTTGACCAAAAGTAGGTCATGATGACCTACTTTTGAATATCTCAGGTACTTATTTAATTAGAATCATCAGTCTTTGTCAAGTAATGTATCTTGAGTCCTCAGAAAATTTCAATCAAAAAGTAGGTCACTGTGACCTACTTATAGTATTTTATAATTATATTATAATATCTTCAGTCTTAACTGGCTAAATATTATCAAACTTTGTAAGTTGACGCATTTTGGGTCTTATGATACTAATAGAATTGGAGGCTTCTAATAGAAGTGATAGATTGTACAATTTATCAGAAGAGCGATTCAAGGCCCTTGGGCCTCTTGTTTTCTTTCATAGGAGCGTTGCAATGTACAACTCTTATATAGTTTTAAATAATTTTATCCAGACATTTGTTAAGGATATCAAATACTGTAGATCACTAAATTTTTGTGTCACCTTATTTTCGCGAGATAGTCATTAACTCTTTTATTAGCGAAACATACATGTAATTTTCACGAATTGTTGTTATTCCTCTATATAATTGTAAGGAATACTTTTATATGTTATAATGAAATTTTTGTGAGCTCATTGTCTCACATTATGGAAAATAAAGTTCTCACAAATAAAAAGGGATTTACAGTACATACAGAATGTAATAACACCTGTATTCAAAACTATAGATGTATTTGACAATATTTGAAGAGTGTTAAGAAAGAATTAATTTACCGTGATTATTTTATTTGTTCAGGATCAACATTTACACAACTTTTTTTACCACTGCCAAAAGATAGAAAATGCATTAATGCCTGGAACAGATGTGGATAGCTTAAATAAAATTAAGGTCAGTACATGCACTTATTTCTAAGTCTTGTTAATGTGACATAATTTTTAAGTACTGACACCAATTTAATATACATGTACATGTATATATATTTAATAAGTGAAATAACTTGTTTAATTTTGAGCATTTTTTTTTTCATTTTTATCATCTGTTACCTATTTATTTATTGAGGTTTTTTTGTGTCTAATGCACTTAGTTTATTTAAAAAATTAACAATAAATTGATTTATACATACAAGGATAAAATTGTAACCTATTACTCTCAGCTGATTCTCGAATTTTGAAATTAATATCTTCTTGTATATTTTCTTTATTTTATGCAAGATATTTATGAGGAATCTGTATTTAGTTACTGAGTGTATTTAGGTACTGTTTAATATAATATAAAAATATACATCAAGTACATGCAGTTACATAACATTCAAAGATCATAGTCATGCAGTTACATGTATTTCAATTTTATTTATGTGTAGATTCAGTATTTTGTCTCGGGTTTACTTGTACTTGATAACATTCATGTAATTTGCAAATATATGAAACTTTTGTTTTTATGGAATTATATTGGTTTGGATGTATTACATATTTTGTAGCCCTATTTTTTGGTATTGTTCATTTCTTTGTTTACTGCTGTATCTTCTATTTTAACATTTCCTGTAAAAACTTTAGATCAATCTGATTAAAATCAGATCATTTGATCCGCTCACATAGATCACTACACAAGGATCTGAAGAAACCCCATTCAGGGTCATCTCCTGGTGACCTTTCTAATAAAATTATTCATGAAAATTTTGACCAATCAGAGAGTTCATACTTAAGCGACTTTCAGGAAAATGAAATTAGAAGTGAAAGTAGCTGCGGAGAAGATCTTATCGTTTCGTACAAAACAAAGAGCTATAAAACAAGACAAAAGCAAGTACTTATTATATTACTGTACAGAAAAGACTGTGGTTCTTCTCTTGACAGGCTACAGAAACTAGTTCACGATTTTTCCATTCGTGTATCATCGGGCCTTTCCCCTCTGTTACTGAATTCCAAGATACTTTCCAATTCTCTAAAGTGAACATTTGATTGGCTAATTCAAAGGTCACCGGGAGATGACCCTGAATGGGGTTTCTTCAGATCCTTGTGTAGCGATCTATGTGAGCGGATCAAAGGATCTGATTTTAATCAGATTTACTTTAGATGAAACTTTAATCAATTCTGCATGCTTTGCAAATAGGCAATTTTCTCAAGATCATTGAGTTTTAATGTCTCAAAGACTGCTGTTGGAAGGTAGATTGGCCTTTCTGAGTATAAACCTTGGCCAGGGCTTCTGAACTCTCTAAGTTAGCATCATCTTATTTCAATTGGTCAATATAAATGATTTGTGTTGGTCAGAATCAGACTTTTAAGGTCAAATAGACACCTTGTCCCACCTTGTCCACACACGCCTGCATACAACTGCTAACTGTGTGTATTTTTTTTCACAAAATCACCATGATATAAGTAAAGGAAAAAATATACAGATGTAAATTATATGGGCTATAATACGTGTTTATAGTTTGATGTAATTTTACATCTTTTGTTATTTTGAGAACATTTATTTTATTAATGATCCTATTGGTTAATATGTCATATAACAGCTTGACAAGCCTACCATGGATTTGGAGAAAACCTTTCTATCAAATTCAGCCAAGGTAACATTTCTTCCGGGTTTCACCCTCCACTTTATCTAAAACCTGAATAATGAATGCAAGCAAACCATTTGTTAACACCTATAAACATACATTTAAAGTGCATTTTGGAATGTCGACCCATCAGTGATGATCTTTATACATTCCCTGTTAATACAATTATTTCTTATATTAAAATAGCCAAGTACACATATACAATATGCAAGTGATTACATATACATGTAAATATTCATTATTTAATTTAAAAAAACCAATATTACACTGTAAAACATGCAGCCATTATAAAACAGAAACAGGTTTTTGAAATTGAAAGATGATTTTTTTTAAATGCTGTGTGAGGTTTTTGTATTTTGTTTTATTTAGAGGGCTTTTGTTCAGCACAAGAAGTCACTGCATTCTTACAGCTGCACTGTAGGATTTTTTCAGTAATTTTTGGTGTAAATACACCAAATAATAGACAAATGTAAAAATGATTTCCACTTTTGAAATGTAATATCAGCACAAAAGCAGCAATCCTAGAAAAAAATCTGCATTAGTTTGTGTGTTTGAGGGGTTTATTTTGAAGGGAAAATTAACAGGTAAAGGGTACCTTAATGACTTTCAGGTTTTAGGCCAAATTTTGAGCTTGAAAATACCTAATGCAGGCATGTATCACTTATAATTCAGGAATGAAAATCAAAATTAATTTTTTTGAAAACCTACAATGTAATTGAAAGCAATGAAATGTATATGTGTAATCATATTTATTGGAATTATAGATATATTTGAAAAAAACCATAAAATGTGATGTTTCAAGGTGTATAAAACATGAACAATGATTTACATTCTGATAATAGTATTAATTTATTTTCATTCAGAGTATTTTAAGGTATATATTTTCCTTTTCCAGTCTCTGCACGCTGTTGATGTACTGACTTATGTCCAGTTCTTGCCGACGGTGTTAAATCAGCTGTTTTCCCTCCTTGTTAAGACCATCAGTGACGACGTGGCCCTCAATGCTGTCAAGTATGTATACACTTATATACTGTAATAATTATAATGTATGAAAGGTACACATCAGAGGAGGATATTATATGGAGGAAGATGTAGCTAGCCAGATGGATTTTATGCAAGTCAAAATAATTATTTGATCGGTATAATGGACAAAGTCTTCATAGAAAACTGGTCTGTACTTTTGTTGAACATTCTTTACCTCAATTTTTCTTTCATTGTAAAATTTATTATCCAAAAAAGAAATTCAACTATGACAAAAATATAAGTCAAAGAGAAGTTCAAGGTCAGAAAATTTTGACACAATTGAATTGCACTCTCCAAGTTTTCTTTTTCTTCAATTTGCTCTTAAGGGGGGACCTCAAAGCAGCGTAATGTGACGTCACAATAGCCACGTTTGTTTTTTTCCCGCTGACTTTGCAACTGTGATTATAGGCATTACATTGTTATCAATTACACAGTTTACAAGGAAAATTTTTTCATTATTTAAAACAGTTTTATTTGATTTATGGAGTTTGTTAATATCACAATTCTCTTCCTTTGGTTGATAATTCATAGCATTTCAGTTGTGAAGAAATACCTCTATGATACTGTAAACCAACTTTTATTCGCGTGCATAATTTTCCGAGGTTCGCGAGAGCATGTAATACATGTTTTAAAGTCTCTTTTTCTATTAAAACATTTCCAAAAATGACTTGATTGCGAAAATTAATCGTCGCGAACTAGTTTACTCTCGGTGAATAAATAAAACTCGCGAATAAAAGTTGGTTTACAATTTGATATAAAAATGCAAAAAATTAAGATAAAATTCAGCAAAGACAGTGGCTTAAATTAGGGAAATATGTTTAATTTTATGATTACCATTAATTGTATTTTCTTAAAACTAAGAAAAAGTTAAGAAATATTATTTGTACATATATTTACTTATTGATTTATAGTGTATGTAGATTTTATTGTATAAAGTCATTCCTAGGTTCTATTGGGTGTTGGTTGTTGATATTTCAGAGTTTAGGGAAGGGGGGGGGGGGCAGAATGATTAGAATGAAGGAAAAGAGTTTATCTGTTTAAATTATTTCTTATCAAAACAAAATACTCGTTTTTTGCAAAATAGTTTTATATTCAGATGTTTGTCAGTGCTCTTACCCTTTTTTAGTGCAAAAAGGTCAATATTTATGACAGAAGAGTACGAAAATAAAAGAAAACGTCATATTTCTCGTTTATTTTATCATAAAGGTAACTTTTTTCCTTGTTAAATTAAAGAGAGGGGTCATTTCTTAAACAATATGAATTACAACATTTTCACACAAAGACTTTTTAAGATATTACCTGTTATGTATGTCGGAGTTGTAAAAAATACGACAAGAAAAACGGGGTAATACTTACATTGTGCTCCTTTATAAAATTTCAGGCGAATGAATTACAATGAGTTTGCCTTCATTTTAAAGATACAAGTCATATAAATTAAATACATGTTGATTTCGAGTGTGATTTCACATTTTTGGTTCTTTTTTGCGCATATTTGGAGTAGAACAAAAATGTCTGAAAATAATCTATTTTTAGCATTTCACACTGTTTTTGCACGTGCTCCTGTGTAAAAATAGGCATATAAAGGTATTGTTTTTAATAACTAAAAATTAAGATCAAGTGGTCAGGAAAGAAATGTCAAAGTTTTGAAAATTTCACACAAAGACTTTTCGTAGGTCCCCCCTTAATTCAAGGTACATGTATGTGTTTTGAATTACAGAAAGGATTCTTCTCTATGTTTATTATCAGGGCCGTCACTCCCCTCAAATTTGGACCGAATATCGGAATTCCCAATGGCACAAAGTGCTAGATTTTCCAATTTCTAAAAATTTCCCAAACACGTATTTTCTCGGATATACGACCTAATATCCCACACACACATCCTTTATTTGATCCATTTAGCAGTAATGCATGCTTAATTTTAATCTGAACAACCTGTCAAGATAGTTTATTTCTAATTCGAATTTCCTCTGTCATGGAATAGAGATCTATAGATAGGTCATACGTAGATTGGGATGGGGAACTCATTATTAAACAAGGATAACTATTATGAGTTAGTTCATAAAATAATAATATATATTTTAAAGTGAATTATGAATTAAAATAAAATCTTGGACACTATCTGTTTCATTTGCATGAGTCAAATGACCATAAAAAAAGAAATAAATTTTGGGCAATTTTATGCTAACCTTTTAAGTAGTAATTTGATCATTTCAATAAAATCATTCTTTATAATCTAAATTTTTTAATTATTTAGGGTGCAATTAAATAGGTAAAACTTTTTTTTTCAGTCTCTGTATCATATGAAAATAAAAGAAAAATTTCTTGTCTAGTAAGTAAATGTTTTGTCTGTTGATTATAGATTTTATCAGACCTTATGTCCTGTAAATTTTAGTTTTTTAAGTATATTTTTTAAAGTGATAAATGGCTTTCATGATTAAATATTTTGCTGGGGAGGTTAATCCATGTACATGTAAGTATGTTTATAATTTTTCCAATTTAACAAAAATGTGTGTGAGGATTTTTCCCAATATAGAGGGACCTGGTCCCTGTAAAAAGGTGCTGTGACAGCCCTGATTATGGGCCATTGGCCTCTTGTTATATTTCCAAATACATGTAATCAGTTACACTTTAAAAATGTGTTGCCACTATTGAATAAATAAAACTTTTTTTTCAATTTAATTTATTACAGCTTTTTGACTACTTTTAAGTAGAGAAGTGACATTTTTATTTCAGAGTTTTGATTCACATTGTCACTGAGGTGTCCCTAGCTGATAAACAAGATGCTCTTAAAAGTTATGTCAAGGTTTGTTCACTCAACAAGTATTTTGAATAACACAAACTAATTGATCTATTTATATTATGAAATAAAAAGACCACAGATAAATTACAAGTTTTTCCATACTTAAATAGATTGTTTTCTTTCAGTATGTGTTCAACCCTGACCCCATTCCAAAAGGCAGTAAAAATGTCCACACAGTGCATGAGGAGCTAGCCAAGAACCTGACCACTATCCTGCGGCCAGCCAACGCTGACAATGTAGTGGTCTGCAAGTTCCTCAAATACTCCTGGTTCTTCTTTGAGATCCTCATTAAGAGCATGGCTCTCTACCTCATAGGCACAGACAGAATCAAGGTAAGAATACTTCTTTGAGATCCTCATTAAGAGCATGGCTCTCTACCTCATAGGCACAGACAGAATCAAGGTAAAATACTTCTTTGAGATCCTCATTAAGAGCATGGCTCTCTACCTATAGGCACAGACAGAATCAAGGTAAGAATACTTCTTTGAGATCCTCATTAAGAGCATGGCTCTCTACCTCATAGGCACAGACAGAATCAAGGTAAGAATACTTCTTTGAGATCCTCATTAAAGCATGGCTCTCTACCTCATAGGCACAGACAGAATCAAGGTTAGAATACTTCTTTGAGATCCTCATTAAGAGCATGGCTCTCTACCTCATAGGCACAGACAGAATCAAGGTTAGAATACTTCTTTGAGATCCTCATTAAGAGCATGGCTCTCTACCTCATAGGCACAGACAGAATCAAGGTAAGAATACTTCTTTGAGATCCTCATTAAGAGCATGGCTCTCTACCTCATAGGCACAGACAGAATCAAGGTTAGAATACTTCTTTGAGATCCTCATTAAGAGCATGGCTCTCTACCTCATAGGCACAGACAGAATCAAGGTAAGAATACTTCTTTGAGATCCTCATTAAGAGCATGGCTCTCTACCTCATAGGCACAGACAGAATCAAGGTAAGAATACTTCTTTGATTCCTCATTAAGAGCATGGCTCTCTACCTCATAGGCACAGACAGAATCAAGGTAAGAATACTTCTCCCAGCTCTTTGATGAATTTTACACAGTGTATGTTCAACTAATGTCAAACCTTGTAATCTTTGATCTCAATGTGACTGAGAGAAAAAAAAATATACATGCCTTTTATTGGATTGCAAGATATGGAGGGTCAAATACTTTCAGAGTAAGTGGTTGGGACTTCCAAATCACTTAACATATTCACATTATTCGCAATAACAGAGTGTTTTACACATATTCTATTGAATAAATCAAGGCAATATCTGTATCTGGTATCTTTGTGTTTGAAATACCAAAGTTTATCCAAGAAATTTATGGTCAGATCCTGCAGAGAAGAAAAACTTTTGAAATCATTGAACTTTCCTGAAAGAATGTTTTGAAATAGAAGATGATTTTATATTATATGTGTATCTTACAGATGCCAAGGAATGAGAGATTTACATCCGATTATCAGTTCAGAATACAAAACCTACTTCAGACACTAACTCCAAATATCATCCAGAAACAAAGAGAGATGCCACGAGAGACAAAGATGGCCAATCAAAGTTTGGCCAAGTTTGTGAAGGTATAATCTAAATTAATCCTGAATGGTCAAAGTCATTGGTTATAAGTTAAGATGGCAATCAAATATGGAATTGCCATTTGGTTAACTGTAAGATGTTCTAACTGATTAGTCATTTATTCATAGCAAAATATATTTCTTCTTGGTATGTATTTTCAAGTTACTCTTGTCTTGATAGACATTATTTCTGCAAGATCTTTGAAGGTTTAGATGATTTTGTTTCAGTATATGATTTTTGTTGTTGATTTTATTGTAGAGTTGTTTTACACTGATGGATAGAGGATTTGTGTTTAAGAACATTGCATCTTATGTAGAACAGTTTGGACCAGGGGATTCCAAGGTTTATCTTCTTGAATTTAAATTGAATGAAATTTTTTAATAAAAATAGTGAAAAACAAAAGCATCAGAGTCAAGTAATTGATTCATTAGACCTTAAAAAAATATGTAGGTAATGAAAAAGGAGTGTTAGCAAAATCATAATGTATTTGTGTGTGTAATAAACTGCCTGAAACTAGGAAACTAGGTTGGAGTATTAAAGAAAATCAAGATTTCAAAGATTTTGTGAGCATTTTCAATTACTTGACTGCTGATTTTCTGAATCTGAGGATTGGATTACCTTAATTCAATGTTTGTTTTGGTTTCAGTCTCTGTATGATCTGAAGTTTGAGTTTCTATGTGAGGTTTGTTCACACGAGCACTATATTCCCCTCTGTCTTCCAATCATGAGGAAAGGCATGATCAAGTCCTTCAAAGGTGAGTACGCTTTCACTGAGAGTACAGTGTGAAGGCTTTTATAACTGTGTGCAGTTCATTTGTTTAATGTGTACAGAATGTAAAAAAATCTAATGTAAAATAATTTTGTGTGTCATTGATCTTTCATTCAGTTGATGTTTGAAAAGAAAAATAGCTTATATAGTGTGTGATTTACTATATTTTTCTAACATTATATAATCTTGTGCTGAATATTTATGTTTTGAAAAACTATTAAAAATTGCTAAGATTTCAAAAAAGAGTTTTTTGACCTTCTTTTCCATGCTGCAACAGACATCAAATTAGAAGGTAACTTTATACACCATTTCTTTTAGAATGCAGGTCTTTAAGAAGTAAAGGACAGATACCCCCATCATTGGCTGCTCTAAAACAATAGCTTTTGTTGCTTTGTTGTGTTCCCATTGCTCTGCCTTGTTTCTAGAATTTTAGACTTTTAGTTTACACATTGTCTAACCATGAAAAACCTGAAACCTTTAAAGTGACGGAATGTTAAAAACATATAAATAAAAGATACTTTAGACAAGTTTTGTAGGAATACCCCTGACTGCATTCTACTAACAATTCAATCCCAGCCAAATTTACATGGTTTGGTTGCACACATATTTTAGTTATTGTAGAATTGCTTTTCTTTTTTTCTACTTTCTTTAGGGCATTTTTGTAAGTTTTCTGTTATGAAAAAAAATATCCACATTTAAAATGACTAATTTATATCTGTGGTGTTTGTGTTTCATGTTAATGTGTTTAACCAGAACTCTGTAATTGAAATATATACAACTAGGTTATGTTGCTCTAAATTTAAGTTGAAAATGTGAAAGGAAAATGGGGCAGGATATTTAAAAATTTGTTCAATGAATAAATGATCACTCTGAATTTTACCTAGATCTGCATGGTAAGTTCTTGTACCCTTTGCAAATGTGTAAATAGCTTTATCGATACTCAAATGGGAAAATCTAAGCTTAGCTTTAATATTTCTGCAATTTTAAGCATAAGATATCAAAGAGTGAAAATTGATCAGGAAGAAAGGTGAAAATATGGTGAAATAAGTGTTTTATGATTGATGCAGCAGATACTGTATAGCAGGTTTTCTTCGCGGGTGTAAAATTTGGTGTTTTGCCTACTCAAAGGTATGCCAATAATTTTGGCGTCATTTATTTTAGCAGACGCAGGGTTTCAACTCTTTGCAGACGCACTCTAAAAAGAGTACTTAATATTTTAGCTATTAAAATTTTAGCGGACTATCATTCAAATATCAAAATAAGCCAAAATTAGCACTCCGTTAAAATAACCCGCTATATGGTATACTGTAATTAACAGCATGCTGCTTCATTAACTTGTAAAAGCTAAGTTTTATTTTTTACCTGTCTTGTTTGTCTTGTTTATTTTATCTAAGCTTTCAATTAATAAGTAAAAAGAATTTCTTAAAACAATATATACATTATATCTATACATACATATTAGCCATACTCACTATCTAATTAAAATTAGATGTTAGATCTGCTTGCAGACTCGCTACACTAACATCTAACAACATCCCATAGAGGATCACATCAGAGGTTAAATTGGATCAACCAATCAAATCGTCACCTGCAAAATCATCACATATTTGTCAAAGCAGTTGTTCAGAATCTGACCTCTGACGTGACCCTCTATGGGATATTGTAAGATGTTAGTGTATTGAGTATGAGAGTAGATCTTACATCTAATTTTAATTAGATTGTACTCACTCATAGTACAGTAAAACTGATAAAAAGACCTTCATTTAACATCATTAACATTTTTTTTAAAATTCAGATTCCTTCTATACAGATGGATCCATAAAACTAACAGATAATTCCTGTCTTCTTTTCAGAATTAATCAGAAATGACTTTGATTGCTGTGGAATTATTTGTATTTCTGGTGACTGGTTCTTTTTCAGATCATTCTGATTCCCCTTTCCTGTAATCTAAAAATCTAAGAACACTTTGTATATCTTTATAGTTCATAATTTATTTCAAAGACTAAATGCTAATTTTGATTCAAAATATTTCAGAAATCTTTTTTTAATTAAGTGTAATAAAAAAAAAAAATCTCTCATTAGGAGGTATAATGTGTTTTAATGCTGATCCTATGTAAGAAGAAGGATTGGTCACCATTAAACAAATGATTTCACAGAATAGAAATAAGTATCCTTGTTTGAAAAGAGATTTTTTTTATTTCAACATGAAAAATAGTGTTTATTGCAGGTTATACCTCACTATAACATTGTATAAGCATATCTTTAGACTAATTCATTTTATAAAATATTCTTAAAACTATTCAGTCATGAGTACCTGTATTTTGTGCCATGTGACTTCAAAAATGTAGCGATGGGCGATCAAAACGTTAGTGGGCTGGCACAATAAAACTCTCATTAAGTTTTTGATTTTGAAAATGTTTATTTGACAAATATGCTGTCTGGTGATGTAGAAAGTGTGAAAAATTTGAAATTTTTATCTCACATAGTTTCAATTTTATTGTTCTAGTACTCAACCCTTCATGCTTAAAGCAGTGGTGAAATTATGATGTTGATTGTTACCAAATTAAATAAAAACAATTATATTTTACAGATCTGAAATGTGACTACACACTGTCAGATGAGTTCCGAAAGCACCATTATCTGGTTGGATTACTTATACAGGAAGTAAAGATGTGTATGAATGAGCCAAAGGAGGTCCGAAGGCATGCCATCCACTTACTGAGAAATCAGATTGCCAAACATTCCTTTGATGACAGATACACATCCAAGGTTGCTACATCAAAACTTCTTCAATCCTTTGTAACTTAGTTGACTGATGCATGGGTGTATATTTTCCAATTTATAAGAGAAGAATTTACAGTTAGTTATACATGTATTTTAATGCAGAAGCTATCATGAAAACAATTAAGGCATATCCTGCACAGAAAATCAGCAATTGGAATTAATTTTATTTGCACTTTTTCAATTTACATCTTGAACATTTATTTTGTGAACTGATTTTGTAATCACTATTTTTAGACCCTACAAGGGAGGATTGCTGCTCTGTACCTACCTCTGATATCTATACTGATGGAACACAAACACCACCTGGTGGACGACCCAGCGGCCCCACCTCCTCAACAGGCCCCTACCATAGTCGTTAATGGGGATGTCCAGTCTGTTAAACAAGAGAGCAGGCCTAGAACCCCTCAGATGCCTCAGAAGTCGGTAACATTTGATGCCCCCACAACACAGAGGGAGTCCAAAGTGTTTGCTATGATAGCTGGACATGGTACTTTTGTGATTTTCTTTACTTAATTAAAGTAAGACAGTCAATCATGATGCCTAGAGCCAGGACTTTGCTTTCAGCAAAGCCCGGCTAAAAATCAATATAACTTCTAACTTTAAAGAGTGTTTCATTTAGAAAAGACAAGTGCCATCAATATCACTGGACAAGCCAGATTTTCTTTTGTTTTTGCATTAATTACAAATATCCTTGTAAATGCCTTATATGTAGTTTTAATTTTCACAAGGTGGACTGTATTACCTTCTCCAACATTTTGTAGGTGCACCTCTCCAGAGCCTTTCAGAAATGAAAGCCCAGATGATGAATGGGTCAGCTGGTTCCCTGTCCAGAACAAACAGTACCTCTTCTGTTGATAAAACTGAGGGCAAAACCACCGAGAAAGTTCATAGGAGGTGGGTCCTTTTTAAAATATGCATATATTAATCCCACAATTATGATCAGATTCAAGTTATGGAGAAATTTTGCCTATAAGAAACTTAATTAACAGAGGTGATTTCGTAAATTTTAGCAAAATTTCAGCTTTATCCTAATCTTGAAAGTTATTTACAGATTTTCCTTAAGGAAAAAATCCTCTGGGAGTGTCACAAGGTGAAACTAAAGACTATCATAAATAAAAAAAATCTCTTAATTATAGCTTGTTATGAAAATTACTTATATTACTACATATACTAAATATTAAGGGGTAGGGGATATTCAGAGGTCATGGGGTCTTCAAGTTTGCTGTGAGACCTTACTATTACTGGATGACATCAACATTTGAAATATAATGGCTTTGATTATTTTTGAGATCCACTTCCAACAGTCTATTATAATGGAACTTCAACCATACACAATATCTCTTTACATATATAGCATAAATTAAAAACTCAGTCACCCCACTCTTTTCCAATGTCTACAAATCTCTGAAGGGATGTTTCATTTGTCAAAAAGCATGTAAAATATTTAAATTATATAATTATTTATATAGAAGAATCTTCATGTATTTTGTTTTGTTTTATATCTAAACATGTTTATATGTTGCAACACATAAGATAATGAAGGGAAATATATTATTTTGGACTGGGACAAATTTGAATGGATTGATAATAGATTGCTGTGTTGTGTGTGTTTTTAACACAGTTTGTTTTCTGCTTTTGGAAATGTTCACCTCTGAAAAGTACACTTCTTAATTTTTTTAATGATCTCTATTTATCTGTTTTAGGGTGTCCTCCAACCAGAACATTAAGGACTCGGCCTCTGACATTTCTGGAGCCCCCAAACCTTCACAGATCCTGATGAAGTACCAGAAACTGGACATTATGGAGGTCAAAGACCTGTTACTGTGTTTCCTTCATGTCATCAAGTATCTGCCAGAAGGTGACTATATTAGAAGTGTTTTTACTTATATTGTAAACTAAAATCAGTCATATATTTTGTCTGGTAATCTGATAATTCAGAATAAGAAGTAAGACAATGCTCTCAAGAGTTTTTGATTGTTTAAAAGAAAAATTAAGAACATTTATGACACAGGGTAGTTCTTTGCATTATGCATTTTCATTATTGAACTCTTTCATTTCAGATATTCTTCTTGGTTGGTTCCATAACTCCTCAGAGTTTGATATCATTGATTTCTTCAGTATACTAGAGTAAGTCTATTTACATTGCTTAATTTATATTCATAAATGTGGATCAAGTCCTATTTTTGTTAGATGATATTGATGTACTAGTGATTTTTGCAAGATAAAGAAGACTTGCTTTCAATAATTTCATGATTTATTCAAGGGTGTGCTTAAAGAATTTCCAATACCAGGGAAGAAAGAAAATTGTTGACCTAAGGTATGTTTGTTGAATTTTACCCATAATTTTATGATGTTGATTGCTGAAGATATAGTGGAAATTGCAATGCAATATACATGCTGATTGTTACACTACTGGGATTCCATTTTGACTTTATAGTGTGATAGGGGACAGTACAAAAGCCTCTACAATGCCCATGAATAGAAGATCTGTTCCCAGTCTGACCCCGCGGTCACACAGTCAGTATGAGGGCATGGGAGAACCAGGGCATGGTCAGTCTCTCTTATGGACATCTGATTTCATCTGTAGCTTCATAAAACAGTAGTTCTTAATATGTAATGATGGTATATAAAGGAGGTTAACAACATTTTGCTCTAGATTAAATTCAGTGATCTTGTTACATTTATTAAAAGGATTGATATAGACTGTCTTTTTTCAAAGCAATTATCACTGTAGTAAGACACTTCCCAATTTGATTATTTCAGCATCCACCCCATCAGAAGGGAATGCTGTGATGAAGGCATTACAGGAAGCTAACATGTCTACAGAAGTGGGACTGGTTGTGTTAGATGTCCTAACTTTATACACTCAGACATTTAAGGTTAGTGGACTAGATCTAAATGGCTCACTTTAATGTGCTGCAAAGTCTCACATTATGGTAAAAATAATAGGTATAGCAGATCTCCAGGCACAGCCAGAATTGCTCCATCACATTGTTAAATTAAATATATCAAGTAAATCCAAGCAAGTTTATCTTAAACTCTTAAAACAATATTAAGAATCCATGGTAAGGAGAATTCATTTTATTCACCATTATGATAACAGTTTTACAGTACATTGAAATGATTTTTAAGTAAGATATCTCTGACTTGTGATTACAGCGTAACCTGGAACACAAGGATGGTGACAATAGTCTGATGAGGAAGGTGTTCAGTCTGTACCTTAACTTCCTACAGACCAGTCAGTCTGAATCTCTACAGAAACACGTATTTGCGTCCTGGAGATCCTTCATTAAAAAGGTGAGATTTTTGTCTTCTTATACTAATACACTTGGCATCAAGAACATCTACATTGTATATCTTGAATAGATTGGATATGTTAAAGTGAGTTGGATGTCCCAATCACTTTTTCTCTATTTACTTCAAAATCTTCAGTCTTGATAAATGCATGTGTGAGATATGATAATTTCATGGACTTGAAAGAAAAGGTTGTTGTTGATGATCACTTTCCAAATAGACTGTGTTGATGTAAATTTATTTGCACATTTCAGTTTCAACCAGTTTTATTCAAAGGAAATGCTTCTCTCTGTGGAGAACTTTGCTATGAGGTTTGTTGACTTAAATTTTACAAAACTTGTGTATCAGTATAGAAAAAAAGTTCTAGTGATACTGTGAAATCACAAATTTTCGTGGGGGTTTAATTTTCGTTGTTTTCGAGGTATGACGAGACCCACGAATTCATGTCCACCATGAAATGGAAAATGTTGCATGCATAAGTAATCAATAATTCTTGATCCACGAAATCTAATCCCCAGGAACCAAGAGATTTTCCTCAAACCACAAAAATTTGACCCCACGAAAATATGTGATTTTACAGTAATTGAAATAGTTGAATGTATGTTTCAGAAGAAAACGTTTTTGTAGATTTTGAGGTGCTGTAACTCTAAGCTACAATCCACGAGGAAAGAGGCCTGTGCTCTCCTTTATCTACTGATGAGAAACAACTTTGAATTCACCAAGAAAAAGAATTTTACCCGAGTCCATCTACAGGTGTGTAAAAATTATCACAGACACTGATATATCACAAGATTTACCGATATACTGTAGATCACTTAATTTTCGCGACACCTTATTTTCGCGAGATAGTCATTGATTCTTTGTCAGCGAGACAAAATTTTCACGTATTGTGGTCATTGCTCTATATAATCTTAAGGAATGTATTATACGCGAGGCTTAATTGTGCGAAAATAAAGTTCTCGCAAAGAAAAAGTGATTTACAGTAGCCAAAGTGTTAGGCTTAGGTAGTAAATTTACTTGTGGATCTATTTCTGTATGATGTACATGTATTTACAATTTTGTTTGATGACCTTTAATGCCTATCAAGTTTGAGTTTTATTTTGTGTTGCTGTAGGTGATCATCTCAGTGTCCCAGCTGATCGGTGGGGTGGTAGAACTCAGTAACTCTAGGTTCACAGACAGTCTGGCTATGATCAACAGCTACGCTGCCAGTGACAAGGCAATGCAGGTAACTTATCCAACTCTGTAACCACTGAGCTCTCACTGTAAAGAGTTAACTTAGTTAAATGTAATTTTACTTATGAGCTCAGATTTCTGAATTCAGTTATGCCAGAGTCTTAGTGTAATGATTACAAATTACTTTTATTATTGTCAAAGTAAGTGATTTCTTGCTTGTAGGAGATCATGGTTGATGAAAACCATGTATGTAATCTAGTATGTGTGTCAGTTTGGTAGCTGCTAAATGATTTGCTTTATATTAGAGTGTAGTGTGTGTTTTCTATAGAAATTTTTTTTTCATGGTGTGATCTAATTGTGAAGGTTATGATATTTAATTTTCTTTAAAAATTAATTGCAAAGAATGAAAACTGATAATGTGTGAAGATAACCAGGAGTTAAGCTTTACTGTTTCTTTGATTAAAGCCTTTAAGTCCGTTTGCTAGTCTGGTCGGGGGAATATATAGGCACCACACTGAGGTAACCCTGTCAGATCTCTTGGTATACTGATTTTCTTTATTTATTGACTTTGGAATGCCTCTGCTACAGCCTTGCTCTATTTTATAAATTTGCTGTAAGTGTTATGGAACATTTTTTACAGGACTGTGGAGGTCTGGGATTTTCTATAGCTGTATTTTGAAAATACATGTATCATAAACAAATCAAAGGACAAATTTTCAGTGTCATGTCATGTTATTCACACTGGAAAATTCTATCTTTGCATACATTTTCTAACTAATTTCATGTTATTGATGTATATTGAATAACACATTGAAATTTTGTCCAGTATTTTTGACATTTATATGCATTTACTGAATGTTGATGTTGTTGCTTCTCATACTCTGCAGACTCGGGTAATTCTGAAGGACTCGGCCTATAATGGCCTCTGTGCAGAGAGAAGGGTATGATCTGCTTGCCCAAACATTACATTGAGATTTGTATTTGGTATAATGGTGTATTCATTCACCCAGATGCATAATTTAAACATGTTACACAAGATACACCTTTGTTAGAATGTGACAACCCACAAAATGATGTATGTCTCCTTACTTAATACTGAACTTGTATTACTGATTGAAATTCTACTATACTTTATGTGCTAGTTGTACGGAACAGTCAGAATTAGCTTGCTGTGCATTCTTGCTATTAAAGTAACCTTTGTATCAATGTCTAAATGTTGTCTTCACCCCGTGTATAATAGTGACTATGAAACAAAGCAGTCATAACACATTAAAATCATCACATAATTTTTGTCCATGCATTTTTGAAGTACAATTTCATTCATCATATACGTGACTGGAAGGGTCAAAGGACACTTGCTAAGCTTTATGTTGCACTGTGATAAAATGAATAAGCTGGGAGTTAAAAAGGATCATAATACAGTAAACAGGATTGTTTGAATATGCATCATTGGGGTGAAATTTAACACTGCTGGTAATTATTTCCAGAATTAATTGGTGCCTATGTCCAGAATGCATGGCTTCTTCACATACTTATACATGCATATGTACAAAGCTATAGTCACTATCAAGTACATATTTTTTCCCATTTTATGTAGACAGTTTCTTCTGGATTATTACTAATTACAATTTTAAAGCATTTAGAAAAAAAAGCATGATTAATTTTTACCAGGGTGATGGCAAAGGACGCAGAAAGGGCAACAAAGAGGTAACGGTCGTAGGCCACGTCTGCTAATAACCTACTATGGGGCACTCCATGTACTAACAATTATCTGCAAACTAACTCATTCATATTCAAATATTTAAAAAAAATCTAAACTCACTATCATTCAATTTGGTAATTTATGGAAAATTCAAGTTTGAGAATTAACGTAAAATCATTTGCACCTTGCATTACAAAGACGTCATGATAAAATTATATTTTTCACTTTTTTAATAAATTGATTAAACTCTGACATTTCTTCTACTAAGTATGGTTTGTATAAATTGACTGTTTTAACTACTTGTTTACAAACCTTTCTTGACAGTCTTGTATCTGATCTGATGTTAAGTAGAACTGTCACATTCTTATTTTGACCTAAGCTTGGCTAGAGAAATGTTTATGGTGTATGTTGCAGTATGAGCTAGCGTCTTTGTCAATTAGGCTAATGGTTTATACATCTAAGCTGCAGTAGTATATGTAATACAATGTCAGTTTTGCTAGGGTAACATATGTAGTGGTATATATATATCTGCTCCAGCCATGTTTATAGTACAATCTTCATCAGTAATTGCTATTTGTTCTGCCTGCATCATTTGTAAATTGTTGTTCCGAAATTGTCTATTGTTTGTCTCCAAATTACACTAATACATGTTTTAAGACATACATGAAAATTGAGTTACATGCACAATAGACCAAACAAATCACATTTGACATATAAAATCTACTGGTAATTTTGCGTAGAATTGGATGATTTGAAATTCTCATTATGGTTTGTGATTACAATTAAGTGTCATATTTTTTCACGTGTCTATAATTATTATATAGTACTCCTTGACTGAGGAAGTGGTATAATAAGAACACCGACCAAGATATTTCAACAAGCACATTGTTACCTAGTCACTATCTTGTTTACGTCCATGTTTTGGCACACTAATTACACAGCAGTTTATATGTAGATCTATAGTAGCAGACATTTATTGCACATCTACACCCCTCTATCTGTTGTACTCATGAACACCTGATTCCCATATGATATTTACATTTCTATCTTCCATTTCTTAATGTTTCTTGTGATCAAATTTAGGTTTAAAAAAAAATGATAGAAACTTTGATTCAATGCTATTCACTTGCAACATTTTGATATTCTGAATCATAGTATTTATATGAATAATGCTATTCAATACAGAAAAGTGGATTCCCATTAGAGGTTAAAGATTTAACGAAGCGGATCCGTACCGTTCTGATGGCGACGGCTCAGATGAAGGAGCACGAGAACGACCCTGAGATGTTGATTGACCTTCAGTATAGCCTTGCTAAGTCCTACGCCACCACCCCAGAGCTCAGGAAGACCTGGCTAGAGTCTATGGCCAAAATCCATCGTAAAAACTGCAACTACTCTGAGGTAAGGGTGGCTAACTATCATATTCTGTTTAAAGGATAGAATTTGTTGTTTTCTGCTCTCTGAAGGCAGGGAACATCAGTTTGGGTCTATCCTTCCTTTCTGTCTGTTTAACATTTAAATTGTGGGATGATATTTCTTATATTCTTTTCCTTTTTTTGCAATGAAATTCATATAAACTCCCTATAATTTGAAGAAGACCCTATTGATTTGAGGTCACAAACCAAGGTCAGAAGTTCATGTGTTGCCTTAAATGGTTTGAAGGTGAAAGGACAAAGTCACAAACTTGCAACCTACATGTCATATTTTTAAAGTGTATTACATGTATATTCAGCAGTATTTCCAGCAACAAAGCAGAGTGAGATGTAAATTTCATTGTTTTTATTTTTCAGGAAGCCCACTGCTTCATCCACATTGCTGCCTTAGTTGCTGAATACCTGAAGAAGAGAGGTTTGTGTTTAATTTTGTCAGTCAGCATTTCTGTAGAAGATGAGACTTGAACTGCACAAAACCATGATTAATTGTAAAGATTCTGTTTGAAGAATAATAATATCATTGGAATTCCAATCTATTAAAAAAAATGTTAGAAATTGATTCAATGTGAATACATACTCGTAACAGGCAAAATAAAATCACGTAAGTGACAAATATTGACATGTAAATGTTGTATTTTTATAAAAGCATGGTGTCATGTTTATTTTGGATTTTTTTTTTTATTTTTAACTTTGCAGTGTCAAAATGTTGACTTCCTTTGTAGCAAAATTATGTCAGTTTATTTATATTAATCAAGTACAATTTTAAGATATTGTAAATAACACATAGCATGTCCATGGAACATTTGTGTTGCCTATTGTTTTATATTTTGCTTCTTTTTTCACATTTGTGTATGATTTATAAACACGGTTTTTGTCATGTTGAGTAAGAGAACACTACTTTCACGTTTACAAGTAGGTTAGGAATTCAGTGATATAGAGAACAAGACATACATCATATAAGACAAATTCTTCATATACCTATTCAAAAATAAGAAATTTATGGTTTTACCATTTTCCACATTTCTTGCAGTTTTCTTTGGTAAACAAGGTACAATTTTGTCAGTAGATTTAGGGGCAGAAGGAAACATGAATTATAAAGGGAAGATTAGAAATTACAGGGTCCCTTATTATCTGCATGTGTAATGTTTTCCACAACTTCTGAATTTGGTACATATATATTTTATTATCATCCATATAGATTTTTGGGGGTGTACTATATAAATAATAATATCAATAACAATTATTATTAATTTTATAGCAACTTTGGAATATACTGTTTATTTTCATGTACTAGTTAGTTTATTTAATGGCATATTGTTACTCGTTACTTGTAAATATGAATAAAAACTCCACATATCACATAGTAGACACTGAAAGTATATTTGAAAACTAGAAATGTCTGGTAATTTTGAGTCAATGTTTTTAGCCCCCATTTTGTTAAAGGCAATAAGAAAGTTATTGAGTCATTCAGATATGATAGAGCCTTGAAAATTTGGTATGGTTTTCTTGCAAAAGCACTATTAAAGAGCCTTAACTGTGAAAATCCGGGTTTAAACCCTTCTCTAAAATAAAAATACATTTAAAATCAGATTTCCATCTTCATATTGAATTTTAACAATTTGACACTATTTTGTAGACTGTTTCCCCCAGGGCTGTACAGCCTTTTCTGGGATTTCCCCCAATGTTGAGGGGGATGAATCAGGAATCAAGGACGACTCAGGGATGCAGGATGTGCAATACACAGAGGTACATATTTAATACAATGACCAGGTATAAGTTTAAAATTATATTGCAATGTTTGGGAGATTCTTGTAGCAGTTGTCTTTCTTCCCTTTGCTAGGACACAATGGTGGAATACTTGGAGAAAGCCTGTAGATCTATGGAGCTGGCAGAGAGATATGAAATCCTGGGGGACATTTATAAACTGATCATTCCTATCTATGAATACTCAAGAGACTTTGATGTGAGAATTTAGTCTAATTGATATACTAGTAGATGTTAACTGAAAAATGAAAACTTAGAGATCATATTTTGTACTGAAAGAACCTTCTATATTTCACACTTTTAGCATCATACTTGTTCTTTACATGAAGAAATCGTTCTTTTTTTAAGAAACTGGCCAGTTCTTATGACAGTTTGTCTAAGGCCTACACAAAGGTGGTGGATGTCACTGCTTCAGGGAAGAGGTTGCTGGGAAAATATTTCCGTATTGCCTTCTTCGGGGTAAAATCTCACATCTGTTGTTATAAATGCTTCACAGAAATCCGAACACTTAATTATTAGTTTACCAGGTTATATATATAGATTCTTCTTATTGCTTGTGCTGTTGTAAGTTTATCATTATACTTTCAGTCCTCATTCTTTGTGGAGGAAGATGGTAAGGAATACATATACAAGGAACCTAAGGTAACAAGTCTACCAGAGATCTGTGAGAGACTTAAAACCATGTACAGTGAAAAGTACGGGAAAGACACAGTCAAACTCATCATGGACTCTAATAAGGTGGGCGGGCCATAGCCTTTACTGTAGAATGTTTGTTGGGAAAACATATTCATCACATACCGTATAATCCCTTTTAACCGCCCCTACCCCTATAAGCGCCCCCTTAGGTCTTTTTCAATTGTCAGGAAATAATGGCCCCCTGTAAGTGATTAAAATCAACCAGAATCGTATCAAAAAAATATAGTGTCTATCATCCAATTTCTCAATGGAAAATGAACAATTTAGCATAATTTGGGTGGATTATCTTCACTTTAAATAAAGTTAGACATTATCTTAGTTGTTTCTTGTATTTATTTTTATTTTCAAACGATTTTTTGAAGTTAAAATATGACATTAAATATCATAAAGAGAACACCAAAATAACCGCCCCCTTTTTGCAATTTTCTAAGCGCCCGGGGCGGTTAATAGGGATTATACGGTATTGGTTGTCCTACGTACCTAAGAAATTCAATTTTACTTTGAGACAACAATGATTGAAAGCATTCTATGTGGAATACATTAAAGTTTTGTGTATTCACCTAAACAGAGCATGTTAAGAGTGAAGTATGCTTGGATGCCCCTGAGAATATCACATGGCAGATTGTTAATGTTATGACCAGAAAGAAGGTGTAAGTTTCAAGATTCTTTTCCTATTTCATTTCTTTAATATTGTCAAATTGTTAAACAGGTAAACCCATCAGAGTTGGACCAGAAGTTTGCCTACATCCAGGTGACCCATGTGACGCCGTACTTTGAGGAGAAGGAGCTACAGAAGAGAATCACAGAGTTTGAGAGGAACAACAACATCAAGAGATTTATGTTTGAGACACCGTTCACCAAGGCAGGCAAAGCTAGAGGAGAGATACACGAACAGTGTAAACGTAGAACCATTCTACTTAGTAAGTTCATTTATGAGTCTCTTTGAATTGTATGGTAAAAATGCTGTAAACAGAAACTGCTTTGTTTAAAACAAGTGAAGTAAATCTTTATCTTGAAACCACTTGGCCTGGAAATTTTAGGGGTGGGGGGCCTCTACCAAATCAATCTTTCTCTGGTATTTGACAGAATGATGTACAAGATACAGAATTTTAATTATATTTTTACAGTTTTTCAAACAAACATTTAAACACTTGATGATGAGATATATGTCCATGTACTGAGTATTTGCTTACTATGCAAAGTAATTTTTACAGTAACTATATAAGATGTAAATGACTGATTTTAATCCAGTCTTGGACCAACTGTAAATTCCTTAGTATAAATAGGTTATTAACAGATACAGTGTATTTAGATGATTTATGTTTATGTTAACAGCCTCCCACAGTTTTCCCTACATGAAGAAGAGGATAGAGGTTGTGAAGAAGACAGATACAGTCCTACAGCCAATAGAGGTGGCTATTGATGAGATGCAGAGTAAAGTGGTGGACATCAGAGAAGTGGTCAATCTGTCCCGACCAGATCTCAAGAAACTCCAACTCAGACTACAGGGCTCTGTCAGTGCTCAGGTAAGTAAAGTTAGCAGGATATCAGGGGGGTGGGGGTCTATCTGTCCTGGCCAGATCTCAAGAAACTCCATCTAAGGCTACAGGGCTCTGTCAGTGCTCAGGTAACTAAAGTCAGGTGTGTAAAAGCAGGTGAACAGAAGGGAATCTACAGTCTCGTGGCAAAAGTATTCGTAAAAACAAAATGGCGGCGATGTAAACAAAATTAGGTCATCGATGTTTTTCTTCAGTCTACATCATTTTATAAGTTTAATCTTACCTCAATATTTTGTTAAACACCCCTTTGCCTTTATTACCACTTGGATTCTGCGTGGAATACTCCTGTAAAGGTCCTGGATGAAGTTAGGATGGATATTTTCCCATACCTGTCGAATGGCTGTTTCTCGGTTCTCAAATTCTGTACCCTTTTACACAGTTCCTGTTTAAGTTTTCGCCAACAGTTTTCAATTATATTCAGGTCAGGGCTTTGAGCAGGCCATTCCATTGTCGGTATATTCTCTTGAACCATAAATTCCTTCACAGACCTGGCCCTATGAACGGGGGCATTATCGTCTTTAAAAAGGTATTCATTTGATGGAAAATGTGCAGCAACGACGGGCCAAAGATGATTGTCAATTATCTCTATATATTTCTGAGCATTTATGTTCCCATCTACAACACAAAGTGTGCCGACTCCATTATACGTAATACATCCCCAGATCATTAAATCCAAACGTCGCCCGGCGGGTGGTGCAGGTTGTCATTCCTCTCCGGCTTTTTTCCATACATATACACGTCGTTCGCCATCGATCATAACCTTACATTCATCTGTAAAAATTACTTTTTTCCAATAGTCATCCACAGTTCTCTTCTTTGCTTCTTTGCACCATTTCACACGCTTTGTTTTATTCACTTCGCGCACACGCATTTTTTTCTTTACCAGTCGTCTTCTGTATCCATCTCTATGTAAAATTCTTTTCACAGTACTTTCTGAGACAGTTCCAGGACCAGTTTCATTCCTAACATTCGTTAATTCCGTTAAACTTTGCCTGCGATTCATTTTCACCATTCGAAAAATTTGTCGCCCATCCTGTGCACTGCACTTTTTGGGTCGGCCACTTCTTGGTTTGTTTTCAACATTTTCAGTTGTTTTCTGACGCTTCAAAAACGTATGCACTGTTGATAATGGCCTTCCGATAATATCCGATATTTCTTTTAGTGTCAAACTTAATTGTCTCAGTGATAAAATAGAATGTTTCTCTTCATCTAATGTTTGCTCACAGACCGAAAGTAACTAATGCAGACGAAAAAATCATCAACCAATCACGTGATAAATGTCTCAGTGAAGTTTGAAGTAAAGATCAGGTGTGTAAAAGCAGGTGAACAGAAGGAAATCTACCTCAGACTCAGTGCCTGATCTCCAGAAACCAACTGGAGCACAAGAGCTCTGTAATTGCTCACCTAACCTATACTATTGGTGCTCACTTCCAAAAAAGGTAATCACCTGTAGATTATTGCAACCTCAGAAGTTTAAAACACAGAATTTGATTTACTACCTTTATTGCAAAAAATTCACCCACAGGAAATATTTATTTTATGATTTATCTTGTCAATGAACTATTAATTATAAATAAATATTTCCTTAAACAAATTACCTGCTTATTCAACAATATTAAAATTCTACTATTAAAGTTTCATTAACACATCTATGAAAATTTCATATCATTTAGCAGTTATTAAATGTAAATATCTTATTCTACAGGTAAATGCAGGTCCAATGGCATATGCTCAAGCATTCCTGACCAAAGAAAAAATAAACAGTTTTCCAGTGGAAAAGACAGACACTCTTAAAGCAATTTTCAAGTATGTATACATATTAATCAATCATGTATTTAAGATTCAAGACAGCATGCAGAAAATTCAAAAAAAAAAAAATCAATGATAGCAATTTACCATTTTACAACTAATATGCAATTTGTTAAAAAAAAAAAAAGAAATGCAACTGTATTGATGTTTTTCCAGCTCATTTCTGGTACTAACACTGCTAAGAAGCAGAGCACAAATTTTCAGAATCTTTTTATTTTGTTTAAATCCTACATTTGTTGACCTTTTAGGGACTTTGTTTATGTATGTTCTGATGCTCTGGAGTTGAATGGTACACTGATAACAACAGAACAGAAGGAGTATCATGAGTCTCTCTCCACAGGTTACCAGGAAATCGTGGATAAACTCTCAGACATGTTCGGAGAAAAGGTAAAGCCATCTACTCTGTATTTGCTTAAACCAGAAATTTGCATGAACTTTGTAAAAAGAAAATAACATTATAAAAGCAAAATGGAATGTCATTCTTATCTTACATATGTTTGCGATATATTTTTTTCTTGTTTATAGCATTTTCAATGCTTTTTAATTTATATTTCTTTTAATTGCATCTACAGTTTATTATCATTTAAATTGTGGTCACTTCCCCTAGCAAACCTCCTGTTTAATCTACTATGCATGTTTTATAATGACTGAATGCCACTTATTAACTTGTTACAGTTTTATATATAAGATGGTAAGAAGAGCTACTACACTAATAATAAGTAGTTTGTCACTTAATTTACGGTACTAAATGATGTGTGTTAATAACATAATATTTTCTTACAACACCTTTTAAATGCTTTTTGTAACACAGTAACTGTCACTTTTTGAACTGAAGTCCTCCATTTCTCTGACTTTTATACCTATCAATTTCAACAACATTGTAAAGAAGAGGCCTGTGGGCCAAAACACTCACCCAAGTCACTTCTGTCACCTGTACTTGTAGATAAATGTTGACCCTTTTTGTCAACAAATTCATTATTTCACTGCAACACATCTAGGCTCATTATGTTAACTCTACCTAGGAATGCCTGCATATATTTGACTGATGTCTATAAGTCCTACTTTAAGTCCTACTTTTTTTGATAACTTTCCTTTTTTAAAAGAAATCATAAAATTTTCATGACACTTTATTTTCATAAAATAATTATTATGTATTTAAAAGCCAAAACAATTTTTGTTTATTGTTGCATCTAATTTTTAATAAAACAGATATACCTGAGAGTGATATTCTTACAAATAGCCACATATAGTTAACAGCCAAATGTAATTATGCAAAAAAAAAAAAATTTGATGAATTAAAAGTGATTTTCAGAATTCCCATATTATAAGTCATTGTAATTATTCTTTCTTGAATTGATGCCATTCTTTCCTATGGAGCAACTTTGAACAATTAAGTTTAAATCTCCTTAATCCAAGGATGCTCTGTGGAAAAAAAATGTTGAAATAAATCCAGCATGTTAAAAATTTTGAAAGTTTTACCAGCAGTGTACAACTGACAGATGGACATATTTTTTTTTTCAGGGAAGCTCATTTTGAGTCATTATATTAGTTTAAATGAATTAGAAAATCATACCAAATGCCATGTGACCAAATTATTCATCAAAATAATAAAAAGTATGCATTTTGGGGAAAAAACACAAGTAAAAATATTATGTTACACATAATTACTGGATTAATTACTAGCTACCATTTGCAGTGCATGGCCTGTTAATTCCCAAGGAATGCAGAATGTGCATTATGCCCTTGGCATTTAGGATTAGGGCATTCATTATGCTAGCTTCATGCATGGACAGTGTAAACAATAGAAGTGATACATGTCAGTGGTATTACATCATTGACTAATTGTACTGACTCAGACAGGATGATGTCAGTTCTAGGCCAGATGCTGTTGGTTTATGGTTAAAAATTAAATGTTTAAAGGGGTTTAGAGCAGCTATAGAATTTGTAATTAAGCCCACTTGATAAAATTTCTTTTAAAAAAAAAACTATATATGATAAGTGTCTCAAATGACCCCTAAAATGAAAGTCTCCATTTTACTTTACATATAGGTCTACTTTGCACAGCTATACACGTGTACTTTATATGTGATTTTAACTTCGATCAAAATGCCATTTATTTATAAATATGACATGAGGTTCACCTTTTCCCGCCATTTGAGCATATTTTGTATAAAACTGCTTATTTGAACTCTCTTAGCCCCACCCCCACCCCTTATCAAAGATTCTTGAGTATATACATGTAGATTTTGCCCTGTCCATATGTCTAGCTGTCTGTTTGCCTACAAAAAATTTAACCAAGATTGCTCATAACTTTTGATTGGTTGGAGATATGGCTTTCATATTTAACATTTGTATACCTGTCTTTGGGTATCAACTTAAATATATGAACTCTTGACCTTGGAGTTTGACCTACTTGCAAGAATTTACCCAAAATTAACCCTGGCCACAACTTTTGAACAATTAGTTCTAGGGCTTTCATACTTCACAGGAAAATTCATTATGACAAAATTTTCCTTTGATATAAATAATTTTGATCTTTCGACCCTGACCTTGGAGTTTGACCTTCTTTTGAAAAACTTTAACCTTGGCTGTAACTTTTGAAAATTTGATGTTAGGGCTTTAATATTTTATAAGTATATTTCTTATGTCAAGGCCTTCTCCTGGTTACTTTCATTATTTGACCCTGACTTTGAAGCTTGACCAACATTTAAAAAAACTTCAACCTTGGCCATGATATTGAATGGTTAGTGCTTGGGTTTTCATCTTTCAAAGGTTATAAATTCATTGAGACAAGTCCTTTCTCTAGGTAACTGAATTTTTCATCTCTTGACCTTGTAGTTTTCAATTTCATACGAGAAACTTTAACCTTTACAAAAAGCTGCCATACAGGGACATCAGTGTTTCACAAACACATCTTGTTATAGAATTTAATGTTATACTGTGTGTATACTAATTATTTCATTCATGATCAATTTCAATATATATGTGTTTTAGTGGATGTTGAAGTCATTGCAATCAAAAAGGGTATTGTAATTTACTATGATAAAGAATATAGTACACATTTCTTTTCACAAACAATCTGACACCTTTGTTATTGCAGTGCACACATAAATCTTATTTTTCATTGTCACAATAAATAACCTTGAAATTCAAAAATGACACTGCTCTGGTTTTGTAATATTTATCTCTGATTTGATTTAATTGTAAATTGCACAGGAAATCTCATATTTCAGCTTTTGATGCTATTTCAAGCATGTCTGGATCACCTTACTATTATAAACATTAATGTTGTATTCAACACTTTGTCTATGCATTACATTTACAATGAAATCTGAAGAAACAATGAGTCTCCTTTATATGTTTTTTATTTGTTGACAAAGATGTTATCATAACAGTATTAGATGTATGATTAAATGGAAATCAGGATTAATGTGTAAAGAGAGAGATTCCCTTAGAAATAGATATGATAAAAAGTACCAAGATCTGTAACTGAGAACTTCCTTGCTTTTCAGATTTTTTCTGGGGAGCAGGGACTCACACCACGGGGGTCAACTGTGTTCAACATTGTCAGCGCCACCTCTGATGTCAGCTCGGCCTAGAACCACCTTGTGTTAGTAAAACTGACATTCACCACCCCACAGTTAGTGGAATCAAGTCCACTCCTTCTGGAAATCCACCACCCAACAGTTAGTGGAATCCACTCCTTCTGATGTTCAAAGATCTGATATTCAAAACTACTCTGAAGTTAGCTGAATCAAGACCACCCCTTCTGATGTTGGTCATCATTGAATATGGTCCTAGGTCCACCATTGTGAGCTTGTTGTTGGACTAGAACAGAGAATGGTCTTGTTCGGTTTGACTCTTTGACTGAAACAAGGTTCCCAGAAAGAAAGCTTACTGAACATTGCTTTGCAAACAGTGCTTGGATTAGCCATGCAAATTTGCAATAAAATCTGTATAAGATAAATGAAAATCATATCATTTTTGTTTGTTTGATTACGGTTTAGTTTATTTTGTTTTACACCTTTTTTTATGAGGACAGTAACTTTTCTGTTTATATTAGTTTAATAAGAAGATACTGTTTTGTTTGCAAATGTACTTTCTCTTTCTGTAAGTGTTAATTATTATTGTAAACATATTGGCTTGATTTTTTTGTACCGGTAACATATTTTGTGTTTGTGTATATTTTTTTTATGCTGATGTACGTATGAGTGTATATCTTAGGTTTTGTTATATATGCAAAAGTGTACATTGTATATGTTTTGTTTTTTTTCTATGTTCTATATGCATTTAATATTTTTAAATTAATGATTTTCTATGCAACTGTTAAATATGCACTTTATTTTCCCTTTCATGAGAGGCTTGTAAAATGCTTTTAGCTGACATTGACTTAAGTACCAGGGGTAAAGCACTCATTTTACAAATATATTAAAGACAAAATATTACTGGCAATATCAGAGAAGTTATTTAGTTCCATGTCAAAAGTCCTTTAAGAACAAATGTGCCTAAGAGCACTTATTTACATGCAGTGTACCTGCCAATAATGAACAAAAGGGTAGCACATTAATATTTCATTGAGTAATTTCAGGATTTCCCACATAAAATTCATTTCAATGCGACATTTTTTAGCTCTACTGGTCAGAGACCAGAAGAGCTTATGCGATAGTTGCGTTGTAAACAATTTTTCAAAACGCTACTCCTCCTACAATTTTAGTCTGATTTCAATATTACTTGGCACACAAGTAGACTACATTAAGATACATAGAATAGTGCATGGGTTTTTGATTTCAATGAACGGTGTTGCCATGGTTACTAAAAATAGAATTTTCTGTGAAATTCCTTTAAAACGCTACTCCTTCTACAGTTTTGGTCTGATTTCAATATAACTTGGCACACAAGTAGACTACACTTACATAGAATAGTGCATCGGTTTCTAATTTCGATGAACGGTGTTGCCATGGTTACTAAAAATAGAATTTTCTGTGAAATTCCTTAAAAACGCTACTCCTTCTACAGTTTTGGTCTGATTTCAATATAACTTGGCACACAAGTAGACTACACTAAGATACATAGAATAATGCATCGGTTTTTGATTTCGATGAATGGTGTTGCCATGGTTACTAGAAATAGAATTTTCTGTGAAATTCCTTAAAAACGCTACTCCTTCTACAGTTTTGGTCTGATTTCAATATAACTTGGCACACAAGTAGACTACACTAAGATACATAGAATAGTGCATCGGTTTTTGATTTTGATGAACGGTGTTTCCATGGTTACTAAAAATAGAATTTTCTGTGAAATTCCTTTAAAACGCTACTTCTTGTACAGTTTTGGTCTGATTTCAATATAACTTGGCACACAAGTAGATTACACTAAGATACATAGAATAGTGCATCGGTTTTAGATTTCGATGAATAGTGTTGCCATGGTTACTAAAAATAGAATTTTCTGTGAAATTCCTTAAAAACGCTATTCCTTCTACAGTTTTGGTCTGATTTCAATATTACTTGGCACACAAGTAGACTACACAAAGATAGATAGAAGAGTGCATCGGTTTTTAATTTTGATAAACAGTGTTGCCATGGTTACTAAAAATAGAATTTTCTGTGAAATTCCTTTAAAACGCTACTCCTTCTACAGTTTTGGTCTGATTTCAATATAACTTGGCACACAAGTAGACTACACTAAGATACAAGAATAGTGCATTGGTTTCTGATTTCGATTAACGGTATTACATGGCTACTAAAAATAGAATTTTCTGTGAAATTCCTTAAAAACGCTACTCCTTCTACAGTTTTGGTCTGATTTCAATATAACTTGGCACACAAGTAGATTACACAAAGATACATAAAATAGTGCAATGGTTTTTGATAAGTACAAACCAGTAGAGCTACAGTCTCGACAGAGACTTCTGGTTTTGTAAATACCTTAATATGGTGACATTATTTTGGAAGTATATGTAGTCTTTTTTTAAGTGTTGCAATTTAAACATTCCTTCTTTAAAATGGTTTTGAGTAATTATCATCTTATATCAAAAGATAAATTAGCATATATCAGAAAATCCAAGTCAAGATGTAAATTCTGAGTTTTTTTTTCAATGAATTCATAAAAACATTATTTTAAATGCTCCATTTATTCTGGTATAAAAACTCCTAGCCTGAGGTTTGATCTTTAGGAGTGCATTAAGTATTTTATTTCACCAGTTCTGCTTTGAAATGAGCAATTTCTTCACACATTAATGATCAAACATCTTTACTGGCTCATCCTTTTAAAGAGAATAGATCATTGGTTTGCATGTGATAACAATTTACGACTGTGTTTATGGGATTACTGGTGGGTAGTGTGTGCCTATAGTTAGAGGAGAATTCTTTTTGTACATTATGTAATTACATTTAGGTGTGGCTTTAGCAGGAAGTGTTCGATGTGTATTACTTTTTATAGCTGGAAGTTTAACCAGATTCAGCACTCTTTGACTTAGCCATGATCAGTTACTTTCACAGATTTAAAAGTACATAATTCAATATATCGGTTTTCTCAATTATCTTACGGACTTCAAATTATAATTCGAAAGTCTTAAAAAGAAGTATTGATAACTTATATACACAGAGAATTTTATTTGTGTATTGACAGAGAATATCATCATGAATAATCAGCTTTGGGTATTTTATGAGGTAATATAAGCTGTAGGGTTCATGTACTTTACTGCATCATTTTATTTTATATTCATTTTACCACCTTATCTCTTTGTAGAGTCTCCAAATCTATCAATGTTTCTTTATTATTAAACGGTTAAATTTGAGCCCACAATTTTTTCATTAGCATTGTTAGGAGTATGAGACAAATGTATTATGTAAGATGATCTGTAGGTTTCATGTTGATGTAATGCCATTGAATCTGTGTTGACTGTGATATTTGTGATAATAATTTTATTATATTATTATGATTATTATATTTTGCTTTATGTGGGCAGTGTATCACATTCTCAATATAATGTTACTATGTACTTTATAAAACACTTAATCAAGTAAAATCATGAAACTCCTGTGTGTGTTATTTTTTTAGTTTCCAAGATGATATCTATTTAATGTTGAAGATACATAACAAGTGGACCATGTGCCACAATGCTCACCTCAGAAGATTTTTTAAAAAATTCTAAATTTTAAAATTTTTTTCCATATTCTAGCTAACTCTTAGCCAAGATGCATAATTTGATTAAAAAAATAAATCCACTCAACTTTGGAATGTTGCATTTAAATGGTGTGACTGCAGTTCCTGAGAAAAGTGCTGATTATATATTGCCATGTAAAACCAATTCCCAAATGCGATGACTCAATTCAATAGTTTATTCTCTTAAACTGCACAACAGTATAGAGAAAATACAAACATAAATTATGTACAATACAATACAATACAGCATGCGTGAGAAAAATAAAATAAACGATGAAAAATGACAGTGTCATAAATCAAGCAACCAACTCTCTCAATAATAGACCCAATAGATTTACATAGTATAACTAGTTGAATTTTATTGTTTTAGATTAAATAATGTTCGGAGTCAAAACTTTAGTATTTGTATAGTATACGTTAACCTGGAGGGGTAACTCTCTTATTAACTATAGTAATGAATTTACAAAGGTTATTGATAATGGATACTTTTTTACATGAAAATAAATTTGAAAACTTGTAAGCACTTGGTCGAGTTGTATATGTTGATGGGATTAACAGTTTTCTACTATCATTTAGAGCTGGACACGACATAATATAATGGAATTCGTCTCCAATATCATTATTACATAAAGTACATAGTCTTTGGTTTGAGGGTATATTACTCCATCGGCCTATTTCGATGGGTAATTTATGATTACTGGTTCTAAATCTTGCTAATGTAATTATAGTATTAGTTGACACATCGATATTTAAATACTGCCTAGATGTAAAATTACTGTTAGTGAACAATTTATAAATTTTGCCTTTTCTCGATGCATCACAATTTGAATTCCAATTTTGTACGAATTGATCAATGAGTGTTTGCTTAATTATATTTAACAACCATTTTTCATTTTCTACATTTTGAGACATCCAAATTTAATTCAAACCACATTCTTGTAAAATATTTTGTATATATTCAATCCATTTAGAACTACAATTAACATTGTTGTACATTGATGAACTGTATAACAAATTATATAAAATATGACATAATTTTGTTTCTTTACATTTCAACAGTTTTACCCAAAATTTTATCATTCTAATTTTAATATTAACACTCAGTGGGTATCTACCAAGCTCGCCATAAACCATATAGTTTGGAGTATATGTCTTAAGATGAAGTATAAGTTTACAAAATTTTAATTGAAGTTTCTCAATAATGTTTACATTTTCAAATCCCCATATCTCGCAACCATACAGAAGGATAGGTATAACCATTTTATCAAACATGACACCATACTCCTCTGGGGCCACTTTGGTTCAAACTGGCAAGAGGGTTTCTGAGATGTTGAAAATGTAAAAAGTTTACAGACTGATGGACATTGGGTGAGCAGAGATTCAGCTTAGTAAAAGAATGCTCTTATACAGTACTGCATCCAAATTAAAGTTTTGATATTCACAGTTTTCAAAATGATCATAATAAGAGCTTGCTGTCAACTATTATTGTAGATGTCTGTGTAAATATTTCATTCCCTGTTAAGGTTGAGTCCTTGCCTCAGAAGCTTTATTTTAAAAATAGTTGAAATATGACTGTTTTGAGAAAAATATAAAGCTCAAACTTGAATTTTTTGTCAAAAAGAATCAAGCTCAAATACTGGGATTACAGGAGAGAATTTTAAATTGTAGTTCAGTAACTTAGTGGTATATCATATCCATTATGATTACCTTTAATTAGTTTAACTGGAGGAAATCCACATATGTAGCATCTATAAATCTGTTTAATAGCAAAGGTCATTGTATCCTTTGTGTAATTTTAATGAAGATAAAGTTATGTTCAGAATAACTGTACAAAGAGCATCCATCATAACCGTTGGTGTCATTTCTGACAAGCTTCTTAGATAAAAAAGACTAAAGCTATTTTCTGCTTGATGGTGAAATATTAGGTCAAAGGGTGAAATTTTCATTTTCCACTAAGAATAAATAGCTTATTTATTAAGTTATTACTCAGCAACTCAATATTTTACTGCAGTATTTTATCTTTTTGCTTTGTATTTGCTTCATCTGAGATATTTCGTCTTACATTTGACTTGACCAATGATCTGGATGATCAAACTAATCCAATGTATGTTGAGTTTTTCACCCCACAAATTTTACTCCACTTGAAGACTCAAGTGTTAGGTATCTGTCCAAAAAAACTAAAATTGTCAATTTGATACTTCTTCAAAGAACTGTTAGTGCCTAGAATCAACACAAAGGAGCAACAAGACATCCAGATATTACAGTATAACTTGTTTAGTACGAACACAGATATTTTGATTTCATGGATATAGCAAAGTGATCTTGGATCCCCTGCAGCTATATAAATGAATTCCTTATATGGATATTAAGAATTATGGATGTACAGAAGTAATTTCAAAGGTCTCAGTGACTTCGGTATAACCAAGTTTTACTGTAATTAAAGAACAGAATCATGTGTGAAAAATTGTTTGACAAGCCCAAAGCTTTTATATATTATCCTATTTGTCTCATCTTTGCATTGATTCTGTTATCTTTCCACTCATTTTCATACACCACTGCCAATTTCAAAGAAGAAGAAGCCAGATATGTTTTTTATGTATACAGTTTTTATTCCAGTAAAATAATTTTGTATGATACTATCAAAGAACAAAAACATTGACAATGCTACTAAAATGTCTGCAACAGAGAAATGATTTGATGAAAGGCAATAATAGAGATGAAAATGACAATGAAAGCAACACAAACTTCAGCTGGCTGTGCAAACATTTTGCTGTAAAATTGTAGCGTTTAAAATGTACCAACATTTTAAAATATGGTAAAAGTAGCAAACTTAAAACTTCAAAATTTTTCACTTTGTCTATTCAAGCTAACTTGCAGTAAATATTAAAAGGCCAGTAAACTTCCTGTAAACTGTTTAACTTAATCATAAATTTCAATGTAAAAATAAACTTCATAAACAGGGATATTTTTAAGGAATAAAGCCAGTCCCAAAGCAAAAAAAAAAAGTCATAACCTTAAAAATACACAGAGACAAGAAAAAAATATGCCACACATGGCATCACTGGATTTCTTGTTAACAAAAATCCTAATGCTGTATTAACTTACGGTACTTCTATCCTTTACATAACAGAACCTGTATTTAACGAAATAGAATATAATTTATAATTGTTATACATCTTCAAAGAAATAATTTGGTATAAAAAATTAACATCTGTGAATTCCAAACTTAGTAGTTATGGATTATATGCAAAAATAGGTAGAAAATGACACAGCGACATTGCTATAGTCTAATAACTGGGATTGAGGAAGGCACTCGATTTGATAAGGTGGGTAGATGTTTTCTAGTGGTCAAGAGGTGAGGCTATCTCAATGCCTTCAGTGCCCAGTCCATTCTACTCCTAAAAGCTTCACACGAGGTATACAACGGGAAAAAATGGTGAAAAATGACCACAGCACCTTGATGTGATAAAATTACATACATATATATAAAACACAACTTTGTTGAAAGATATGTCCAATATTGAAGATGGATAAAGATTACATTTCTTTTTTTTCTCTCTGGGTATGCTAACAATATATGGCTACATGTGTAGGAGATGTATAAAACAATTCTTTGGTGTGTAATTAACATCATGTCCAGATAATCACATACAGTAATGTACATGGGTATACTGTAGGATAAAACTCAAAGACGCAAGTCTCAAATCATCTATAATCTAGTATGGGTGGACAGCAAAATGTACAAAGCTTGAATAAATTAACACAAAAATCAGAGCACTGATTGACTTTCTTTAAAAAAAAAAATCTGTACAAAGATTCATTATGTACATATTACAAATTGAAAGTAAAATCGAGCAGAGATTTTTTAATATATCACATTACACAAAATCATTATTGTGTTTAGATCATCATTTTTGATTTTGTTTTAAGTGTAGTAAAAACTGTTATAAAAACTATAAATCATCCTTATCAAATGGAATTTTAAAATGCTCAAGTTAAAATCATTTAAGTACCTTTAAGTATGTAGAAAATAAATCAAGAAAACAAAATGAATGCTGCATGAGAAACGAGAAATAGCTAGAAAACCCTGAGCTAAATAAAAACATGCTGTAGAATATCAGTTAAGACTGCTTCCATTTCTGGTATGGAAAATTGAATTTATCAGTACAAGTGCACTCTGACAGTCAAAGGAAAAATAATATAAACATTGCTACAGTATATATGAGGTTTTTAGTTGTGTATTACGGCATTAAAATAATTTACACAATTTTCCTTACTTTAAAAAAAATGGTCAACTGAAATACTGAAAAAGATGACAGTAACATTGCATTTTATTTTTGATTTCCATGATTTAACAATTTGCTGTCCTGGCTTGTTATTATCAATCAGTCATAAACATGCAATCAGTTAAAAACACTAAAAATACTTCAATATCAACATGAAAAAGTTATACAATATGTACACACAATCTACACATGAATTATAAAAAAAAAAAAAAAAAATCATTTCTTTGCAAATCAGGCATTTTTCCTACACAATCATAAAGGGTCACAGTCTTTTATAGAAATACTTAAGACTGTAGCCATTGATTTGCCAGGTTTACCCATATCTATATTAGCACTTGATGTTAAGTCAGCTGCCGGGAGGACAGCCAGGGTCAATTCATGTGTCTTTGGCCTCAGATGATATATCACTGATGAAATCACATTATACACTCCTCTCTTCACAGTACAGCACATACAACTGTCTGTACAGTCCAACTAGGTGTGCTCAGACAACTAAATGGTCACTACGAATTGTGTTTCATTCTTCAAACACTTTTGCAGTTCAGTTCATATGAATTTTAATAGTTCGTTTGAAGAAAACATATGGCACCCGACCATCTACATGGTCTCTCCATTCTAGAAAGTTTTGTACAAGAATTTATCACATTTGCCAAGTAAATGCATATGCACATGTGGGAATAGTAGGTATCACACCTGGACATTAAACATTAAATGAAACAAATAATTTTCAATTTTTTTTCCTCCTCTCTGATTTGTAATACATTTATATGTGAGTATGCATATTATCATAATATAAATATACACAACCTATACAATGAATTATTTCTTGTACAATCTTAATCACATGTGCATTTTGAAGGAATCTGTTTTTATTCCATAACGATCTGCACACTCTTGAGGAAAATGAGCACAATGGATAAGCACCACCATGACACGGATGGACTGACTCCCGCACTTCGATCTTCTGGACCTTTAGAAGGTGGTGGCCTGGGGGTGAATTTCCTAACATTATATGTAGGATCCTGTCCCCCTGGCTTATTGACAGGAGGGTTAACACCCCCGGTATACGGAGGGTTATACCGATTAGGATGGTCGTCTCCACTTCCCACTGTTTGCGGCGGTCTGAAGTTGTCCATGTTGCCATGGCCACGATTATGTGTAGGTTTAGGGTTAAAGTCCTCATCGTCTCCGATGGATCCGTCACCACTGCTACCGATGTGGTGTCCACTTCCCGCTCCCGAACCCTCAAAGTGGTGGTCACCGCTACCGCTGTACAGATCATCACCACTACCCAAATCATATCCTGTACCATATATGTCGGGGATTTCTGCTGAAAGCAAACCGAAATATTTGTCAAAATATCATTAGAATAAATAACTTTATGGGCAATTTTATTTCCATTTTACCAAGAAAAAAAATTAAAAATAAAAGAACATTATTTTCTAAAGAATTGAAAAACTAGAAAACTGACCAGTCAGCAAGGGCCCCGCCATGGGGTAGAATTAAAAGGGTGCAGCTTACAGAATGATTAATAAATGTACAAAGAAAAAGCAACAGCAACTGTATTCTTAAAATTTCAAGATAATTCCTGAATATTCAAAAACCTGAAAATATTATCCATGTATTTACATTAGACATTAAAGAACAACTTAACATTGAATGTATATTTAAACAAATGAATACTTGTGTTATATAAAATGCCAGCCTTCAATTGACCTTAACTTCAAACAAACAGCAATTTAAGGTTTTCATTAATCTTAAAGTGACAGAAAAGAAAAGCCTATTTTTCTGCAGCAAGAATTTTCTTCTAAAAATAAGTTTCAATGTAGCATTAAAAATTAAAAATATTCTTGAAAGCAGTGGTATTTTTCTTTAATCTATTTTTTTTTTTTTTAAGAATTTAATGAAATCATAACTATCAAACAAAAAAAAAATAATAAAAATTTATATTTAAATCCACATTTCAGAGTGTTCATAGCATTCCAAATTGATTTAACTTCAAAAGTTAACTTCTAAAAAAAAAACTTCTGAAGTTTGCAGACAGAGGTGGTAATTAATCTCAATGTGACAGATAAAGATAATGCTCTGGATTTTCTTCTAATTAATCTCATGAAAGCATTCAGTTTACTGGAAAAATTGAATCATCAATAAAGTGTACAATCCTTTGTAAAATATGTGGAGACAAATATAATTGGGCAACCATAGACAGATTAAGGAATCTACCCCACCACCCCAGCTCCAAACTAGAAGTGTGTCAAAATATGTATTTCTGCCTATTGAACAACCATACCAAATTTGAACTTAATTGGGCAACCATAAAAAAAGTTATTAGAAAAAAACAGAAAATTTGTGGACGGCAGAATGACAGACAGAGTGATTACTATAGGGCACCCGCAAATTCTTGCGGGGCCCTAATAAGTTTCAATGCAGCATCTTAATTGAAAGCAGTAGTATTTTTCTTGATATCTAATCTATTTAATTGACTAGAATTTAATAGAAATACAGGACAATGTGCATCTTCAAATCTGAAAATGCAGGAAAAACAATCATCAAATGTAAAATCCTTTGTAGTGGAGACTATAAGCTAGACAGATTAGTGAGTGTGTTATGTATCAGATCACTGGTCTCCAAGTCTGATTAATGGATGTAAGATGGATTGTACAATGTCAGTGCTCAGAGTGCAGTGGGAATGCATGTATAAACAAGACACGACTCAATTAATTCTGTAACAATAGAACATTTGTCTGGAATTCTGCCCCAATCAACAATCATTATCAGACACTGTAGACGAATATTCCCTGACAATTTAGAATCTTTGTGTTGTTAGCAGGTGAATTACCTGTTCTTACTAGGGTCAATGCTATACCCCCTATAAATTATTTTCAAATCTGGTCCAATAGCATTCTCATGTTTCAGAACAATTACGTCATGATGTTCAACAACAAAAACATCAAAAAAAGCCCATGTAAACTAGATTTTTACTACACATTCCTCGGGTTTTTAGAGTATTCATAAACAACAAAAAATAAAATCAAGTCTAACATTACTCATCAAGTGGATCAAATGTTAATCTTTATTATAAGCAAAACAGCATTATAACAACACATTTTCAGGCTGCACACAGCTTAAAGGAGAAAAATTGAATGCCTGATGTAATTATATTTGTCTGCAATATAATCAATTTTCAGGTGTAAGATATCGACCAAAACCTTGAATAATTCATGATTTCTTGGTGGGGTAGCACTAAGTTTGACAAAGATGAAATACAAAAGGCATGCAGAGTAGTATAAAAGCTGCATTATTTAATGAAGAAAAAGATTCTTTCCACTAAAACCCATTGCAGCAATTTATATCTGGGGATCTGGGAAGAGAAATCACCCCCTCATCTTTCACCAAGTCCGCACCATATCTCTCTTATCTCCAAAGAAACTCACAACTGGTGTTTGTAAAAGTCAATCAACTTTCTATAATATCTATACACAGGAAAATTCTTTGTGCTTTTGATAAATCAACATCTAATCCATTGTGACTTCAAGATGACTTAACTTCGTGAAAAACCTTCCCTTAAAGTATATATAAAAGAATCACTCACTGTTACAAGCAGAATAATAACTTTCTGACCAAGTTTTTCAACCAAGGGGGTAAGACTACTGACTAAGCACAAGTAATATACGACCAAGACCTAATAAACCAGACGTGGAAATTAAAATGTCAAAAGTTAGAAATGCTCCCTCCTTGCATGGAAAAAAAAAATGAATTAAATCTAATTTGTCAAACACAGCCACAGACATGAAATTATTGTAGCTATAACCCATGGAAGGGTATTGATTGTGCGAGACCCAATACAAGCAATTATACAATTACAGCTGCCATGACCAGACAAAACTTTCATAACAAGATGTCCTTCAAAAATAAGGGCATCCTTTATGAAATATGCTCTCATCAACAATAGGCGCCAATGACATCTAGTGATATTTTCATCTCCTGGGTACTCAAACATTATATAATCTAATTAAGAACAAAATATAACTCCTTCTTTACAAGAAGTTGTATTAAGTCACAACTGGATCAATCAATGAAATACGTGTGTTTGTTAGTGTGTGTTAGGGGTAAATCTGCCTCAAAACCAGAACTTACTTAATTCACTTTCATTCTAGTTAATGTGTTTGTATGGACTCTGGAAAGGGCCATGCAGTTCACTACTGCAATTGCGATGAAGCTATGGTGCAAAACCACAATGATGATGATGCAGTGGCGCAAACAATGTGATGACGATGGTGTGATAGCACAATGGAGCGATAGTGAATATCACACCATCATCATCGCACCATCCTGTCATAGATATCCCACCATCGCTTCATTGCGCTATGGCTTTATCATGCCATCGCTTCATTGTGCTATAGCTTTATCATGCCATTGCTTCATTGCGCTATGGCTTTATCAATCCATCACTTTGTTGTCACACTATCACATCATCAAACTATTGACCCAAACTGTGATGATGCAATGATACAATAATAAACTACATGGCCCTAACAGGATTCCATACTTATCTTGTTTCTTTCACTTTATAAAGTAAAACGTAAGCAGTGAAAGAGTTAAGTGACCAGTGATAAAACCACTGACTGTCCGTGACCTGTACCTGTTTTGACCCACGTGACCTCCTCCCCTTTGAAGGCGTTGTTGAGTTTGCCTGTGATGATCTTGAGTTGTATCTTCTGTTGTTCTATGATGTAGTTCGCCTCATTAACATCAACTTCCACCTCAGGATTGTTGATCTGATACATCATGCCATCTTTCTGTACAACACTATCATACCTACAAAAACCAGGATTACAATCTATCATTCGGGAACAAGTTTATGCTCATTGAATTATTGGTTTATAAACAAAATGTACTCTTATTATAAATTGTGATTAATATGGAAGCTTTAACAATCTTAAGATTTTCTTCTTTAAATGTCAAATGACTGTTTACCTATTTATAGACATATAAGATACCATTAAAGCTGGGTCAGTTGTAAATGAATATCATTTACAACAGATTACGTAGAATCATATGTTTAGTGTTATTGATCAGAAAATATATTTGCATTTCTAATTTATCAATCTGCATTTCCTGTAATTATTCTATGCCTAATGTGTGGTCTGTGTACAGAACTAAATGATAGGTTTGCACTGAAAATCTTCTATAAAAATTATGTCACCATGTGCATGCTTTGACAATTTTGTGAATGACATATGTAACATATGAAACCTGCCTATCCAAAGGCTATCATATTTAGTTCTCGGTCAAACTTTTAAAACACTTTAACCATTTGAAAATCTGACTATTTAAATAGTGGATTAGATCTCCATATGAATGAAGACAAAAAATATGCCTTAAAAAATCAGGAGCAAATGTCAGACAAATGTCATTTTCACCATTCATCTTTTATTAAAGACCTTGGCACAAGAAGTGGAACATATATAAATATATACATTTTTTCAATATAGCCTATTGAACAACCTAGTACCAATGGAACTCCAGACCTATTTGCAACACACATATTTTTTGGCTTCCACTTATCTTTGTTTTTCATTCAGTAGTTGAAATACTTTGGTTGCCTTTTGAACAACATTTGACACAATGCTGTGTTTTACAGATTAAGTAACCTATATATTGGGAGGTAATCTAACTACAAACCGGGCTCTATCTTTGCCGTTCCAGCAGTCGGTATCATTCCCTGGCTGTGCCGCAATCTGGTCGTTGTTACAGACGGTGTATGGGAGCTGTACCCAGAAATCCTTGGCGACCCGCACCTTTTCCTTGATGTCCTTCACCAAACGATCTAAACTGGTTCCCGCTGCCGTCGTTGGTTTGACTGACCTCTGCTGGTCACCTGGTCCTGAGTACTTGCCGAGAGAAAACTCGTCGTAGTGACCCAGGGACCCAGGGTCTTTACTGACCGGTAGGATGGGCTGGGCTGCCAGGGGTGGGTTACTGGCCTCCCGTTTATGTTTGATGTTTTGAGGATTGGGACGTCCACATCCATTGTGAACCTAAAGGGGTAAAAAAAAAAAATATCCCAATGTCAATCATTTAGGCAGGAAATAATCAATTTATCTTGTCAAAACTGTTAACACAGACTTCAAACTAAACTGCTGATGGTGTAACTCATATGATGTGCAATTAATCAGAAAAATATACAAAGGGTGCTTCACTCACTAAACATAGCAGTCATCTGATGCTCTGTGTTAAACATGCTTAAATTTCAGTGCTGATTGATTTAGCAAATTGAAAATTTGTGCAGCACTTCATTATAGAGAGTTTTACAATCTTCCAACAATGGCTATTAATGAAAAATGAGTTTCTATAAATGTCACGATAATTAAGGTGTATTGAATCAGGTGAAAGGACAATACAGATAAATTTCATGTTTAAATATGGCCTGTATACCTTGTCATAAAATTGAAAATTTTACCACAGCAAAATCATTAGTGGTAATCAATTTAGCTATTTTATTGTTTTAAGAAAACTGTTAAACAATCATTATTTTTGTGCCTATCAAGTTTCAATACTTTATCTTCTTGAAATAGGTAAATGTACTTCCATATGATTGACATCGTATGCTGTAATTTTTGAAAAAATGCTGAAAATTAGGACACAAGTTTTGTTAACCTATACATCAACATGCATACCATAACTGTCTTAAAGAGGTGTACACTTCTAATTTACACACAATTAAATATGAAACTATAAAATAGGCCATTATGTTTTACACTAATTAAAAAGGTGTTATAACTTCAAACATGTTCATTCATTACTCCAAAACCAGTTCTCAATGCAAACTTCATTGCTATGCTTTCAATTTATACACTTCAAAAACAAAAACTAATTTTAAAAAAAACCTTTATTTTCTTTCATCATTTCTGATCTAAAATCAATCTTAATTTACATGACTTAAACTCTGTATCTTTACAAGAGAGTTTGTTGTCTATTTCTGGGAGTCCACTTCTCCTGAGGATGTTAACACAGAACTAACACCTGGGGACCATCACTCACACATGAAAAATGGATACCGTTTGTCCAAGCCTTTGGCTGAAGTCAAATATGACTTGATATTTATGTTCCCCTATCTCATGTTTAAGTTGGGTATGGTTTTGGAGTACTCTTTTATATCGTGAGATTCTTTTTCCCATAATAAAATGTATTTTTCATCTATGTATTAAATAAATTCATCGAGGAGCTCTTAAATCATGCGCTCTGACCACATGTAACTGAGATAAAAATCTGTGTTAGAATATTGAACTTTTTACCTCAAGCCAACATTCCATTGGAGTAATCTCCCTTGCCAGAAATATTAAGGCCAAACCAAAGTAAACATTAGTTTTCAAGATTAGATTATCTTCTCATGATATTCAGGTATTAAAGGGATATTCACCTGTTGTTTGACATTCGTGCTGTTCTCCTGAAGCGTCATTATGGCATCAGATATTTTAACATCTATTGGGTCCACTACAGACTCAATGTTGAAGGGGCCCTCAAGCCGGCTTGCCAACTGTTTCATAGCCTCTGAAAAATACATCAAAATAGTTGCAATTTTAATCAATGAACACAGACATGAGTTATTATATCTATTATTTACTACTTATGTCAACACAATGTCTTAAATAAACAAGATTATACAAGAGGTCTAGAAAGTATGAAGGCGTAACTTTAGTGTCGACCTTCAGTCTTTTGAGTTTGATGTACAGTGTCCTGCAAACCAAAAAACTAGTGACAGAAAGACAGCCACCCAAGATATGGAAATTATTTGATGAAATTTTACACCGCATTCCCTACAACAACACATCCATTCAATATCCTTTTGAAATCTCTCGAGGAAAAATGTCTTTGAAGTAAGAGCAGGGACAGAGTTATGTTGAAAAAGATAATTCATCAAGTAGAAGTCGTGTGTACAGGGCAGAGGAACCATACTGTGTCCAACAAGAGGAACGGTACATAGCAGACAGGATTACTGGCTCTATTAATAACCTACCCTCTCTAACCACTCAGTTATATTTATTTCTAACCCATCGATAAAAATAACACAAACAGAATAGAACATTTCTTATATAACCTTAATAATGAACAGCACAAAATCTTGTTTCAAAAGCAAAATTCAAGTCATTGCTATTAACTCTGTCTAGTTTGTCTAACAAAAAGAGAACAACTTGAACAATGTTCATCATGCTACTCTAAAATCTGTATTTTGACAGAAAATATTACAATAAGAGACAACTTCTCTACCACAGTTACATTGTAACAATGAAAGCAATAAATTTTTGCATGCTAAAAGTCAGAGATGGGGGGATAATTTTGTCAAGTTTGAGTCATTTTTTTATGGGAAGGAGATGTCAGATGAAACTTAATAACGCAGAAAGAGACAGCCAACCTCCTTATAGTCCTCTGTTATTGACAATCTACCAGAGAACAAGGCAACTATGCAAATAAGCTATCGCGGGATCTTTCATCATTCCTTTCGTAATTGTATAAAAATTGGTTAAAAGATTCATTAAAACCGAGAAATGAAGTAATCAGTGACTCTGACTGACTCACCAGTAAAAAATGCAAAAATTTGAAAAAATAACTTTTTTGCCAAAATAACAACTGCCTCACTTAATTTTCAAAATAGCTGATTAAGTTTTTTGGGGTTTTGTATTGTGGTTTTGTTAAAAAGTTAACAAAGTCCGTTTACACACTGTTAACACCGGTTTTGGATTTAACTTTTTTGAATGCCTTGTCTTGTTGAAGATCTCTACTATCTAGTCATGTCTGACTACCCTCACATAATCACTGTTTCAATTATCCCCCACTCTAAATTGTACCAAGATTACCCCCTCTCTATGCACCACATACAACAAAACAGAAAACTCTGCAGAGAGTGTGGAATATTCCACACGGCACAAACACTTCACCGAAAAATCTTCTATCTCTGTTTAAAAGTTAACTAGCAAAGGACAAACACACACTTCAGCACAAAGAGAAGGTTTTACACCTGAATACTTAATGTGTATTGGAGATGCAATATAAGAGGTTTATTATCTCATATAAATTAGATATCAAAGGAAATACTGGTCCTTCCATTAACTTCCTAAGCCTCCCTTTTATGTTAAAATACTAATTTAATCAGCTGAGGAGAGCAATAACTCACACAGCTGAGCAGGAATACACCGGGGCTGGATTACTGCCCCCTGGCTTGATTGACTTTAGTCCTGGCCTTAGACTTTCACCTTTTATGAGGAAATTGAGATGTAAAATGTCACCCTGATTAGAGAAACACTCTACCCTTCCCCTAGGGGTACCAATGGTCTAGTGGCTCTATTTCCAATCTAGGAAAAGTTAAATAGTCTTTACAAGGTTATATTGTATGGAGGGTTGTGGGCAGGTGATCCACGTTTGATTCTTCTGACAATTTAATTACTGACTGGTGACTATAGAACAAGCTGTGATGGCTTGTGTAATATAGTCTAACTTCTCCCTCTCTGTACTTTACAAGTTAACAAACTCACAGCAAGCAGTCTCTATTTCTACAATGGAATTTCAAACATACTCTGTTTAATGCTCCTTTCCCCTGACTGCATTTCTCTTTGATTTCTACACACCAGAATCAAACTGTAGATTGATTTAATTAAAGAATTCTGACAGTACAAGATAAACTTTCTAACAATTCTAGCAAAATGCCTCAAATTTGCAACGTATGCAGTAATTCTGTGAAAGTTAAGTAAACCGTAAGACTATAAGCAAACCATACATTTAACAGAGCACAAAAAAGCTGCAGATACTCCTATATAAGATAAAAGTTTTGTAATTTGCGTCAGTGACACTGAGCCCTTAAACACAAATACTAGCATCTCCGCAGTAAGCCCACATAAAAATCCTCAAAACACTCAGTTCACTTCTTGATTTTTTGGCCATCTTGCGTTCTGCTGTAGCAGATGTTTGGAGGCCTTTGTTATTTATGTTCCGGCTGAAACTCTGCAGTGTCATTAACATACAGACACAAGACATTACATGTACTAATGTACTCAAAATATTCTGGACATTGTATCAACATGAATGATGCATCACTTTGATTTACCACAAAACATTAATAAAGAAAACTTATCATATTTAAACATTTTTCTGAATAAATTCATAACACCATATTTATCAAATATTTGAAAAATGATTTATACTTTTAATATTTGTATGAAAGTAAGAAAGGCTATCCCTCAACATACAAAATTGTAAAAGTAAACAATGAGAACTTTGTTCTTCACCATTTAAGTCAACTTGAGACTTAAGAGGAGCCAAATTTCGAACTGAAGTTATCTGGTCAATTGCATCAAATCATCAAACTAAAGCCTAGAAAAGTGTCTTGAAAATCGATTTTAAGACAAATACTTGCAGACAAGGCTGAGAAAAATATAATTACAACAGCAGCATCAGTTTATTTGCCCGACTTCCCATTTACCCAAACATACACAGTTCTCTCTGCAAAGCATTAAGATACAATTTTTCTGTGCATATTTTCTATACATACATAAGATTCTGAACGCCAAGGTGCAGAAAGCATATATACAGAAAAGCGTGCAGATGAAAGCTAAGGAAAGGATAAATCTTATCAAATAAACACCCCAATCTTGGCTGCACTATCAAGGGATATATCTGATATTCCCCTCTTTAAAGGAACAGCACAGCCATCATTAGGTCAATCAGATCTGCTTACTAAATTTCACGTTATCTTCTCTGCAGAGGCTTATGTCTACCATTTCTGTTTTGATAACATTCACACACATGTAACAACATTTTTTAAACTTCATAATGGAATTTCATCCAAATAGCTTCAGTAAAAAGCAATTTCGAAACTGAAAAGCTTTGAAGATAATATCTGAATATTCAACACAATCTCAGACAGACTATGGTAGGATTTCTGAGAGCTAATGCTAACGATTCCAATGCTATAGTTATTTCAGATTTATCACCATGATTTTCCAATAACATGGAAATATAATTTCTGTATCCTATTCCACTCTCAATCATCAATACAAGGAACTTTGTCTCAACTTTTCCATTACCATTATTCCAATAGATGTCAGATTATTTACCATGTAATTATAACTTTTTCAAACATTTTCTAAATGAGACGTTAATTTTCTCTATTTTTCCTCATTGTTATTAAGTTTTTCTCAGTAAAATTCAAATTGAACACTTCAATTTTTCTGTTTACAGACTAAAGTTTTATCAGTGCAAAAATCTTTACAGAAAGACTATGAGATCATATATGTCTTATCTCATGAAAAATTCAAACAATGCAGCCAGTTGTCAACAAACCTAACATTATTAGGAAATGAAGATGTGTCACAGTAAACTTAAGTGACTTTGTTTTAGACCCACGAGGAAAATTGGACCAAATGATTAACTCTCTCTTTCCTCTTCATGCACACTCTGGAATGCGTTGGAATACTTATGAAGTCTCAAGAAAATCTTGACATAACACTTTCGGTACAATTTACCTTTAGGTACTTCCACTATCAATTTTTGAGGAGACATTTTCCCCTACTTTTTCAAAAAGATAAAGTTGTCAGGGATTATTCATTTGCTTGATATTGATTTAACAAGACTATAACTTTTTATCGACTCTCAACCATTTCCTGTTCAATATTGACCGTGGAAAATTCTCTCCTTCCTGAAAAAAATGACAAATTATTATCTAATTGCTCTTCAAGTCTGTCAACCTGGAATCCAATTTTTATTTAACCACCCAGTAGCTTTATACAGAAAATTAACCCCAGTATGTTTGATCTTTCTGCCAGCAATCACTGTCATTTGTAATCCCTAATTGTACAGTCCAGTTTCTGCTTTATATTGGGTCTTGTCGCTGGAGTGTTAATGTATGACTCACAAACTCAGAGACAAGAGAGGGTGTTCTATGGTCTGAAAACGGGGCATAAAATTCTGACGGGTTCTCCGATCTCATTACAGGCAAAACAGCATTCTGTTACGTGATTCACTTCTGATCAATAAAGGCCACACACTCAGGGCAAATCCTTAAGACTACACAAAATCAAAATATGTTCATTTAGAATGTAAATTACAGCTAGGAGTCAGAGAGTGTGGATAGGGAGAAATAGCTTTCCCTCTGTAAAAATAAAATTTAAATACTGAAACACAAAAATCTCTAAATAAATAAAACTGTTTTATGAATTAATTATGATGAAACTATACCTATAGATAAAGTACTGTGCAGAGTTATGTGTAGGAAGATTTACTCATATAGGCTGCCAAAACTTTTTTTTTTTATTTTTACCAAACTTAATAGTACATAATATATACATTTTTTTTGTTGATTATTGATGAACAGTGGATTATCAAACATAACTGTGTAATCATTTAATGTACATTACTCACAGTTTATCATGGTTTATATTAAGAACACAGCAAGTGAAGAATTTGGACAAAGCTTTTACTATTTTAATGGTCACATATGACCCCGGGTAAACCACAACTCCCACCCCCACTTCTGGTTCTAATAATCAGATACTTGTAACTTATTTAAATACCCAATATCTACTCATAACTGAAAGTGACTCATCACAGGAAATCTGATTTCTGCTCCTAGTCAAACAGAAAGATTTTATTTGAGAATATTGACTGATTGGAATTTTTCTTCTGATAAGGACCAAGTACTTAACTGTTAATATCTTTATTCATGTATTTATTTACTTAATCTAGTTTTTCATTGAAAATGTTTTTTTTTTAAAAAGAAATCTTTATTTCGTATTTGCGCTCAAGAACTGGAGAAAAGAAATATTTCCACATTTTATTTTAAGGATCAAATGATAAAACTAGGGGTGACAAGAAAAGGCTTTTTAAAAAACAATGTTTTCCTCATGGTGGGAAACAAATACAGTGAAGTTAAAAATTGAACAAGAAGAGCCATGAGTACCAGTAGATACCAGGAAATTTCTACAAGTGTAGTACTTGAGTTAAGAGGTCTATCAAGTTGTACTTAAAGTAGAAAATATCTATTTATAGCAGTTTACTTTCATGACAGTTTTCAATTGTCCATTGTAGGCGTCTTAATCTTTCAATCAGATTTTCATAGAATTTTCATTTATAAATTTATGAACGTAAATAGACAATAGACTGGTTTATCCATAAAATCTGAATTCTTAAATGTATGGTATACAGTATACTATACTGTTAGAATAGACTTGTTTTTAGGTGCGGATCATCAGATCAAACGAGACAAATATATAATTTGCCGTTATTCCTAGAAGAAAAGTTGTTGAATATGTATTGTCCAAAGGAATTCTGTTAAAAGTACGAAGTAAGCTGTTCCGAGAACATTAATCGATTATCCAAAGTGAAACGAGCCTCACACAGAAAACTCATTTTGAGCTACTTAGATCTTTACAGCCTTCTTTTGTCTTGATTTCCCATTTCCTATCAATGATTGGAAAGTTTCATCATAACAAATGGCTTTATCAGGTCTGGATTACATATAAGGCATCAGACCTATACAGCTATAGATTTTCTGCTCAATTAAGACAGAAGTCTTCAAAGTAATGTTGCTTCACCTAGGCTAAACCATTAGAGCTCGTAGTTCTCTCAAGAATGATGTGAGCTTTAGAAGCAATGACCTCTTAACTGTTAAAATGGAGTGAATTCCCAGATTTCAGAGTACACACATACATCTCTTCTGGTCGACCTTAGCCATTAAAACGTCAACACATATAACCATTTCAAATCTGAACACACACACATAAAATATCTATCAAAACCCAACACGTCTTGTGGGAAAAAGACACCCTTATCACCATTGTATGCAGTAACTGTTTTATTCACTTTTGTGATAGACATCTTGTCATGTCTGCAAGTTTTCTCTCTTGACATCAAAATGAAAGTTTCCAACCAGGAGAAATTCTTACCGATGTAATCATTCCAGACTGCATTGAGCTCAGAGTGGTAGGCCAGGCATCCCTTCATTGTGTTCAGACAGTAGTTATTGCAGGGTTTAGTCTGAGTCAGTCCTCGACAGTGTGGACAATACATCATCTTCATCAGAGCCTTGTTACAAGCTTCTGTCGGAGGAATCTACAACAATCATACAAATGTTTTAATTTCTTTTCATATAAAACTTGTGATTGAGTGATGTATTTGATGTATTTATTAAGAATATTTATAGACTGACTTCATGAATAACAAAAACACAGATCAAACTCTGATGTCTACCAGATCTAGACTTTTAATGCATATAAATGTTTTAAGATTTATGATTTTAAGATTTAATATCTAACCGATATATAGGATATAAACAAAAGGTAGAGTGAAATCAAGGAGGGGAAGGGGTTAATTTATTGTTTTCCATACAGATATACATTGCTATACAAGTATGGAATTAAATTTCTCAACTGTTTGGATTCTTCAGTAGCATGGATTTTCATAAGAGTTGAAAGGGGTACCTGTTCTTCAATCGCTTTCGGTGAGAAAACTATTTTCACTTTATTTATAGCTGGCCAACTTAGAAACAGGGGACAAGGAGTGAATAACTTGATTATTGCTCTATCTGACTTCTAGCTTGACAAGATTAAGTATTTGTGAAGCCAGATCTCTGTATACCTGTACAGCGAGTTAAGATGGCAGTCTGTGAACTGTTACTGGAGCCCCCCCTTCAGCCAGTCAACCCTGTTATCCTGGCTTCGTTACACCTGAGATTTACCTGTTGTTTACCTGATGATTACCTCCAGCAATCAACCTGGCCAGACGGGGCCGAGGACAAGTATGTGTGATGTGCAGAAACTTTAGCACCTTCATTTCACAGTACGATTAGACACATACAAATCTCCGCTACCCCCAGACAATGTAACCCGAGATTGTGAAAAGGACACACTAACAAAACAGCATACAATGACAAATAGCAAACAGACAGCTATAATAAACCTCTGCTCTACCTTGCGGCTAAAATCTAAGGTTGAATAAGATTGTGCATTTTTTATTGTGCCGCTGTAGTGGAATGTGCAGGGGTCCCTGTTACCTTAACAATACGAGGTGGAAACACGTGTTGTGAAAGCAAGCCCCACCTGAAACTCAGACAAGATACCTGAAAATACCTGGGGTAAATAGCAAGTTTTTCACCGAGACCACATCTTGTGATTTAGTTAAAGATTAGATCCAATCGCTCTCTGGCAAACAAAATACCTTTTTCTTGATATCATTCCAAAGTCAAAACCAGGTAAAATGAAAAACAAAGGCCTTTAAACGATAAGCAAAAAAACTGAATCTTTTCTCATGCTCTCAATGTGTTCAGTCCATCATCCTAATGTTGCAAGACTCCTATCAGACATATCTATCTTGACAGAAGTAGTCAATACCTTGTTGCTTAGCATTGCTCATTACAAAATCTGGTCAATCTTTGCTGATTAACATGGACAAGGAAAAAGAGTTTTCCCCCTCCACTGCAGCATGGTGGTAGATAGTACAGTACACACATCTGTCTGGACCAGTTTGGACTGGTGCCATCTGGTTTGATCAATTGATGACACTTTGCTGCAACAAGCGATTCCAAACAACTTGCAGAAATGGTATAGCCCTTAGTTGTAATTGAAAAACAATAAATTTTCCTTGGAAGTAAAATGGAGTTTATGCCATTGAAGACCTAGGATAGAAGATCAGGCACCTCATTGATACAGCAGAGGTATTCTGCCTTTGATCTCTGTCAATCAATAAAATCAGATGTTCTGTTGAGTTCTTTTCTACAGACAGTGCATCTTCAATACATGGAGCAGAATCAGAATCTGTTTTTACAGGCAAGGGGGATGCACAAATGAGAATTTAATGTGTATCAACTCATTTTTTGTGTTTTTCTTCAAAATGAAAATTACCATAATGTGCTTGTTTACTGCAAATTCATAATGTACCTCAACAAGGCTTGATTATAGCTCTTATTTTAATGAAAGAGATGCAACTCTTTTCATAAGAGAAAGGTGTAGATTAATCAAGTAAGATTTTAACATACAAACCTTTAAAACTTCCATGATCACATCCCGTCCAATGGCAAGACCCTGAACAAAGGTACGAGCAGCAACAAATGACCTTTTGACCTGCGTGGAAAGTTTTCCCGGAACATCCCCGAATGGCTTCAAATTCTTCATCTGACTTGTCACACATTCTAAGTAATGATCCGAAAATGTGTGTGGAACAGATAGCAACTCAAACATTTTGCTAAACAATCTTTTGAAGAAATTGTCAAGAGCACTGGTTAAGCTCATGTCTTTGCCCTTATAATAACTCCGCAAGTCTTGAAATAAACTTGTAAATACATGTGAATTTTGCTGGTAAAGTAATCCATATGTCTTCACAAACATTGTATGCAAGTCCGTTTTTGATTTGTCTAAAAGGGCTGTGAAGAATTCTGAAAAAGAAAATGAAGAGTTATTATCAAAAACATAAATATTTATGGAACATATATCAAATATTTTTTTTTTTTACTTTAATAGTGGCAATTAAACTGTAAAATACTTATATATTGAAAAGGTTTGTTTTGCATGAATCAAATTTTCAATTGTAGCAATAGCTTTAGAGTCTTTTAAAAACAAGTTTATTGTTTAAATATTTGTAAATAAGAAACTAAAATCATAAATCATTAAAATTTACAAATGCAAACAGATGTGCTCTAATTAGACTTCTGATTTTTGTATACTTCTTGAGGAAATGAGCAAGTTTGACATGAAATGTTTTTTTTTCAAATTCTCTTCAATTTTTGTCACAGAGGGTTGTCTGCAAAAAACACCAACATAAAACATCAGGCCTAGTTATTTTCTGCACACGCAACATAAATGACAACTAAATTATTTCTGCTTTTCTATAAATGTTCAACAGCTGTATCTACTTGATAACATTTCTATTACGCAATTACGGGTCCTATATGTTTGAACTTTTTTCTTATTAATTGAAAATTGTTACCGATTTAAGTTATCTATGTCTGAATCACAACTATATTCAGAGTCAGTTTTAGAACTATCTAAAGGTAGGTATGTCTTTAATAATTTTATAAATGTATGCATTTCAAATACAAGAATTCTCCCTGCTGGCTTCCACAAAGAAACAATTTTCTCAGCAGGAATTACCATTCAAGTATAATTAAGTCTATTTCCCACAATCCTAAATCCTTTGTATATAGTTTTCTGAAAAAAAAGTTTTATTGTAATCAGAAATTTGGAGCTTTACTGGTACTTTTTTAAAATTAATGCATTATCACTGTGTAGACTTTGACTTAGATAAATTCTAATCTATGATAACCAGCACTCAATACAGGTTGTCCCTTAGTGCTAAGGGCTGGGGAATTTCCCGCTTATCATGATGTAATTCCCCCTTTATTTTGGTATTCATTCCAAACTACCCACTAGGGGAGGTACCACATATCACAGCCAGATCCCCCTTCTTTTTCAATACTTAAGGACAACCCTGCAAAAGCATGAAATGTCTGAATTTTGGTTTACAGATGACGTGGGAGACACTTTGACAAGCCACACAATATATCTGAGTTCTCACACCCGACACTAATACTACAGTTAGTAAAGTGTATTTATAGCTAGTCAAAAATAATTTATAATTGCTCAATAATTCACTCTAAGTTATAGCTTTAACCACACTGGGAATCATCTTGAACTTTCTAGATACCTGGCAATAAATTAAACCACTGTGCCAAGTTTGACAATAATCAAACTTATAACATCCAGGAGTTAGATAATGTAAGAGTGAGCTATATATTTAGATACTTGATATTGGATATGTCTCCCATTTAAAGTCAATATTTACAACTAAATGCTCGATATTAAATCATGTCCCCTTCACTTGAGTTCAGTAGGTAGATGAGACTTAAATATTTAGTTCTATCTGAGCCACTGGTGATTTGGCAAGCGTGGATCATGATGAATACTAAAAGACCTAACTGTAGCCCTATCATTATGCTTTCTCTATGAAGTGCTCCTGGACACACAAACTGTAATTAGGGAGAGGTCTATTAAATGGAAATTTTGTCAGTTTCAAGAAAGATGGGGGCTGATCTGGCCAATCATTTTTCCCCGGCATTCTTTCTCTTCTCTCTAAGCCCTCTGATAGCTGGTTTTTTGGGATGTGGTATGTTAATTGATCAACTATGCTGAACTTAAAGCTGACATGTCTGGCCTTTACAGAAAGAAAATGAATAAAAAAATATGCTACTCATGATTTTTTGTTAACTCTTGTATGTAAAGCAAACAGGGCAAATAGCTTTCCATTCACAGCAAGAGAGGACTTATCAATAGCTGATTTACATTTAATAGGAGGCTTTAAATGAATTTCATCCGATTACAAAGCCAAGGACCAAGGCCACAAATGACCTGCCAAAATATTGCTGGAAATAACTTTCACAACTTTACCCTAAGGATAAAAGATTTAATATTCACAATATCTGACTTTTCTTCACATCTTCCTGGCATAATTAGATCAAATTCATTACAGACCAGTTAGGAAGTCTATGATAAAGATCAAGTGCTAGAATGCCTGGGGTGGTAGGGACTTTTTGACAGTGTGGAGACCTTTGTTAAAATACAATGTCAAACAGTTCAAAGCCTAAGTTTCCTCACTTATAGGTAAAAGGTGACAACAAAGGGCATTAGCCTAACTCGAGAATTTTACGAAAACCTGATTTTCTGTTGGATCAAGCAATCATGTTCAATCAGTCTGACACTGAATATTAGTCCTGACTCTGCATTTAATGACTGGAAATTCAAGCTGATCTTTATCACAAAATACATAATAGGGTTATTATTTCATTGTACATACATGGTTTGGTACTTTGTCAAGCTAAAGGGTAAATGTGTTGCAAGGGGTCATAGGCAAAGTCATTTTGTACCACCTAATTCATGCAAACATTTTGTTTTTGGAAGGAAGCAGTGTTCAAAAATTGTCCAATTTATCCTCTAAATGTCACAAGCTTATCAGAAATGTTTTGGAATGAAAAACTATTTGTGTCAAATGATTGAATCATATTTAATTAACCTGTTACAAGCGGCTCCATTAAAGAGCACTTTTCTGCACATTACCGGTATAAAGTTGTTACACCTCACCTGGGGAATTATACAAGATACCTGTCTTTGTATACGGGAGTAACAACATGTTTTCTTTAATTAAATGACACCTTTTATGGACAAAAAGTGGCAACACCCTTCCCACAACTTGATACAGGAAAAGCATAACACATTACACAAATGTAGAAATAAATTTATCTCAGACAATCAATGGACGTCAGTCAACGGTGAAATTATTGTAATATTTTTTTCATTTCATTATCAGATGGTGGATAATTTTTATGTACTATGCATCAGTTCCTCTCTCAAGATTTCACTTTGTGCAATATACCATATCAGCTGAGCGGATACATTAATATAATTGTATTGTAGTTATCTAAATCAATTTACAAACTTATCAAATGGGGAGGTAATGAATTTCTTCCTATGCCATGGAGAGGGCAAATGGTTGTTGTCATAATATGACCATCTGTCACACGGATACTATTAATACACTGGGTGCTTGGGCCTGACCATAAAAAGTTTATCATCAGTTTATGACCTGAATCTGACACTTCTTTTCCTTTCTGAATATCTACAGTGTACGTCTAAATTAAAATATACAGCTGTCTTTCTCCACAGATATGTCAAACTCATAGTATACATCATTACCACAAGGGGGATGTTTATATGCAGCTAAATTACTCCTTAACTAGGTAATTTACGGATTATAATGATGGATATTTCAAACCAATTTTATAATTTCCAAAAATGAAATAGAAAAATATTCATTTCAATAATTCAATTTCTTAATTTCACTCACAAACTGTGCACAAACTATTTAGAAAAAAAAGGATGGGAAATTTCATACCTTTACAATATTTTTTTGCACATCATGCAATTTGTTATCTTTATTCAAGGAAATTTTTACACAATTTGCTTCAAATTCTTGAAGTTTTTAACAAAAAATTCTTATTCCTTTAATCTTTGAATCACGATAAACTTTTTTTTAACCTATAGACACAAGGAACCTCTACACATATGGAACAACTTTCAGGAGTCTGCACAGATGGCACAATTGAATTTGAATTGCCAAACCCTGGCAGTAATTCAGTTTTTGGCGGACCAGGAGCACATTTGGAGTGTAACTACCTAATGTTAGTACACACGGAGCCCTGGTGAAATGTAAGGAGGGGATAAATCAGAACAAGGCACGTGAATGTGAGATTCAATCCCAACCTTTCACCAGATCCATTACCAAGCCTTGCTCTTACGTGATTAACAAAGCCACAGATACATTAACATTGAGTGTTTTTGTCTGCTGCTGAAAATATTCATTTTCATTCTGTAAAAAATTACAAATGAATTTTTAACTTGAGCAACTCCTGATGAAATGATGCATTATGTTTGCCTGTGTGTTTTAGTCTTTAACTTACCATCAAATTTTCTAGTTCTTGTAACAAATGTATTTTTGGCATATCTGAATGCATCTCCTATATATTTAGAATATTCCCTGGCACTAAGAGCTTTAAGCTTGGACTCCATGTCTCTCGTACAACAGGTGGAAGCTTGAGGACACACTTCTAAATGATTCCCTGAAAAAAGCAATAAAATACTGGTTAGATCACATATAATCCTGTGAAATGTTTAAGGTGAAGAGAATCAACTAAAGAGTGGATCAATCTCATCAATTCAATAATAAAACGAATATTGAACAGAGGAAAAGGTGGGATCAGGGGCCTAGAAGAAGTAAGCACCCCCTGTTGACAAACAAATAAAACAGCAAAGAACTTTCTTTTTAATTAAAAGTGATTGTTATAAATGGATGAAGGAAATGTTGCTATAAGACTGCTTTTAAAGTTCAGATTATAGGAATAAAACTGCCAAATGAAAATAAGACCCATTTTAACTAAAATCCTAAATTTTTGTCCTTGAGTAGGTTATTCGGTTCAGAGACAAATTGTTACACATTAAACAGTCATTTTCAGTTACCATGGTTGACCCAGTCAATTTATGCTCAAGGTTTATGTTTCTTTTTCTTAATCAGGTGCATATCTAAAGTCACCTATCTGTGCACCATCTGCAGGCAAATTACTTAAAATGCGCTGTCTTTTCTGAACTCTATGCACAGAAATTCCTTGCACTAACAATATATCTTTCACAGCTCTCTAATTAAAGAGAGGTACCATGCTTGGTTTATCTTGCTTCTCATTACAAGGAAAGCCGACATTTTCCAGAAGCATTGCTCTTCAGAAACAAGATTCTCCAAACACACAGTGGAGATCCCCAGTCTAGTAATCTACAAACCTGCACAGCATGCCAAAAAGAGGGGGGCCAAATGCCATTAAAATATTTTGTTTAAAAATATCCACATTTTATGTAACAGCTCATTTTCTCTTCCATTTCATTAACATATTTTTTCCATTTCAAAAAGGATGGAATGTTAACCACTGTTTGAGCAGAACAACTGTATAGTAATAATTCTGAGTGATTTACAAACTTAAATTTACTGAAGACTTTCACTGATGTAGTACTATTCCAGTTGTGAACTCTAGGTTTTAACAGATTTTAAGTTTTGTAAGTGGGAGAATGGAAGTGTGTTGCTCACTATAAAGATCTTAATTACCAGGTACTATAAGCAAGTACTATAAGCTATCTTTCTTAGTTTACAGAGAATGTTGGATACTATTTTCTTACATGTGAACTACAAAACTCAAACATGTTGCAGAAAAAGACAAACTTCCGAAGTCAATACACCCAACATCAAGCATCAGATCAAATACATCTGGACAATTTTGAGCCAACATTAATTCTGAGTCACATAACATACAAATATTCATTTAAAATGTCTGAAGGAAATCAAGAATATTCATTAAAGTTCCTCGCCGGAACCAAATGGATTATGTAAATCAGGTGAAAATTTAATCTGACCAATTGTTACTGAACACATATTATATACAGGCCAACTTTACAATTTGTTACCCATTGGCTTCAAATCTAATACATAATTCATGAAATCTGGTGTGTATATTGTATACAGGTATACAGAGAGATGAAAAAATTGCACACGGTTTAACCACACATTCAAAGCGTTCTGGAAACTGGAATTTGTTTAAATTATAAAAAAGATATGAATTAAAATTGTCAATGAATGAAAACCTCCTTTGTATAGGCGGTAAATCTGATCTCTATATTTACATACATTTTACATTCTAGGTCTATGGTATCCCTCAAATGGGCTGAATTTCAAAGGAAGTCATCAGTTGTATTAGTGTCTTTATGACACCACAATATAAAATCTGAATAGCCTTAGACGCGGATTAATGGACGAGCCTTTCTGTGTCTGGTACTTTTTGTTAACCTTTTTAACTTGAGATCTATCATAATTCCACAATATAAAACACTTGGGAGTAAATAATACATCATGATTATGTTAAAGTTAGTATTTTAGCTACTGACAGAATTAAAAGAGGAATGCTGCATTCTACTGACAAACATTTAGTACACCACAAAATTTTAAATTTAGATTTCAAAAATTTTCAGGTTTCTTTTATCAAGACTCTAGAGGAAGTGATTAATTAACCTTATCTCTCCTACAAATATTAATAACTCTGACATGAGGTCACGTGGTTTTGCAGCTTGCATGAATTGTGAAAACGGAGAAAGATTATACAGGGTGCCCACTTACAACAAGGTCCTCAATAGAAAATACCGGGACAAAATACAAAGGAACAGATCAGCAATCATTCAAACAAGGACTGGCCTACAAGCATCATCAAAATGCCATGAATACCGCACCAGATCAGACTAACTTTACCTCAGCGGAGACAGAGTTTCTTATTTCAATCAGATGTATATCATTCTCATTTACGGCAAATTGGTACTGTGATTTTCAAAGATTTACCAAAATTAAAACTATAATCTTGTTTTACCCCATGTGGAGACTAAACTTTCTGCTAATTTTTACTTGCTGAAAATATGTGACCAAGTCAAAATATCAGAAAATTTTATTTACTGCTACTAAATTGCAAAATTGGATGGCTCTCTCAAGTTTAAACACAGGCTTTTCAACTAATGTCTTTTATTTATGAATCAAACAATCTGAAATTTTTGAATTTCTGTCTCTCTTTTTCCCCTGTATAGGCAAGTGGCTCTGCAAATTTTTAATATTTCATATGTTTGCTCATAAAAAGCTTTATCCTAATAAACACTATAGATACATTTTATTTTTTTCAATGAGACACTTAGTTTAACATGGTTTATATTGTTGATTATTTTGCCTGTTCATAATGGTAAATCTTCAGTATATTTTTCTTTCACATAACATCTGTGTGGTAAAATCATGTCATGCCAACCAGTAATTCAAGACAGGCTGATTTAGATTTCAATCTCAACTACTTAAAATCCCCTTTTCTGGTAGGCTACCTAACAATGGCTCATAATGGTCTTTGGGATACTTTACACGCTTACTTTCAAGGGAGACTCAATTATTTTCCAATTTCCAAACAAAGGTTGACTGGGATTTACTGTCTATTGGCAAACTAAATGTGCGACTTTCAGACTTAATCCAACCAATTGAGGGTTGTTTTCTGGTGTTCCTGATTATTTTACAAGCATGCAACATGAAAACTGAAAAGCATTTTAATCAGGTGATATCCAGTTCTGTCATAATCACATTGACGTTTCTTGTACTAAGACTTATCTAAACAATAACTGTATTTCAATCCTGTCCATTCACCCTAACCAAATGGTAGATAGAAATCAGTGTATACTAATTACCGTTCAACCATATGCCTGAGTTTATCATTCTTTATGTGCGCACCCATTTAACTTTTGTGTCTTGTTATTCAACAAAGATCCAACAACACACAAGATGAGTAAGCAACCAAAACTTTATTTTTAAAATGAACTTAAAGACAATGAAACAGACTGAAGCAAGGGCACTGAGATTGTCTGAACTTGTCAGTCAAGAGTCAGGCAATGGTAAAACCAGATATAACAACAAAGACTATACAGATAGTCCCCTCTGCGACATCCTCTTTAAAGACCATACATGAAGATCTGTTTTCTTGCCCTGTCAGTTTTTGATAGAGCTTTATACCTCTGAGTATTCAGAACTCCATGCCAGGTGTAAAAAGTTCCCCCTCTATTGTATCCGAGCAGGATCATGTGTCTAAGACCCACAACACCTATCAGGCTGTGTTTTCATGGCTGTTTCTTTGAGACAAAGACCAATGCTTCACATGTCACCCCCAGTTTTCTAAATGAACATGCTTGATCTTTCATTGTACTAATTCATTGCTTAAAGGTGCTTCCATAGACAATTTTCATACTACAGGCTATGGTTTTGTACTGTATTGGCTATATGTTTTCCTTGCCTACTCAAAAGCCTTAAGGGGGAAATAATTTTTCCCTCAACTGGTCCAGAAATTTTGATCATTTTTTAAAGGACTTAGTTCATTTTGGCCATTAAAATAAATACACTGGTCAGAATATTGAAAATGTGCACAATGGTCATCATGTACAGTCATCACAATTACTCCCACATGTAAGTCCATTACTAATGTATGTACACGTGAATAAGACCTTTTTATTGACCACAACAGACTATAATAAATTTCCATTTTCCCTAGGGAAATTCAAGTAGATATACTGAATAGATTACTTTTCATTATAGGCCAATGATGATATGACAGGATTCAATACACATTTCACTATCTAGCATGATTTGATAAGTAGTTCAATAACACAGGATTTCACAAAACCAGAAGGCCTTCTCATCTATAAATTATGTACATACAGATTGTAAAATTTCATTGCGGTACATTGATTTAGCTAAACAAAGAATGATACAGAAAATATTAAATATAATAAAAACAGAAATATGGCAGTGATAACCTATGCAGGGTTAGGGTTAAGAAACATGATAAAATTCTTTGCCACTAATTTAACAGATCTGGGCAACCTTTTCAGATAGACAACAAAGCTGGAGATAGAAGGGGGTGCAACATTATCCTCTTTGTATGTGTGGTATAGCATGACCAGACCTAAGTTAAATGTATTCTAAACCATCTCTACATGGATAAAAACCTGCTAAGTCATAGGACTAGACATATAATCCATCCAGTAAGATCTTGTCTGAACCAAACAATAAATCTGATCAACAAAGTACACTGAGAATGTAGGACTAAGTATCTATAGAGAAGGCTCTGGTAAATTCAGAAAGGACAAAATAAAGTATATCCAAACCAATTGATATGTTCCACAGCTGATTTTCTGAAACTTTTTTTGAATTTTACTACTCCGAAGTGCATTGGAATGCATTACCACGATAATGATATATTCAAAAGTGTGTCAGATATATATGTATTTGTCTAAGGGTTATCAATATTTCATATATACAACTTCCTGATGGAAATAATTATTTATTTAAATCGTATAAAATCAAAATTCTACTTTCTCTGTAAAACACTGAGGCAGTATACAATAATACATTCCTCCAGCTCTTTCAGGCATCTATTTACAAATTTTGTTTCTGATAACATTTTCCAACATATTTATTTAGTCAAACCAACATTTGTTTATATCTGGAAGTGTGTAGAATTTGCTGATCTATTGATATGAGAAGTGTTGATAAATGAATTTATGTTGTGAATAAAATACTACGTTTCTTTAAGTAAATGATTTCATTTCCAGCACTGTTTAATTTACAATCTGTTAGAAATACACAAATATGCATCATATAAATCGTATGTCGTCATGACCCTCCATTCATCAACTTTTCTCATTCATCTTTTCCCGTCTCACACTCACTCTAATCCCAGGAACACTCCACAAAGTGCAATACTCAAGTACTTAAGTACTTCATCTCAGTGACAAGCACTGAAATGACAATCGCTGAGTAAACCTTTTGTTGTTGTAATAGGAATTTACCCCATGAAACCACTGCCATTAATATACTTTTTTTAATGACACATGTCTACATTTCAGCCTTTTCTCAGACAGTATAATTAACACTGTGATGGTTTCACATGAGTGATTAGGTTACCCCTGGTAACCAGTGACCTTATATGACCTAGACACTGGGTTTTATTATGCGCAGCCATCCTACTCCTACCATATGATGTAGGAGGCTAGTTCATACTGCCAGTTTATGGCCTTTGGTGATGAACTGTGACTTTAGTGAGGGAATGACAGTCAGAGCCAACACAAAACAAAACAGAACAGACAGGCATGACTTATTTGGAGGCTTTAGGACATTTCACCGTACCTTTTTTTAATTCATCTTTCACCAACATAATCACTCTCTTACGTGTAATACAGGTTCAAATAATTATGATTCAAAGGGAAAAAGCAAACTTCGAAGTATACAAAAAGCTGTATTTTCCCATCCTATATGTTAGACTACTTAATTTACAATACAGAATCAAATCTGTGTGCAATTGTGCAAAACACAATTTCTCTAAAGAAATTGTGATTTCCGCAACTGATTTCAATTCGCCATTTTCTCAATTTACCAGTGAAATGATTTGATCTCTGTTACAATTTTCTAGTTCCTAATGGCAGAATGAAGATGCAATCTCCTGCAATCGATTTTACGCTGGACTTGAGAAGGGGGGTTTCTATACAGACAAGGTGCCTTTCTCTTCACAGTTCAAGTCAAAACATCTACTGCCAGTAGATTTCTCCATGGCCAATAGGAATGGAGATCTAGCAAGGAATTTGGCTAATTACAATCATCAGAGTGACTAAACTTCTGCAGATTTCTCCAAGCGTCTGGCATTCTTGTCTGTGACCATATTGATTCAAAAATTACTCCATGGCACATGAACAAATAAGCAAGTGCAAGTTACGTAATTCACTTGAAAATCTTACAAAACATCATCTATAAAAGTTTAAAATCAATCACATCAAACATGATCAAAGTTCAATTTTTGTCCAAAAATAAACATGACTAACTTTTATCTTGTCAATACAATCGGCAATATGTAAATTGTAGTTTCTATGAAGTGACCTTATCTGCACTGTTCATTTCATCTGAATGTCGAAAACAATTGCTCAAATCTATAAAAATAATGGTATGAAGAATCCCATAAAAACCTAACTTCAAAGTCTTTCACTGATGGATTTTATGACAAGCTGGATTGTCTAATGCACACTAATTAGTGCAGTTCATGGTTTTATTGCCTGACTTATCTAGTACTATTCTGGTTTATGTAACAGTACATATAGTCAACACATTGTTACATAATACTGAGGTTTCTTCACTATTTTTAGTATCCACATTAACTTAATGTTTCTTTTGTCCTTTCCATATTTTCTGAGCAAAACATCAGAGCTAGCACATTTACAGTACAATTCCCATCAATAACACCAAAACTACAGAGAACCCTAGACTGGCAATGGAGAAGATTGATGGGGTCAAGATGGAGACTGATTTTACATTCACAAGCATAAACACAATTCTGAGATATAGCCTGACAGAAAATCCCTTGTCTGAGAAAAACTGCACTGAAAAATACCCAATTGACAACTTAGACCATCACAAAAATAACTTTTTTAACCAAAAAAATCTGTAGGTTGCCTCCCCCTTTCACACCCCTGTCCCATCCCTCCTTTCTCTGCAGATATAAATAGATTGTATATATGTACACATTTCTCCCCTGGTGTAGATTATTTATTCCCCACAGCTGATTTCTCATCTCCCACTAGCACATCATCCAATTTATTTATCTCTACTAGTCAAGATAACCCCCTGGTCTAAAAACAATACAAGGCAGGCTAAAGTCAACATTCTGGACAAAGCTTGCCTTTTATCTACCATCAGCTGATGAAAGATGTTATTCACTAAGATATTGAACAGTTGTTTAGCTTTTAACCAACAAAATGTACATTGATGTAATTGCAACATGAGGAATCTCCTACATCTTCTTTTTTTTCACGCTACATGTGCTAGCTTGGTTAATCTGACAATGCCTTCAACTTCAACAACATTTTTGAAATTTAAAAATTCCTGATTTTTTTTTGTAGTGAAACTGCTATATGGAATCTGAAGATTTTGGGAAGCTCTTTTCTATGCTGGCAAACATTGTTAAAAAATTACTGAACAGTCAATTAACAAAAAATGACCAAATATTTCCAATGGAATTTTTGTTTAACTTGTCATAATCAATCAAGTCACTGACACAAGAATGAAGACTACATTTGTAAAACAAGTATATTTTTCTTTGTAGCCTTTTGTGTTGTAATTAATGACTGCCCCCTCTGACAAATGACTACACCATCCACTTGACACCAGGGGGCAATAATAGAATTAGTATCTTACCACTGTATCAATAGCACAACCTAACCCCACCTAATAATGTGTGGAAGGCTCTAAACACTATCAAATCTCTCCCCACTTCTACAGAAAGAGTCAACAATTAAATCTTGATGATGTAAGTTTACAAGTTGATATGGCCACCCATGGCCTTAGGACAAAGGGACCTGGGGTGTTTGTTAGCAGACCTAATTTGTATGCTAATTCTCTTTAATGTCTTCCTTGTAGGGTGGCAAAGTGACAAATTCCCTGTCAGAACATAATCAACACACAACCAGGCTTAAGCTGTCATAAAAACCTGCCTTCAACAAACAAAATTTCAATTAAAGAATGTCTTTATAATACCTGCCAAATCACTTAAAATTAAGTGGGTATATGTCGACATTCTGCTGCTTCTTTTAATATTAATATTTCTTCCTAATGAATTTGAGCACTGTGGTCATTGAATTTTTATATAAAGGAAAAAAATGTCGAATTCTTAGAAAGTTCTACCCAAGCCAGAGTGACCTTTACCCCTAATAACCTCAACCAATCAATTTCCTCTTTATCACATTGTTAGACATTTTTCCGATCACTCCGATTAATATGTATCGTGCACATAAATATTTGTTCCATTTATTTTTTCCCCTGTATGTTCTACGAACAAGGAGTGGGTTTAATTTACAGGGTCTGGTCTGGTATTTCAGCTATCAAGTGTTTAACTAGCAATCAACAGAATCCAGGTCAGCTGACCTCTAAGTAGCCCAGTATGGGTTTAAACATTCATCCAGAGAGTGTTGGAATAAAAAGATAATTCTCCAGCCATTAACTTGGTCATGCCAGGGATTAAACGTTATCTGATAATGATAGTGTGAAAAAATAATGTTTATTCAAAATAAGATAGCATTTTAATTCTGTTAAAACAACTAAAACTACCAATGATTATGAATCATTTTTCTCTCTCTCTCCATATCAATATAATTTTTTCTCAAATATCTATTGACTGTGTTGTGAGAATGACCCTACTGGAATATCAATGTAAAACTTCATTCCATTTTTTCTCCACAAATTCTTCTCTGTCATATCAATTAAGAAGGAATTTAAATTTGCATATCACTCAGTTCATAAAATCTGCATAAAGACCTTTTTATTTTTCTGAGTGGTTTAGATAATTCTTTCAATTATGAATTTTCAAAGTGTAAATTAATACTTCAACGGAATTTAAGCTTTACTTCAAAGAATTAAATTAAACTTGACAGAAACACCTCAGCTAATTGAATCTTTTCAAAATTTAATTAATTATGTAATAAATCATATTTTGCAATTTCGTGTATATATTCGGCATTTGTTAATCACATTAACTCAACTTTAAAAGGTGGCCTAAATGGCACCAAGACTTTTACCTCTAATAACTTAATAATCTGATTATGATTAAAGTCATAGAAATTACTAGTCAGGACATATACATTTGTATCAGCTGATATACAACAATCCCTTTTGAATTTGAAGTTATTCTAGACATTTCAGTAATACATGATTTACTTAATAACTTTTTAAAAAATTCCTTTAAGACTTCAAAACAGCTTTTTAAATTGTGCTGATAAAGTTTTGAATTTTTATTTTCCAGTTTTTAAAACATTTTGAATCAGCCGACTTACCCGAAATAGCTTGGATAGGAACTTCATTTTCATTTAAACCCCTTTCCGTGTATGCCTTTTTAACTTCTATACAGGCTAAATCAAGAGTACAATGCCCAAAAACAAATAAAATGAGAAATACACATAATGTTAACCAAATCTCAACGACCCCTTGTCTTCGAATGTCGGCCATTTTCTGTGAAGTTGGAATCACTATCCACTGCTTGTTGGAATATTTCGCTGATTATTGAAACAAAAACGAGTCTGGGATTGTTAACTATAAACAAAAAATCCAAAATTTACTCTCCGAAACATTGTCCATAATATCCTTTACATATTTCAAAGAATAAATCCTCAACGAAAAAGAAAGGTATTTCACTCCATCCGTCTACGAACCTTTCGGCATGTGTGTGTTTACACTCACTAAGCGCAGGAGGAAAATAGAACAGCCAACATTAGTTTCGAATTTCTGTAGTTCGCATTTATCTCACTGAAGAATAAGGTACTAATCTGGCCGATTTTTTAATATTACATTTCTAAAGACTTCAAATATAATTTTATGAATTTTAAACGATTAATCAGCGAAATGATTATAAATGGTTAAAGCTATGTACTGCGAGGGAGTTTAAGACAATTTCAAAGCAGATGTAAGAGGAATTTTGATTGGCCGTCTATTTTACACGTGTGTCCAATCATAACACACTTGTGTTTTCATTCATGAAAAGGCCAAGGCAAATAAAAATAGTTTTATCATGTCTATCAGAAATATATATTCCTATTGGGTATGTTGATTTTTTTTTAGTTCGAATGAAAAATTAAACTCTACAAATGAATTTGTTCAACAACACTGTCGTGATCCCGTGCCGGATTGGACAAAACAAGATGGCGGCGGGAACAAATCGAAAAAGGTAGGTACCTGAGATTTCGGTAGATATCCCCCGTTAACCGTCACATATGCATTCGAAGATACAATTCCTAGTAAAATGCTTATTAGTGTGTTTAATTGCACTTTTCCTATCGTCTCTTAAACTTGAACATTTAACGACTGAAGACTGCAGAATTTCTCCGATTGAGTTTGAAGCGGAGTGGAGTTGTTTTTTTCTTCGATTTTGACAGTTTTATGCATCCAGCAGCAGGAGAGTGGCTAACAAATGATACTTTGGAATAATTCTGACCCGTTATTATATGTTTATTTGTTATAACCCATTTTATTACAAAAATATTTCGATCTAAAAATGTTGACATGTGCTGGATTGGAATCGGTTAATTTTAATGGAAATTGTGCCGGATTAGACTGCATTTTTGGTGCCGGATTGGATGATATTCATTTATGTAATAACTTTTTTTCTCTTTTATTTTTTAAGCTATGGATGCATAGTTCAATGAAATACCAGGAGGAATTTAATAAAGCTTATCTATGCATCTGCACTCAGGAGTTTTGTAGAGATGACACTTTACAAGCACATAAGAATTGACCATGAAGCAGCAGAGAGGTATCGATGCATTATTTACGGCAGCTGCTACAGGTGGAAGTACAACCTACGACGGTACATGTACATCAAAAACAGGCATAGAGAAATTCAGAAAGTCCGAGGAATAGACACTGACCAAAATATTTTTAGGATCTTAGATAGGTATATCTGTGATTATTTCAAATTCAAATAATTGTACTGATTTCTCTCATTAATATTGTTTCAAAGATTTTTTATATTATTTTTCTTTTACGCATTTTATTTTATTTTATTTTATTTTTTTTTTTTTTGATTTCTTTTTTTTTTTGTTTGTTATGGTCAGACACAAAAAATGTTCATGACTGTTATTTTATTAAAGTTTAACAAAAAATGTCAGAAACTTTCGTCGTCTTTTTTGAATATCTCTTCCCCGTAGTAGATAAAGTAATGCATTTGTCCCCATTAACACTTTTTTTCTAGCAAGTTACTATTTTACTAAAATTTATTGTAAACAATTTTACGGTAAGTTCATTTAATTTGCCGTATAACAGAAGAAACATTTTGATTTTGTCTTCTGAAATACAACCAAATCAGAAAGTCTAGTATTCTACTCGATCATGTTCATGGTTTTGTACTGTACATCCACGAAGCATCGTTTTTGAAGGGGGGGGGGCAACCAGAGAAATTTCAATTTCAAAGCCAACTTCTTTCAGTAAAAATTTTTTATACTACATTTACATTATACATCAAAAAAAGTTGGGGGCCATCCAGCCCTTCAATGAACATTTACTATAGCATAAGTAATGTTGTTTCAGACTTATCAATTTCAACTGAATTTTAATTCATCAAAAATTAAATTAATTGCATTACTTAAAATGTCATATTTTACACATTAACAACGAAACATTTGAAGTTAAATTACATCGATATCGGGATCAAGCGTTAAACTGTCATCTGAAATCAAAAATTAAAACAGGCCTAACTTCGAAAATAAAGAACACATACACATTTTATTTAAATGATATGTTTATTATGTTAAACTAATTTAGAAAAAACATACAGAAAGCAGTTTATTTGCATTAAATTATAAAATTGTACTAGCGTACCCTAAAGCACTCTTTTGTACTAGCGTACGTAGGTACTCTGTTAAGTAGGATCGAATTTCGCCAATGGCAAACTCTCGGGCCTTTCCTACTAGCAGTCTAAAAATAACCTCGAATGTACATGTACTATACAGACGCCATGACAAGCCCCCTTTTCACAAACTTTGAAATAAAGGTTGGAAGACCTCTTATCTGTGGAGTATGAAGTTAACTTTATTGACTGCAATGATATTACCCAAAATATACAAGAGAAGGAACTTCTAAACCCTTCAATGCTATATTCAATAAACAGGAAATGTATAAATTTTTAACACCCGTTGATGATGATACATTCGAGGCTGTTTTTCTGACCTCTGATGGAAAGGCCCTACTAAGTAACATGATGCAATTTCGAACTTCGCCTCATGTGCATGATGAAATTCTCGTATGCTTAAGGGTTTTGCGGACGATTCCTCTGGCTTACTAACGGTTCCTCCTTTATTTTTTTCTAGCCCCACGAGCTCTTTGGGGTTTACCAAATCAGTGGTCTCTGTAAAAGAAATATGGGTACAATAAAATTTGAGATAAAAAGAAACAGGAAAAAAAAATTTCTAATCGAGGGGGGGGGGGGGGGGGGGGGTTGATCATAACTGATAACAATCTTACTTCGGTAAGATACGCCATATTATTTAAATTCCTCCTTCTCGTATATTTCATTAAACGATGCATCCATGTCTTAAAAATTAAAGAGAAAAAAAGTTATTACATAAATGACCATAATGAACATCATCCAATCCGGCACCAAAAATGCAGTCTAATCCGGCACAATTCCATTAAAATTAACCGATTCCAATCCAGCACATGTCAACATTTTTAAATCGAAATATTTTTGTAATAAAATGGGTTATAACAAATAAACATATAACACCAGGTCAGAATTACTCCAAAGTATCATTTGTTAGCCACTCTCCTGCTGCTGGATGCATAAAACTGTCAAAATCGAAGAAAAAAACAACTCCATGCCGCTTCAAACTCAATCGGAGAAACTCTGCAGTCTTCAGTCGTTAAATGTTCAAGTTTAAGAGACGATAGGAAAAGTAGCAATTAAACACACTAATAAGCATTTTACTAGGAATTCGACAGTATCTTCGAATCAAGCATATCTGACGGTTAACGGGGGATATCTACCGAAATCTCAGGTACCTACCTTTTTCGATTTGTTCCCGCCGCCATCTTGTTTTGTCCAATCCGGCACGGGATCACGACAGTGAACAATACGAAAAGGAAATTATACAACACACACACACACACAAAGAAAAATACATGAAAAAAGATAACAAATGAAAAGAAAAAGAATACAAATGAAAGAATATTTCGTACGAATGATTTTTTTTATGCAAATAAAAATTCTATGATATAAATAATAAATTATAAAATACAAATAGAGAAATTTATAATACAAAAAGAGATGAAATCAAATGTAAGTATACTGCAATTTAACCTTTGATATGCCATAGTTTAGAACTTGAATAAAAATATACTTATATGAGAATTTTTTCACGAGTCGCGAGCTTATATTCAAGACTAAGTGATCGTTTTTTAGTTTGATAGACCTCCAACTGTTCACACAAAATATAAATTATCAGTACCGAGTGTACATACTCTGCCGTAAATTGTACACTTGCCACAGGTGCTTGGGGACGGGGACCCTTCCCCCCACTCCCACCCCGTGTTCCATACCCCCAAGGGTTCTCTTGACTTTTTAAAAATGAAATATTTTTCTTTGACATATTCAAACAGTATTAGAACTGAAAATTTCTAAATTTAAGCTAAAACTATAGCCTATTCAAGAATAAGTGATCGTTTTTTAGTTTGATAGACCTCCAACTGTTCACACAAAATATAAATTATCAGTACCAAGTGTACATACTCTGCCGTAAATTGTACACTTGCCACAGGTGCTTGGGGACGGGGACCCTTCCCCCCACTCCCACCCCGTGTTCCATACCCCCAAGGGTTCTCTTGACTTTTTAAAAATGAAATATTTTTCTTTGACATATTCAAACAGTATTAGAACTGAAAATTTCTAAATTTAAGCTAAAACTATAGCCTTTTAATAAAAATCCATATACTCTCTGATACTCGTATACTTGCAGCGATTGACCATCTGATATTTTGCGTGGAACTCTTACACATGACCGTAGGAACGGAAGGGGGTGGTGGAGGTGGTGGTGTTAATTTGGTCAATATATATAGAATACATAGGCGCTTGACGTTTCTAGCCTTTCAAAAATAAAAAAAAATCCAGGTATAATGATAATAATGGGAATTTTTTTTATATCTATGAAAAGAAAGATTAGAAATGTCAACCGCCTGTAATAGAATACTAGAACTATAGAAACTAGAGGTACTGTGAGCAATGTGTTCAATAAATGATACCCCCGCCTCCCATATGTATAAAATGGCAGTGTCCATGTTTTGCCGTAGGAACCCCAAAATATGTGTCGGATCAAAAAGTGAAATAGGAGGTGCCCAAAGGCAATATATAATAAAGATTCTGTGAAAGTTTCATCAAATTTCATTCAGTGGTTTGAGAGGAGTTGCGAATAAGAGATTGGTACCCCAAAGCGTAACAGACAGACGGATGGACGTACGGAAGGACGGACATACTGATTACTATATACCCTCCCACTTTTCAAGCGGGGGTATAAATATAGCTACTTTGTTTTGTTTTGAACATATTTTATTGACAATATGTCAAAGGGATTGGACATTATGTTTTAGCCCCCTCAAAGAAATCGTCTGATATAAATGACCTTTTATTGCGTGTCAAGGAATTTTTGGTAGTTGATAGTGTCCCCCTTTACTGACAATGTATGGCTGTGTCTCTTAAAACTAGACTGTGAGCAATGAGCTCACTAAATGATACCTCCGCCTCTCATATGAATATAATGGCAGTGTCCATGTTTTTCTATGGAAAACCCAAAATACGTTTTGGATCAAAAAGTAAAATAGGAGGTGCACAAGGGCAACATGTAATAAAGCGGAAGCGTAACAGAC